ACAAGTTCGATAAACTGATCGGACTTGGTGTTGCTGAGCAATGCTATTGTGACGGTCGTTCGACCGTCGTCAGTATGATGAAAGGAATCCAATGATTCGTTCTCGAGCTTTCGTCTACGTTAGAAGACTGGACTCAACGGTTTTAGCGAAAGCAACGACTGAAACAACAAGAGACATTCAAATCATTCATCAAGATGCGGGATTAGATTCATCATGTAATGATCTTCTAATATAAGTGTCACAAATCGGTACCGCGGTAGAACTGAAATTATTGCCAACATAGCAACGAACATTTCATACAACCACCTCAATCCTTATTGACACAACTTACGCCCCAAGAAATATGTTCACTGAAACCTTTCTCCAAGCCAAAAATCAGGATTGTCTTGAGCAAGTGCTTTCATTCCTAGCCTGCAAGGAGCTTGCGAATGTTGGTAGGACTTCGAAATCTCTCCACCATAGTATTTTTGAAGCGAACGAAACAGAAGGAAATGTCAGCATGATATGGCAAGGGGCAGAACAAGCACTGACTAATCCTGGTCGTGACAAACGGGAGTTTTTCAGTGCAAAAACACAAAGAATCGGTTCCAATGCTCGGGAGCATTGTCGTCTCTTTGCGACAGCTTCCAAGGCTGCAAAGGTATTTGAAATGATTGATGAGATGGTTGAAGAAGAAGATAGAGTCATGGTCGACGGAGTGTTGGCAAATCTAATGAATGTTCGAGATCATGACGCTAAGAACGTCGCTGAGAAAAAGGCAATTGGAGCCAAAGACGAGCAAAAGACACTCGAAGAGGGAGCTTCGGAGCAGGAATGGACTCGGGTGGAAATGGACGAAGATTTTGCCAAGTCTCGTAAGGAAAAGGAATTACGACGCGAAGAAAGAATCAATGAACTGCGACAGCTCAGCCCGCCGGACGCACCTGATAATCATGAAGTATTTGTTCGCATCACTCGAGCGTCGTCGGGAGAAGTCATTTCGCAAGGATTTTGTGGAACGGGGCAGAAGTTCCCTTGGTGGTTTGGTTTGGACATTGGCAAAGAGGCTGTGGCTTTTGGTCCTCCGCAAGGCTTTCAAATATTTCTTGATTTCGAATCGCTCAAGCAATCCGAAGAAATGCAATCGTTTCAAGAGTACTACAGTGAACCTGAAGGACAACACGGTGACAATAGTACGACTGGATTCATGACGCTTGGATTCAACATGACGGCATTGATCATTGACAAGCGAAATTACAAGGTTCATTGCCTGTTTCAACATGATCAAACGGAGGATATCACATGCAGGCGATCTATGAATCAATCATTCGGATTTACTCGAGACTTGGACGTTTACGAGTATCGTTTGAATCCAAAGTGGGGTCATGCGGTAGTGCAATTAGGGCCATCAATGTGCGATGATCGATACTATCTATCGTATTCTCTTTCCCTTTATGTCGCCCACTTGAAGAATGGCGGCTGCCTCTTCTTGCCGTCTTTGGATGTTGATATTTCTCCGGATTCGTCGGTTTGGAATCTCTCAATGCAAAGACTAATGGAATCCGACAGCAGTATGATCCCTTCTGCTTCACCGCAAACGACGAATGATATATAAAAGTTGTTAGGTCCCTTGGTTTTTCTTTTGCTACTTCGTCTTATTGCTTGTGAATGAATGAATGAATCAATCGTTCATGTTCATCCGCCCAATCTTTGAGTCGACCATTGATGATGATGATATGACAATGGGATTTACTCATTCAACATGACAACGTTGATCTTTCACAGTCGATATCATAGCGTTTTATTTTACTCTTTGTTTCCTTCATGTTTCCCCTTTGCTTGAAGAGTACGTACTATAGCGGTTGAATGAATGAATCAATTATCTTGAAAAAATGATTGCATTTCGGCAGTTGTTTCCGGATACGTTGGATTGTTTTCAACTTGATGATGCAACGACGATTCGTGGAATCATCCCAGTGCATAGGTGGTAAAAAACCACCATTTCTCCCAACAGGATATCTATAGCGTTTGTTTGTTCGTTGCTTCCTCCATGGTGAGAATGATGAATCAATCAATGAATCAATATTTTCCTCGCCTGTTCAATATGGATAGCTGCTGCGGCAAGTGATTTGGAAGTCCCGTACACAGTTTGGAGAAAGGCGCAACTTCATAACACTAGATCCAGTAAAACAAAGCAACTCGCATGCGCAACTGTTGAGATGTTGCAAGCGTCTGTTGCCCAATTCATTTCCCCTTTCAGACAACATAGTAGTAGCCTGAGGTAATATAATGCATTGTATGGAAGGAATCAATCTGTCGTTCGTGATAGTCGCACTAGTTGCACCTTTCAATCATGGTGCATCCGGTGCTTGATTGAGTAGCATGGAAAGAAAGATAGTCCAAAAGAAAAAGACCAGATTGTCATACAACACTCTCAGATCGGGCTTGACAAAGGCAATGTTCACCACCGTGGCTGGTATCCATAGTTCCCCTAATCATACATACAAACAGAAACAAAATGGGTGTGTAAGCAAAAGAAGTATGAACTGATATGGCCTATCCGAGTCGAACATCTTTCTCATCGTCAGCATGCAATACAAAACTCTCGAATACTTACAATTCTTAATCAGAGCTTCCACATACTGATTCTCCATATCAACAGTGACTCCTGAGATACCTCGACCTTCCATTAGAGCCATGCCCATAATCATGACGGCAAGAAGCGCTGGGGCTTGTAGGAATTGATCAATGACAACCTTGACTAAAAGTTGGAGTGAGGTCATCATACAAGAGTTAGTATCACTGTTCTTTGCAAACACAAGCGCACAAAAAGCTCAAGCAAGTAGATCCAACAACAGCAACAACAACAGCAATAGCAGCAACGACAACAACAAGAACGAATAAAACTCACTTGCAGTCGTCCATGTCCAAGGATTTTGTGTAGGAGGCAAAACAGTGTCCAACCAACCATAATAGTAGTGCGTCCAGGGTGCTCCGGCCAAACCAAAGAACCCAAATCTTGCCACTCGATACAAATTGAAGGCTTCTTCTGCACTAGAGTTATTGTGACTATCGCGTATTCGTTCAAAGCATTGGGCGATGACATCCGCAAATCCCAATAGTACAAACGCCGTAAGGCTCTTGACCAACAATGGGTAGGTTAACAATGCGCCGTAATAGGCTTCCCATAATCTTTTCAGGCAGCCATCATTGTGATTGTCCACCACAGTATCGTACTTTTCCTCCTCATCAATGGACGAAGCACTAACCGTGTCCGTAGCAGCGGTAGAACTCAAGTAGGAATCTTGGGAATACAAGGCATAGTATTTCTCATCATCATTGACTTGCTGTCGGAACAGCAACAAAGATTCCTCATCAATGACAATGCCACTGTTAGTATTATTGCCCTCCATTTTATTATATAGACACTGTATGTAAGGAAAGATTTGTGAATGCCGTGGGGTTTTGTGGCTGCCAATGACTGCTTTTTCCGTTGCCGATGAATGAATTGAGCAAATACAATGAGATACAATGAAAGATTCAACTACGTAACCAAAGTCGTTATGCAGGCTGAATCTTCGTCTTTTTTCCACGGTAGCAAACTTCCAAAAAAAAGACTTCGTCACACATTTTTCCCGTTCCAAAATTGAATTCTTGTACCACCAATAAGTACCAAGACGTGGAAAACGACAGTCGGCCTGCTCGAGGCCAACTGTTTGTTTCGTGTGTGATCTCCAGCTTCAAAACCGAACACTAAAGAGCCTCCCACTCAATAGCCTTCCCTCATCAATGAGTCAGTCAGACCAGTCGTGTGTTTCCAAATCTGACGCGACAAATATGAATGATGTGAAACTGTCGATCCAATAAAACAATCACATATCATTCATACATCTTCCGCCTTTATATATTATACTCCCACTCTACGACACACACTTGCACACAAGTCACAACATGAAGATCTTTCAATCCCTTGGTCTTCTATTCGCTCTCTGCAGCGTGGCACCCATTAGTACTGTTGCCTTTACAACAACAACTCCCAGCACTACCAGTATGATGACACAACGACTGTCTACATCGTCGTCATCATCATTACACATCGCAGGAGTCCAAGAAGCCTGGACTGCATACAACGACGCTTTGGAAGCCAATCCACTATTGGTCAAGAGTGTGACGGCCAGTGTCATTTTGGGAGCCGCCGATGTGACGGGACAAGCCATTGAACGTGCCCAACCCGAATCGGACGTGACAGAATTGGATATTGCCCGTACGGTACGGTTTGCCTTTTTTGGACTCGTCTTGCAAGCTCCCTGGAATCATTTTTATTACAACTTTTTGGATGGTGCCATACCTCCAACAGAAGAACCCTTTACTCCGACCACTGGAATCAAGGTGGTAATTGATCAATTTGTTCAAGCCCCTATTTTTACAGTTTTGATTTTTGCCTTTTTGGGTTTGTTGGAAGGAAAGACCACTGAAACCATCAAGAAGCAATTGGACGAAGATTATGCGGATACCATGGTGGCCAACTGGAAGCTTTGGGTGCCTGCCACAGTAGTCAACCTTGCCTTTGTGCCACCCATTCTACGAGTCTTGTACCTGAATTGTGTCTTTTTCTTTTGGTCCATCTTTTTGTCACTCAAACTCAACAACAAGGATGAGAATGAAATAGAAGCATAAGAAGAAGGGATAGAGATGTAGATGCAAATACATAAAAGAAATGAAGAAGCAAAAAGTGCAACTAGATGGATGTAACCAACAACCCAATAGGACATTAGAAGCTGTGTGATTCTTTTTCTATCGGACCACCTCCTTGTAGATTGGTCTGATTGTAGGACACCAAACAGTTCCATTTTTACTACCTCTTTTGCTGACCATGCTTTCGCTTTTGGTGATCTAGCAGCTGCTTCAACATACCCTTGAGATCCTTTCGGTAGGTATCCCGATGACCGGGTGGGACACTCATGCGGTATTCCAACTCTTCGGTCGTCAGACTTTCGGATAACTCCAAAAGAGTACCCAGAACGGTGGTAATATGATTGGGAGCAATCTTATCGGGACGCATCGTCAAGTAATACCATTCGCCAGTTTCGGGATCAAAACCCACTTCGGCAATCCGAGACCCTGATTCAAACTTGTCGGCCTCCAACCGCAATCGTTCACTCTTGGGCAAATTGACATGACGCGTCATATCGACGGTAGTTTGTTCGTTCCCCATGACACCGACATTTAATTCGTCTTCATCGCCTCCTCCGTGGTAATTTTGACGCATTGGTAACAGCTCCACGTCAATCGTCACAGTGTCCAAGTACTTCCATTTCAACAAATTCAAATCCGTACCACAAGCATACGGCAAGTTGGGTTGAAAGATTATTCCATCTGTCAGGTGATTGTGCAGTGGGGGGTTGCGATAGGATCTTGTGCCCTTTTCTTCAATGACGTGCCCCAACAGGGTTGCCAATTCCGATCGTTGGACAAAGTTTTTGCGGACCAATGGCATTGGAATGCTCGGGTCGGAAAGACTGGTGGCAAACATGTTCCGATCGGCAGTATCGGTGCGGAAACTAGATTGCTTCAAGTGATACAATCGTTGTTCAAAGGGCAAGTGCAAGATGGCTGCCGATGCGCCGACTGTCAAGACATCAAAGACAATGAAAATGGGCCGTGCCTTGTGTCCACTTCCACCACGGTGCATGACCACTTCCCCATCGAATACTGTTCCAGGCTTGATGAGAGGTAGGACCGACGCCATGGGCTCTTGTCCAGGCTTGGTGGGTATGGCCTGTTTGCCCTTCATGGCACGATCGACCAGAACGACCGTATCTCCCGTAAAGATCATGAAATGCCGGACTCCATCCGTCTTTTCCGACAAAAAGTAGGCATTCTTGGCCGACTGTTGGATTTCGTCAATGTTGTGTCGGGCAAAATTGACGGGCATGCAGCCACAGAATTTGACATTGGACAGTGCCGGACTGGGGGCTTCATTTGGTTTGCTGATGGGTGCGTCCATATGGACCGGCTGTGCCTTGGAACCAGGTGCGGGAGGGCGTTCCATGAATCTCTTGAGAGCACCGCATGTAGCTAGGGCTAATTGTACAGCCTTTTTGTTGGGATGGGGTTGGAGATATTCTTCCACGTCCACTGTATCTTCCAGTGGATTGATTTGGCCCAGAATCCACCACAATTGTTGGGAATATGCTTTGGCCAAGCCAGACGCCTTTTCTGTAGATTCAGCATTGAGGAGTTTCAGCATGTTCTCTGCACGAAGTTCCATTTCAATTTCAAACAGCACAGTCTTCTTGTGTGGAGAATCTCGTGGGGTGGACGTGATTTCCGTCACATCAATTTGCCAGGCAATGTTGCCGTCCCGTCGGGTGTAGGACCGCCGTCGTTTGATGCGCTGAATGGACCATCCATCCGGTACCGATTTGACCGATTTGTCGACCGTCTTTTCACTGGCCAAGGCTACTCGAAAGTCGTATTTTGCTGCAGGGATAGCCCACTCCATTTGAACCAATTTCTCCTTGTATTCCATCGCCCCAACTGTAGTACTGTCCGGAAGCTTCCCATTCAAAGGAACTATACAGGGAAAGGCAACTCGACGATCACCAGGATATCCAGCAAAAACCGTTTCCACTAGTTCCTTTTCTACCAAATCTCGCTTGATCATTGCCACCACCTCTTTATTCGGCATGTTGGGCTTGACCATGACTCCCAAGGCAGCCGATATCGGGGATGCTTCGGAGAGACCCGCTTGCGTCCAATGGACATAGTGTGATCGAGAGACTCCTGATTCCATGCTTGGTTTCTGCTGCAGTGATGTGCAGTCAAAGGCTTGTACGAGTGCATTATTGATTCTCTTGGGGCCACTGGAGGTTACCCGCCGATCGTTAATCTTGAGGACTCCGATGCGAGCTTCAATTTCGCAGAATGGTTTGGTAAACGGAGGTTTGGTAGGTTCATAATTCAATGCTGATCGTCTGGCTTGTACAAGAAACATTTGCAGTGTTTGTCCAGGTTGGATTGGTTTGCTTAAAAAAGGATTCTTGTTCTTATTGAGAGCGGCGGAGGATTTTGTTTGTGCTGTATCCTTCTCCAGTTTGTTTCTCTTGTCCATCAAGGACGCGAGATTGCCTCCCATCCGCTTTGACATGATTGATTGATTGATACAGTAGTGACAATGAAGTGATTCAAGAGTGAGGTGAAAGCAATGAAGGCTAACTATGATGCATAATGAATAGGAAATAATAAGTCTATCTTTTGCTCTATGTTTGGACTTCCGACGCCATGCAGACGTTGTTGCGAAATGTCTGATGTCTGCAATTATTATCATTATCCGTGTCCATCTCAAATCAATCACAACACGAACTCTACGAGAACACGAATCGATCTCGGTCTTATAATTGCCAGCAGCAGATACATCTAGCGCCAATCCAAGGATAGACAATAAGAGTCTAAGAAGCCACATCAGCCCCCATAAAATATTCCTTCAATTCAGAGGACCTTTCATTAGCGAAGCGCTGAATTTTAAAAAAAGAAAACATGGAATCGCAACAAGTTGATGGCGGATCCGAGCCCAAACGTTTGAAAACTGACGAATCCTCGATTCCAAAAGAAAGCACAGGGAACGGAGAGGCTGTGCCGGTTTCCGAAGCAGCCAAGCGCCAAATCATGATCGAAACCGAACTGAACGGCATGATCCAAGAAATGATGGCCTCGGAAGATTTTGAAGAGGAAGATGAAATGGAACCAGAATCGTATGCGGCAATCATGAAAGCAGCCAAGGAAATCTGCTACACACGAAAGATCTACGATGTTTCTGCCGACAAAATTGTCTTCTTTCCAAGCATAACCAAAACAATTGTCAACATGGATCTGTTCGAGAAAGCGGAGGAGTACTATTATGATGAAGGTGACGAATTTCCAATGGAGTACTCGATGGGTCTTCGAAACGTCGCTTTTGAAAAGCTCGAAGCGGAAGGGGACGATGACGAGGAGGAGATGGATGATGATATGATGGAACGGCTGTCAATGGCTGTGCAACTGACGGAAGATGACAAAGACGAGCTTCAGGAAGCGATTGCCGCCGCCGAAGCAGCAGATGAAGAAGAGGCAGACCAACAAGACACCGACGAGAAGGAAGATTTTGTAATGGATCCGGTCACTGCAGCAGCAGATCAAAAGGAGGAAGACCAAGATACCGATAAGAAGGAAGATTATATAACAAACCCGATCAGCGATGCATCAGATCAAGAAGAGACAGATCAAGGCGTAGGCGAGAAGGAGGATTCTGCAACGGAGCCGGTCAACGAAGTTACAGATCAAGAAGACGTAGACCAAGAAACCGACGAGAAGGGAGTTTCTGCAGCAGACCCGATTGGCCCTCAAGTGGAAAGTTCTTCTGCGAGTCCAAACGAAAATACAGCCTCTGATACGGTCTCGAAGGGAGAAGCTGTACCAGTTTCCGAAGCAGCCAAGCGCCAAAACATGATCGATACCGAACTGAACGGCATGATCAAAGAAATGATGGACTCGGAAGATTTCGAAGAAGAAGACGAAATGGAACCAGAATCCTACGAGGCAATCATGAAAGCAGCCAAGGAAATCTGCTACACACGAAAGATCTACGATGTTTCTGCCGACAAAATCGTCTTCTTTCCAAGCATAACCAAAACGATTGTCAACATGGATCTGTTTGAGAAAGCGGAGGAGTACTATTATGATGAAGGTGACGAATTTCCAATGGAGTACTCGATGGGTCTTCGGAACGTCGCTTTTGAAAAGCTCGAAGCGGAAGGGGATGGCGACGATGACGAGGAGGAGATGGATGATGATATGATGGAACGTCTGTCAATGGCTGTGCAGCTGACGGAAGATGATAAGGACGAACTCCAGGAAGCGATTGCTGCTGCCGAGGCAGCAGATCGAGAAGAGGCAGAGTCTGCAATGGATCCGGTCAATGAAGTAACCGATCGAGAAGAGGACGACCAAAACACCGACGATAAGAAAGCTGCTGCAATTGATCCGGTCACCGAAGCACCAGGACAAGAAGGCGCAGACCAAGAAATCGACGACAAGAAGCAAGATCCTGTAGTGGATTCGGTCACAAAAGCAGCAGACCAAGAAGAGGCAGACCAACAAGACACTGACGAGAAGGAAGATTCTGCAGTGGATCCGGTCACCGAAGCAGCAGATCAAGCAAAGGCAGACCAACAAGACACTGAGGAGAAGAAAGACTCTGCAATGGATTCGGTCACAAAAGCAAAGGACCAAGAAGAGGCAGACCAACAAGAAACTGACGAAAAGGAAGATTCTGCAGTGGATCCGATCAGCCCTCAACAATTAGAAGCATCTTTTGAATCATCACTCGCGAGTAGCAGCGATGTTGGTGGTGATGAGCCTACATTGACTCATGATGAGAGATCTGCTGAGGTCGTTACGATTGGCAAATCGAATCTTGCGCCAGACGAATCCGGCACGCCCGAAACTGTTCCTTCAGAAGAGCCAGCTACAAAAACGAAAGCAGGAATATTCACCAAGGGTCTCGAGACGGCAAAGGGATTATTTAATGAGCACACTGAAATGGCGGCTGTGGCTTGCTTGGCGATCTTTGCTGCAGCTGCAATTTCTGCAACGAGGAGGTAATGCCGTATATACGACACAAGATTATTTGAAAACAAAATCTACAGTAGGATTCGAATAGAAATACATATTCCCCTAGAATATTTTCTTGATTATATATTGCTAAGAATGGTGGTGGTGGATGTGACCAGCCATTCTACCATTGCGGAGATTTTTCATTAATGTCGGCAATGGCGTGTAAGTTTTTGAAAGCGGTGTACCCCAACAGCGAGGATGCTAATCAAGGCCTTGGCGGCCAAAGCACGGAAGGAAATCAAGGGTGATTTCCACGCTCGGTGCTTGGTCCAAGGTATGATTGATCGCCTCCTCATCAGTATCTGCCAGATCCAAATCCCCCCCCCTCCCCTCTTTCCCCTTGGATCGAAGTAGTTATGCAGTCACCCGCCGCTATCCAACATAGGTCATTCGTCTGGAAGCACCCTTTGGTGTATGAAGCGACCGGCTGATGTCTGTCATGGAAGGATCAGACGAAGCTCGTCTGGGAGCCCTTTTTGGTGCATGCAGAGACTGGCTCAGGCCAGTTCTTGCTGTTGTTGAAGACCCTCGTGTAGCAGCATCAGCAGTAGCTAAAGGAGAAGAAGAAACTCCAGCAGCCATAGCATCAATCTTTCCCAAGTAGAGGGCCGCAATGGTGGTTTGAGACGAGAAATGTTGAGAAAACTCCTTGATCCACTCCTCACAAAGAGTCTTTTTCTTTTCCTGCTCTTGAAGGACCTTGGACACTACAAATTTGATGCGTTGTTCCCGTTCGTATCGTGCTCGTGACACCAACAAACCCCGGTAGTAATGCGTTTCCGAAGCAGGATACTTTTTCTCTGCCTCCATCGTCTTGATGGTATCAATGTTCTCATTGTAGATTCGCTTGTAATCTTCTTTGGAGTAAAACAAGGCGTTCTTTTGAGAAGGAGTCGGTGGTTCAATGTAAACACATTTGGACTTGGACGAAGAGAAGGAAACCCGTCTGGATGATGATTCTTGTGATAGTAGTAGCTGCTCCCGTGTGCTGGTTTCCATGACACCATTGTCGTTATCGCAATCGTTGTCGTTGTGATTGACACGTTCCGAATCTTCCAACAAGGGAGGTGGAGGCATTGCCTGAAGAAGATTCCTAACGCTGTTGCGGGGATGAGATTGAACCTCCGTGAACGCGTGCTGGTTCCTTTGTGCTCGGTTCATTTTGTTTGCCGTTTTCAAAATGCTAGAGGATGAAACCGATCGGCGGAGTAGCAAATCTCTTGGTTGATTCCGACGCATATCCATTGTGCCCATTATGGTAGATGGTCTGTTAGTTTATTTGTGCTTTGTTGTTGTGCATGTGTGTGTGTGTGTGTGTGTGTTTTTAAGTTGATGTTACCACTGGTACCGGTACTCGTATTTTAAAAAAGTACAAGTACCCCAGTAGGGAGGTGACTTTGGACAAAAATGCCGATGTCATGAGTTCCACCGGATATACTGTATAATATCAAAATATCCAGCACTTGTGTAAGAACTTGTAGTAGGGGAAGAGAGAACGTCAACTTTATTTAACAGCCGCGGCATTTGGTTCTCAATTGGGGGCTTAGGTAAATTGAATTTCCTAACCTTCCTTCGGAGCAAAAGGCTCCAACGCACCGAACCTCCAATGAGATTGACCGAACCGCAACCTTTAATAGCGCCCCAAAATAACACGTTCCTCTCCCTTCAAATGGAGTTATTTTGGTCGTCCCCCAATGCCAGTCACTTTCAACATCGACGTCGTCGGCAGTGTCTTGGCTTTTGAGTTGAGGTGTGTGATGAGTGTAAAAAAAAAGGTGAGAAACTAAAAGCCGTCGCTAAGCAGGATCCACCAATGTTGCTGTGAATGAATGGGAATATTAGATGCCCTCTTACTACAGTACTGTCTAATGAAAAGTCCAACTCTTCAAGATCTTGTTAACATTCTATATCTACTATTGTTTTAGTTCCCCCCTTTCTGTGGTCAAGAAGGATCAGCACATGGGTGCCATTTGATGAATAATGTAGTGAACATGTTGATAATGTAGGACTCTCTATCTATTGGTTTGTTATGTCCTCCATTCGAATGTACGTTATTCGTAGTCTATGAACTTTGTGATGCGTATGCGTATTCTTTTCTTTTAATAAACACTGGCGAGAGTGAGTGGGTGTCATTGAGAACAAGAAGAATCATCACTGTCCTTGGCAGTGGCTCTCATGTCCCATGCTCCCCGTCGTTGTGCCGCTGCTGCATTCTGTGATGTAAAGCGTGAAGAAAAGTTCTCCACCCATTCCTTGCGAATTCTTCCATAGCGACCTTGCTCTCGCAAGACTTCCGAGACCACAAATCTTCGTAGTCGTGACCGTTCTTGCATGGCTCTGGGCAATTGAACTTCCAAGCCACGAAAGTACAAGGATTCAGTTTCAACTTCGACTTTCTGCTGCCTCTCCATTTGCTGGAGAATTTCTCCATTCTCTCGTTCAATCTGTCTATAGTCTTTGGAGCAATAAAAGGTGGAACGATACTCTTGTTTGGTCATCTCCGAAACGGAAGGGACTTCTACAGCTTGTACGCAATAGGCAAAGCTAACATTCTTTTTGGGTTTGATGTCAGTGAGCTGCTTGTTGGAATCAATAGCGGGGAGATAGAGTTTATCAAAGGTGTTGTTACAGGGGGCTGTTTGGCACAGCAAAGGAGCCATGACTCTTCCTAATAATAAAAATATGCGATGCTTGTTTTTTTGTGTGAAAGTGTCAGTGGTGAGGATGGTTTTCGAAAGCGCAGTTCCAGTGCTGGCGGAAGGCGGAAATGTTCAGTAATGCTCTTGGGACAGATCCCGTGTACGTGTGGTACTTGAAATGTGATTTTTGCTGTAGCCGGAATTTTCCATTATGTTTTTTCTGTGACAATAATTTTCCTTAATGTTTTTCTCGCGGTATTCGTGGCGATCGGAACGTTGGAAAATGATTTCGGCCATATATAGCATGTCGTACCAGCGTCACACGACAAGAAACCTATGAAGAAACTCGCGATATTTTCCACGATCTTATATGTTGGAAGGGTTCTTGATCAGATCGTGCTTGGAATTCGACGGAGAATGCTTCGTGTTTTGTGTTTGAAAGTTCAAGTTGAAAGCAAAAGGAACGATCTTCTGATCAGACGCACTGCTTTCAAGGAGGACTAAGCCCCCTTTGCTATTCCCTTTATTCTTTTTAAAAATATCGTGTCCCCTCCCCGACATTTATTGGAAGGCAAACGACAACGCAAGAAAGATATTCACATGTATGTGGTAGGTACAAGTACAACGGGAAACCAATCGCATTGACTGGAAAATACAGTATTGCACACCAAACATAGCAGCAATAACAACAACAACAACAACAACAACAACAACAACAACAAAAGTAACACAATGGCAGCATCACCAAGCAAGGCCCAAACGCCAGTGAAGAATATCAAGAAAGAAATCAGTCTGAATCCCGACAAATGCGACAAGCTTGTGGCACGTTACAGGAGAATGAAACTGGATGCTCAGTCCTTTCTCGACGCCACGGATCCAATGGATCAAGGTGGCTTTACACCATTGCACGAAGTCATGCGGATTTGTCATGGAAATCATGTCTTGGATCTGGTCGAATACATTGTCGAGACGCACCCAACTAGCGTCGAAACCAAAGATGCCAATGGGAATCTGCCAATTCATGTCTTGCCGCGGTTTTTGTCGGCCGAGAACAAGAAACAAATTCAATTGGATCAAATCCAAGCACGTCGCTTTCTACTGTCAAAACATCCAGAGTCCATTAAAACCAAGAACAATAGGGGCAAAACTCCATTGTCCAAAGCTATCATGTTTGAATACAATATTTTGGTTCAGACCATGTTGGACGACAATGAAACACTGCTGACACAACCAGATGAAGACGGAAAAGTGCCATTGAACCATGCTATGGAGAATTTTAGTATAAGTACCGTCAAAATGTTCTTGGAACAGCGCCCCGATGATATTTTGACCATTGCCGAATTTCCAAAAGGAGACCTTGAAGAACGACAACAATTGTTGGCTGCGATTGGTCACGCCATTCCAGAGACCTTTGATACGGAATGCGAGGCTTCGGAAGAAGGAGAAGAAGGAGAATGGCAACTGTCTAGCAATCTCATTCGCCAATTCTTGTCCGAGGCCAAACTGGAACAATGGGGACAAGATGTCATTTGGAGAATGATGAAGAGCTCGGTTTATCGAAATCGACAGGCCTTTCCCCAAAAGATTGAGGCCTTATCGAAACAGTTGCAACAAGAAAAAAAGAGATCCGTCGCTCATTTGGAAGAAACCATTTCTGACTACGAAGAAAAATTGAATCAATTAAAGATTGCAAACGAACGTACCAGACAAGAGTTGAAGGTGTCCAAAGCGATGCGCTCGACCGTATCCATGAGGCTGAAACAGCATGAGACATTGGCACAAGAGCAAGAAACTAAATACATCGAGCTGGCCATGAAAGTTCAGAGTTTGCAAGAAGCCCGAAACTTCAATTCCGAAAGCAAATATTTTGCGAAAGTGGATACGGAAAAGTGGACCGTAGAGGAACTCAAAGCGGTCCTCCAGTCGTTGATTCAGCGACTCAACTATCTCATTCCTGAACACACAAAATTATCCATGGCTCATGTTGCCGGCTCCTATCTCGCTCAAGATGAACATGCTGATAAAGCCATGCTCATTGATACCATCGAGGCGCTGAATAAGGAGCTGTTGGAGCTTTGAGAGACGTGATAACAAAGTTCAGCTAATTGAGGTGACCATATCGGAATGCGAAACAGGAATTCTTCACACATTGATCTTGCAAAAGTTAGGGTCCTTTCTTTTTCGGCTTACCTCTGTTGCCACTGCCAATGCTTCCATTCTTGAACAACAAGAAGAAGAAGGCATATTTGGGTCCAAATGATGATTTACGGTGAAAAATCGAATGGCTCTGTAAGGGTGCCTACTAGGAGTCCATGATTACGAGGTTTGTAGCATATCATCATTATTCTGTTAGAGGAGGAAAATAAACCAACTTGGCACATTGAAATGAGGCCCAGTTGACTTCCAAGTGTCGAATGAAATGAAACGAAAGTTGCGGTTTACATTTATAATACGTTTGCCTTTATTATTGTTTTAGCGTTTTCAATCACGAACGAGCAAAGCGGGACTTGCCCCATCGACTGACTGACTGACTCATCATGCCGATTTCTGCAACATCCTCAATCCATCATCATCAATGATAATGGCCACAACATGAATGTTCTGAAGCTTCTAGTTCTGGTATTGTGTTTCCATATGACAATGACGACAGCAAGTGCTATATCGATTCGTGTGCGGGGTGCCGGCGTTACATCGGTAAACGGCATCTACAAAGCCAAGCCATATTCTAGAGTTCCTGCTGGATTTGCCAAGACATGCGACAAAATGGGTTGGCCCAGTGAAGCAACTTGGATAAAACTGGCAGTTCCCTCCATCGACTGGTACGAAGCCGACAATGGATCTTACATCTACCTGCACAAGGAAGGACAATGGTGGATCGACGATCCATCTGGTGCTGGTGTCTACATTGCCAACAACAATAACAACAACAACATGAACGCAAACAAGCCTTTGCCACTGAATCCATCTTCAGATTGGAGGCCATTGGGACAAGGAACACTTCCGTTGCCCTCTATTGAGTTGGTCGACGGAAAGGAACTGTAACTACTTTCTTGCAAAACAATTGAAGGATGGATCGATCTTTTGGCAGTGGTTCTTGTTCACACGAGGTGCTCCTGAAGACATTCGAAAAGTGGACGACACGTTGGCAAGATTGATTCAAATCAAGCTGATGTGACTGTTCACTAGATCCAAGCGGCCTCGAAAGTGGGTCGAGTGGACAGGCGTCATCTCTTCAAATCGAAGCAAACTTTATGTTATGGCGCACACTGGCAGAATGGGCATTGTGTGGTTTGAATTTATCGTCATGAATCATAGAATAAAAATTTACTGTCATGGATCAATCAATTGGCGTGTTAACCTATCCTTGGTTGTCTCGATTGTGTTGGAAAAGCTGTATATCTGAAAGAACAACAGGAGTTTTACTAGAACTATAGAATGTAATTCTATGATACCTTTTCCTTGTCAAATGCCGCGATTTCCTCAGGAGAAGTCGTTGGCCTGCTGGTCTTTCTCTTGGACGCTCCAGAAGGCACATCTGGATCTTTCACGGCGCAAAGTGATTCCAACAATTCTCTCACCTGGCCCAAGAATCCACCCATTACGTTGCAGTTTGCAATGGCATATAGTGCCAGGAAAAATCGACCAGCGTTCGTCCGAGGAGTCAAATCACCATAACCAATCGTTGTCCCTATAGTTGTTTTGCAAAAGTTTATTGGGTGCATTCCGCGACGTGAGACCATGGAGAAACCAATCTCACCGACAATGATTGTTGTAGAATTCAGTATTTCCGACTCACCTGTAATTACACATAGATGGACCGCTTCCGAGTAAGACAATCCTTCTATTGTTGTCAACATGGATACGCCCATCACCAACATCAAGGTTCCTACGGAAAGAGCCCCTCCTGGTACCATGTTCTGCCACGAGGATGCCAACTCCATGATTGGACCGCAGAAAAAGCCCAATCCAAACAACGGCAACATGGTCAAGAATATCCTTCCTACTACATCCGTTTCTCCTGGACAAATGTCACCAAATCTACATTCAGTCAAATCAGGGCACTTCTTGTTAGTAAAGATCGAGAAACAACATGGCAAACTGGCAAGTGAGGAGTGCGTCGTCTTACCCAACTCTATTGTGTTCCAAAATTCAAAGTTTGAAATCTTCGTGAGATTACAGCATGTCACCCAGTTACGAATTAATACCCGCTTGCTTCAAAGAAATACTCACGTCGTCAAGGACATTACTACAAGGCGATTGATTGATTCGACGGCCAACAACAAAATGAATAACATACTGTACATTTCGTAGTAACAAGATAATTCACGCACTCACCCGAACAATAAAATGAATTCACCAGCTTGGATCCTTCCGCTCCATCTGCAATCATTCCTGGAATAGTGTAGAACCCTAAAGCAAACAACGTTAGTCACTGATAAGGTAGGCCGATACCATATCATCTCATATGCAAAAATCTTGTGAAAACATGTTTCTAAATACCGACCTGTCATTCCAAAAAGAATCAATCCAGCCCCCGATGATATCACTCGATGTGTAGAAAGAATTTTCTTCGTGGTTGCTTTTGATACCAAATAATCTTGTTCAGGAACGCTTTCTGGCACAATGGATCGGTCTGGTGGCCGGTCCAATTTGTCAATCTTAGCTTCAGATCCCTCGTCAGTCAACTTCGCTTCAACAAGATCGCTGTTCGCGAGTGCTTTGGAAGATGCTTCCAATTGAGGGCTAGTCGGATCGATTACGGAAAGTTCTTTATTGTCGATGTCTTGGTCTGCCTCTTCTGAATATGCTGCTCCGATGATCGGATCAATTGCCGAATCTGCCTTATTATCTATGTCTTTGTCTGTCTCTTCTTGATCTATTACTTCGGTGACCGTATCCATTGCACAATCTTCCTTCTTATCGATGTCTTGGACTACATCTTGATCTGCCGGTTTGGTGACTGTATCGATAGCAGAATCTTCCTTATCCTCTTCGACGTCATTGTCTGCCTCTTTTGGATCGGATACTTCATTGACTGTATCGATTGCAGAATCTTCCTTATCCTCGTCGATGTCTTTGTCTGTCTCTTCTTTAGGGCTGATCGCATCGATTGCAGAAAGTTCGTTCTCGTCAGTGCTTTGGTCTGCCTCGTCTTGATCTGTTACTTCGTTTACCAGATCCATAACAGAATCATCTTTCTCGTCCGTGTATCTGTCCTCCTTTTCTTGATCTGTGATTTCGGTGACAGTATTCATTGCAGAATCTTCCGTACTACCCATTTCTCCTTCTGCCTCTTCTTCATCTGCTGCTTCAGTGACCGGATCCATTGCACCATCTTGGTCTGCCTCTTCTTTATCTGCTGCCTCGGCAGCAGCAATCGCTTCCTGGAGTTCGTCCTTATCATCTTCCGTCAGTTGCACAGCCATTGACAGACGCTCCATCATGTCATCGTCCATTTCCTCATCGTCATCATCCTCCCCTTCCGCTTCGAGCTTTTCAAAAGCGACGTTCCTAAGACCCATCGAGTACTCCATTGGAAATTCGTCACCTTCATCATAATAGTACTCCTCCGCTTTCTCGAACAGATCCATGTTGACAATCGTTTTGGTTATGCTTGGAAAGAAGACGATTTTGTCGGCAGAAACATCGTAGATCTTTCGCGTGTAGCAGATTTCCTTGGCTGCTTTCATGATTGCCTCATACGATTCGGGTTCCATTTCGTCTTCCTCTTGGAAATCTTCCGAGTCCATCATTTCTTTGATCATGCCGTTCAGTTCGGTTTCGATCATGTTTTGGCGCTTCGTTGCTTCGGAAACTGGTACGGCTTCTCCCGTCGAGACAGTAGCAGAGGTTGTAGTTTCGGTTGGACTCGCAGAAAAACTTTCCACTTGAGGGCCAATCGGGTCTGCTGCAGAAACTTCCTTCTCGTCGGTTTCTTGGTCTACGTCTTCTTGATCTGTAACTTCGTTGACCGGATCCATTCCAGAGTCTTCCGACTGCCCCATATCTTGTTCGTTTCGATGTGATATTTCGATGATCGGGTCATTTGTAGCATCTTCCTTTTCGCCGGTGTCTTGGTTTGCCTCGTCTTGATCTGTTACTTCGTTTACCAGATCCATAACAGAATCATCTTTCTCGTCCGTGTATCTGTCCTCCTTTTCTTGATCTGTGATTTCGGTGACAGTATTCATTGCAGAATCTTCCTTACTACCCATTTCTCCTTCTGCCTCTTCTTCATCTGCTGCTTCAGTGACCGGATCCATTGCACCATCTTGGTCTGCCTCTTCTTTATCTGCTGCCTCGGCAGCAGCAATCGCTTCCTGGAGTTCGTCCTTATCATCTTCCGTCAGTTGCACAGCCATTGACAGACGCTCCATCATGTCATCGTCCATTTCCTCATCGTCATCATCCTCCCCTTCCGCTTCGAGCTTTTCAAAAGCGACGTTCCTAAGACCCATCGAGTACTCCATTGGAAATTCGTCACCTTCATCATAATAGTACTCCTCCGCTTTCTCGAACAGATCCATGTTGACAATCGTTTTGGTTATGCTTGGAAAGAAGACGATTTTGTCGGCAGAAACATCGTAGATCTTACGCGTGTAGCAGATTTCCTTGGCTGCTTTCATGATTGCCTCATACGATTCGGGTTCCATTTCGTCTTCCTCTTGGAAATCTTCCGAGTCCATCATTTCTTTGATCATGCCGTTCAGTTCGGTTTCGATCATGTTTTGGCGCTTCGTTGCTTCGGAAACTGGTACGGCTTCTCCCGTCGAGACAGTAGCAGAGGTTGTAGTTTCGGTTGGACTCGCAGAAAAACTTTCCACTTGAGGGCCAATCGGGTCTGCTGCAGAAACTTCCTTCTCGTCGGTTTCTTGGTCTACGTCTTCTTGATCTGTAACTTCGTTGACCGGATCCATTCCAGAGTCTTCCGACTGCCCCATATCTTGTTCGTTTCGATGTGATATTTCGATGATCGGGTCATTTGTAGCATCTTCCTTTTCGCCGGTGTCTTGGTTTGCCTCGTCTTGATCTGTTACTTCGTTTACCAGATCCATAACAGAATCATCTTTCTCGTCCGTGTATCTGTCCTCCTTTTCTTGATCTGTGATTTCGGTGACAGTATTCATTGCAGAATCTTCCTTACTACCCATTTCTCCTTCTGCCTCTTCTTCATCTGCTGCTTCAGTGACCGGATCCATTGCACCATCTTGGTCTGCCTCGTCTTTATCTGCTGCCTCGGCAGCAGCAATCGCTTCCTGGAGTTCGTCCTTATCATCTTCCGTCAGCTGCACAGCCATTGATAGCCGCTCCATCATGTCATCGTCCATTTCCTCGTCGTCATCATCCTCCCCTTCCGCTTCGAGCTTTTCAAAAGCGATGTTCCTAAGACCCATCGAGTACTCCATTGGAAATTCGTCACCTTCATCATAATAGTACTCCTCCGCTTTCTCAAACAGATCCATGTTGACAATCGTTTTGGTTATGCTTGGAAAGAAGACGATTTTGTCGGCAGAAACATCGTAGATCTTACGCGTGTAGCAGATTTCCTTGGCTGCTTTCATGATTGCCTCATACGATTCGGGTTCCATTTCGTCTTCCTCTTGGAAATCTTCCGAGTCCATCATTTCTTTGATCATGCCATTCAGTTCGGTTTCGATCATGTTTTGGCGCTTCGCTGCTTCGGAAACTGGCACGGCCTCTCCATTCGTTGTGCTTTCTTTTGGAATCGAGGATTCGTCAGTTTTCAAACGTTTGGGATCGGATTCACCATCAGTGGAGGTTTCCGTTTCGTTTGGAAGCGACTCGCTAGCTTCCAAACGTCCTGAATCGGATTCAACTGCAGACGATATTCGTTTCCAAACAATGGGCTCGGGTCCGCCATCTTCTTGCGATTCCATGTTGACTTGAGCACTTGCGAGATGAACTGGCCCCTTGGTGTAGTATTGCCTATGCGTGAAGCAAGCGCTAGAGGTAATGTATCTGCTCGATTGATTGATTGATTCATTCGTTGTTCGCTCTCAGATCCGACGAGTTCTTGTTGTTACAGACATTTCCGACTAGTAAGACTAAACCCATTCTCCGGACTTTTGTCCGGAATTTGAAAATAACTGGACATTTTGTTTTCGAACCACAGGCCACCGTGGGTGGGATGGACAATACCCCGGTAGATATAGTGATAGATAACTGTGTATACTGTATAAAGAATTGCTATCAATAGCTAGCTATGTAAGGTGCTGCCTCCAGATTATTCCTGGCAGAAAAATGGTAGCACTTGACAGAATGAATAAAAAGCTCATTCCTTCTTGCCCTTTTTCTTGCCCTTCTTGTCCTGTTCTCTTCGTTTGGCCTCTTCAATGGCTTCCATATCTTCGCTTACAGCAACACCCGCAAGTGCCGAGCAAAGTCCAGCCCCAGGTCCAAAGACGGCGCTAATTGACATGGCTTCGATGACCGCTTGCGGGGACCCGGACTGGACCCCAATGTAAACGAGACCCGAGAACCAGAGCGCCAACAGTTCCAGAGACTTGTAGCTTAGCTTGGTTGGTGCATTAGTCCATAATTCGTCACAGACACCTTGGATAGAAGACCATCCAAAAGCCGGTATGATCATGAAAAAGAGCAACCAGAGCCACGTAGCGACTGACAAGAGGCCAGCAGCTCCATACATCAACGCCATTAGTCGCCGTGAAGTTGTAGCAATTTCCTTCTTTTCCTTTGTTTCTTCGGTCGATGGATCTCCAATCAAACTCAACAGCATGCTGCATCCAGAAAAGATTGGCCCCGCCAATAATCCGACACAATTCGACCAACCGGAACTTCCTGGATTGAGGTAAAATATCAAAATTGTCAAAACCAACTGAGGCAGCACCAAGGGCAAGGAAGCATAGACTCGAAGGGGGTTAATGGCACTCTTGGGTTCGCCTTTATAGGCACAGTAGAGCGGTAACCACAGTAGAGGGAAAACGACGGCCAAACCAAATTCCTGACTCAAGATCCAAAAAATCAATGGCATTTTCAATGCACCTCCAGCATCCCCACGTCCAGCTTCCAACAACATTGCCATGAGCAATGGCATGGAGGTGGTTGCCGACAACATCATAGCAATGGCACTGGCATTGTATTCATTTAGCTGGTAGTAAAGTTGCGTTTGGCGACACACCATTCCGCTGAAGGCTCCGAATTCAAAGTCTTCCGCATAACTGACCATACCTGGATGGTCTTGAAGCCATTGTTCCATATTGCCATTGGTGGGATCTTTGCAGGCTTGGACCCAATCGGCCTCGTAAGTGTCACTGGTTTGGTACCATATGAAGGCACCGACAATTACACTGGAGGTAGCCACGGCCAACATTTCAGTGTGTTCATTGAAAAACCTCTTTGCAGTCTCGAGATCCATGATGGATGAATGAATGAATGAATGAATAGCGGTATTTATTAGTAGATATGATATGATATATACTAATACTTTCTTGAGGTATGTATATTTTATGGCGTCAAGTGATAGGTGAGTTTTTCGTCTCTTTCAAATAGGAGAAGGTGAAGAATTACCAAAGATCCCAAAGACTCGATGATGTCAGAAATAGTGAGGTGATTGTCGTCTTGCGGAAAGAAGAGAAGGTGAAGAATAATGATGGTGAGATGTGATGATGTCAGAAATCAGAAGACGGATTTTCATTCGTGATTATTTTATTTAGATGTTGTTCGACTGAGTCGAAAGTATCGTCTGTCTGTTATACGCACAACCACCCAACGGAAAACCGTGCCAATCAATCAAAATCAATGAAATCCCCAACAAAATAATAAGCCGATTGATCAATCAAGTCATCAATCCAACAATAGCAGAGAACAACAAGCAGCAAACCAAAAGAGAACCCGCTACAACAAATAAAAAAATACAATGAAGACCTTTGCACTGATACTACTTGCAATCGCAATACAGAATGCATCAAGTTTTGCTCCAATCTCCTCAGCAACTCGCATCATGACAGCATCGTGCCACGTGACACCATCCTTGCAAGCCAGCAACTATTATGACGATGACGATGAGGGTGATCTCGCTAAGGTGCCGAGACGACGAGAAAGGGGACGCATGTTTGATAGCGAAGAAGAAGAGAGTGAATTCTACGACCGAGTGGAAGAACGGGTGTATGCCAATGTAGAGGATGACGAGGAAGAATACGATGATGACGATGAAGACGACGACTTGGATGACGAAGAATGGGAAAATTATGATACTTTTTCCAATGTCGTTATTGACAATCCAATATTGGATGCCATCGATCCCGATGGTGCCTTTGCTAGATTTCCAGAACTCGCTCGAGACCCTCGCTTTTGGATTGATATGATTCTGTTCATTTGCTTTTTGAACTTTTTGAGTGACATTGGTCCTCGAAACACGTTACCAGACACTTCATGGTATCCTGATGGAGTCAATATCAATATTGTTGGGGTCAATACCCTAAATCCAATGTGAATATGGTTATCAGCAAGAAGGGGAGAGATGATAATAGATGGTGAGGAGGGACATGATGGAACGAAACAAAAAGCACCAATTTGAAATGTAGCAAAAGTCACAAACTTCCACTGTTTCGCTTATGACACAGTCCATGGTGGAGTCTCAATACAAGTCAATGACGGAATCACAAATGTTGAAAGACTCAAGAAGAAATTGCTGACAAAAGCCAACAGAACGCCAAGTAGTCACAAAAATAGAATAATTGTCAGTAAAACCTAAATCGTGTACATGATTCAAATCATCTTAACAGCACAGGCTAATATCCCCGTAATCTTTTCTGAATATAAAAGCGACTGTAAGATGTCAGCGTACAGTATCATACAAGTACAATGGCAGATTTGAGGTGCGAGGCACCCAGTTGAGATTTTCTGTGACGTCATCCAATCATCGGCATCTGACAGGTGGCACTATAAAAATATTTGTATCTTTGCAACAAGGTCTGTCAAAACGGTTGTACCAGATAGGTGAACATGTATTCCACTACACCGGTGCTTATTCTGCTGCTGTCAAGGTTTATTCATTCTGCGTATGGATTCTCCTTCAACTCGGTGACAACGAGTGGCATCACGATTCAGTCATCACCAGCATGTGATGATGATGATGTCGAGTTTGGTCGTCGAGCTTTTGTCCAATCGACCCTGGCGTCAGCCTTCTTGGTGGCAACTACAACTTCACCTGCGCATGCATCATACATTGATCCAACCACGAATCCCCCTGAAATCACAAAACGCGTCTTCATCGATGTCTTGATCAATGGCAAGGGTGAATACAGAATAGAGATCGGACTTTTTGGTGAACTCATGCCACGCACTGTCGACAACTTTGCAAAGCTATTTGAATCAAACGCATATGCAGGAACCGACTTTTATCGGGTGCTTTCGGACTTTTCAATTCAAGGTGGGGCAATCGGAGACCCATCCGGCAAAACAGGACAATCCTCTTTGGATGGAGGGAAACCATTTGAGCCTGACAACTTCAATCTAAAACACACGAAGGAAGGCCTAGTGTCAGCTGTTCGCGGATTGGACGGTAGGATCGACTCTCGCTTCTTTATCAATTGCAAGGATGATGCAGGTACGCATAGTACATAAGCAATTTGGGAGTCTCAAGAATTGAGCCCTCTTCTCATCATTTCTGTTCTTCGTGTTCAAAACAGGATGGGCTGATGACCGCTATGCCGCATTCGGTATAGTTCTTGGAAACGGAATGGATGTCGTCAAGCGCATCGAGAAAGTACCTGTGAAACCTCCAAAAAACAGCCCATTGAACGAAGTTAGGATCTTGAAAAGCGGTGCCCTTTGATGAACATGCCAGTGTAAGATGGGAGAAGTGCAATAGCTAAATATATAGAATGGATATCAATGCTGGATCCAGTGCCCCACTTGGCACGCAAACAACAATGAAGGTTCCAGGCGACGAATATAGAATCTGCAACAAGGAATCACAAATTCTAGCACTCTGGAATCAAAACCTTTAAATTGGTGGTATTTACATACTACTGTAATGATGGCAATAAAACTATTTCACACTTTCTCTAATCGGCATGGGGGAACGGCATACTGACACCTGCACCACCATCTCCTGGGGCTCCGTTCATCTCCTTTTGTCGCTGAATATCACGGTTGCGACGACCACGGAAGATCCATCGGATGGGAGTAGCTTCAAAACCATCCAAGGATTCTCGGAATTTACGATCCAAGTACCGTCTGTAATTATCATTGAGAAGTTTTGGATCGTTGACAAAAACAACAATGGTAGGAGGACGGGTACTGACTTGATTGCAGTAGTAGATCTTAGCTTGTGCACCGTTTCTTTTTGCGGGTGGTGGTTGCCACAAAATTGCGTCTCTGAGAACTTCATTCAGAACCGATGTCGAAACTCGCTTGCGGTGCGCTTGAATGGCTTCATCGATAATACCATAGAGCTTTCCAACGCGTTGGCCAGTTGCGGCGGAAATGAAAAGGATGGGGGCCCATCGAATCATTGGCATCTCTGCTCGCATGTACTTGACAGACTTGTCGTATGTAGTCGAGTCCTTATCCACAACGGCATCCCACTTGTTGCAAATGATGGCACAGGCGCGTCCGTCATCTGCAATCTTTTGGGCAAGAATACGATCTTGTTCTGTCACACCAGCGGTGGCGTCAAGAATCAACAAAGCTATCGACGCAAGACGAATGAGTGAGGATCATCAACTGGTCTGGTTTTGCAAGCTATGTGTCGGTGTCCAGAACTTACCAACATCAGAACGTCGAATAGCTCTAAGTGCTCGGTTGACCATGAAGAATTCAGGTCCAAACTCAACCTTTCCCTTACGACGAATACCAGCGGTATCCACAAAACGGTAAATGGTTGGCAAGTCTCCCTCGATTTCGGGCGGTCTTTCCATGGCACAATCAATCGAATCTCTGGTGGTACCAGCCATGTCACTGACGATGGCACGGTCATCTCCAAACAAGTTGTTCAGCAAACTAGACTTTCCAACGTTGGGTCTGCCAACGATGGCAACGTTAATTTCTTCCGGTCGCTCTTGATCATCAAAAGCCTTCAATGCTGCTTCGTATTCTTTTTCAATTTCCTTGCCAACATCGCCAAGACCGTACTTTCTAATTTTGAAATCAATTTCATCTTCTCCAGGCAATGGCTTCTTGGAGTTCTTTCGAATCTTTGCTTCATGCAATCGCTGTACCTTGGTTCCAAATGTATCAATTCCAGCTGTCTTGGCCTCGACAATCTGCTGAAACAATCCTTCAAGAAGTTCGGCAGTTCCAACTCCATGAAAAGCTGAAACAGGGACTGGTTCCCCCAATCCTAGATTCCAAAATTCGGCAGCATTGAGTGCTCCATGTGTTTCACTTTCACACTTGTTGACAGCCACTGTAACTGGCATTCGAGGCAATACCTCGCGTCGCAAAAAGTCGGCAATGGCCAAATCCATGGCAGTCAAACCTACTTGACCATCTACGACCATGATAACACCCGAAGATTCATCAATTGCAACATTTGCTTGTTGTCTAATTTCCTTGGCAAAGAGTGTACCTTCATCGTCATCAAACACCAAACCACCCGTGTCCACCAATTGAAAGTTCTCTCCCAAAAAATTGGCCGGACGGTAGGTACGATCTCTGGTGATGCCCGATTCATCCGCCACAATGGCACCTCCCTGGAAGCTTCCAGCAATGCGGTTCACCAAGGCAGACTTTCCAACGTTGGGACGTCCAATGATGGCAATCAATGGCTCTCGCTTGACCGTACGATAACGCCGAATGGGTTTGGAAGATGGCTTGGGTGTGGAAGAAGCATCTCGGGAGGCATTAGTGCTATTGGTACTAGCATCGGTACTGGTGGATACCATGGAGCGAATAGTCCATCTATTATGATAGATATTTGTGCTCACTCCACCGGTAGGTGCCAAGGTAAAGCCAGTGGCAGTTGGCAACACCATAAGGAGAAAGGCTGATATTCTGAATAGAACCTGATTCATCATGATGATTCCGTGTCAGTAAGTTTTCAATTTCGATTCGATAGCTACTTCTCTGCTTGTGTTTCTGGTCTATTTAGATTAGATGAAAGAGAGCAATGTACGTGTTTTGTAAAGTGAAATGGATATTGAGTAGTAGCACTGCAATACACCCCGATGTGATGTGTCTCCTCAACGTCAATGATGTTCTTTTGGGACATCTGCGTTCAACCCGTTGGTTGTGATGGGTGTTCGCACGGCATGACAGACAGACTTCGCCTCTTTAAAATTATTCATTCGAGTCGAAAAAGAAGGGTCCAGTTGACATGACTCAAGAGGTTTAGGTTTAATAATACAACTAGCTAGTTTGATGAATATGGATAGCTCGGATTCGCCGTTGTGGTGAGAGACTAAAACAGATTTCTTTTAAGCGACGGCAACTTCCTCTTTCTTGATGGAAGCCTTTGCGACGACTTCTTCCGGCATTTGAGACGAATGGTGATGGACAATCTTCCATGCATCTCCCTCCTTGGCATAGACAAAAGAGTAGCGAGCCTTGACCACCGCACCTGTAGCTCCCATGGTAAACTCGTAGATTCCATCGTCCATGCACCAGTCGTCACCGGCGGTGACATAGGATTCCAAGATTACACCTTGGGGTTCCAACTTGAGGAAGTTAACAAAATAGTCCTTGATAGATTCGTGATCGGTTCGTGGAAGATCGCTAACGGTTGGGAGCAGGCATGGGCTCTTGGAGTATCTCTTGGCCACAGTCTCGGGGTCAAGAGTTGCCAAAGCATCATTCCACAGGTGGAAAAGACTACGGACTTCAGAGTCGGTGGGCTTGGAGGATGCTTTGGAAGCGCCAGCATTGGCTTTTGCGAGCTGTTCTTCGGGCATGACGGACGAGTGGTGGTGAGCAATCTTCCATTGACCATCTTCCCACTGGTACACAAAGGAGTAACGACCCTTGACAACAGCCCCAGAGGCGCCCATCGTGAACTCGTAGATACCAGTGTCTTGGCACCAGTTGTCACCGATGAGCACGTTAGACTCGAGGATTTCTCCTTGAGGTTTCATCTTCAGGAAGTTATCAAAGTAGTCAACGATTCCTGCCTCGTCGGTGCGTGGAATATCACTGACAGTAGGAAGGAGGCAAGCATTCTTGGCGTAACGCGATGCCACGGCCTTGGAGTCAAGAGTGGCAAGGGCCGAGTTCCAAAGCTGGAAGAGTCCTCGGACTTCTTCGACGTTGATTTCCTTGGAGATGTACAGGTTCTCAGGCATCACAGAAGAATGATGATGGGCAATCTTCCATTGCTTATCTTCGTAAACATAGGTGTATGTGTACCGAGCCTTGACCTTATCACCAGTGGCTCCCATTGTGAACTCATAAATACCACAATCTTGGGCCCAGTCAGCGCCGATGCGGATATCGCCTTGAAGGATTTGACCTTGTGGCTCCATCTTGAGGAAGTTATCAAAGTAGTCCTTGATTGAGTCGTAGTCACAACGAGGAACGTCAGACACGGTTGGGAGGAGGATGGGGTCCTTGGCGTAACGCTGCGCAACGATGCGAGAATCGCCGGTTGCGAGAGCGCTGTTCCAGAGAGAGAACAGTGAACGAACTTCGGCTTGGCTAATCACGGAGTCGGCAACTGCAACATCGGCCTGCTGTTTCTTGGCCTTGGGTCTCTTGTTCCTCTTCCTCTTGCCAGCAGCATACAGAGTTGTGGATGTACTAGCTGTTTGGCTGAGAGACAAAGCAGGTTGAGGAAGAGGAGCAAAACCTTCTACGGCCGCGGCAAAAGCGAGGATTAAAGCACCAGTAGAGAGCTTCATTGTATTTGCAGGTTGTTTTTTCAAAATCCTGAAATGAAATTATGGTTGCTAGAAAAACGGGAAATGATGACGTCGTGGTTTCCTCTGACAGGGGAGGAAGAGCCTTGAAAATCCTGGTCAGCGTCTGGGTTGCGGTTCGGATTTTGGCAATTTGTCGTTTCTGGTTCCCTTCATTGGTCACAGTTCTTCCGATGTTTCCATTCACATGATTCATTTGGCCGGATCTGTACCCTCTTCCATGTATTCTCAGACATTTATTTTCGTAATACCGTACAGCAGGTGTACATATTGATATTACGTTATATACATACATATGAACACAGGTAGGACTATGATAATAGGGGTTGTCAATGAACCCAACCCAACTCTTTTCTTTTTTTTGGGCAGCTGTGATTGGTCGAGCCAAAAAAAAAAATAGTTGGTTTGGGTCAGAAGAAAAAAAATAGTTGTGCCGAAAAGAGACCCAACTATATTATAGTTGGGTCTTCAATGACCCGGAGATAATTGATTCGCGGGATAAAAGATTTACAATTCTTGTCCAATGTTTTAGATTTATCGTGTGGAACAGTTCAATTTTGAGTAAACGTAGCCCAAACTTAAACAAAGAATAGTTGGGTCATGCTATTTTTCGACGAAAAATAAGTAGGCAAATATATCTACGAGATATCGTACGTCTCCCTAAACTACCGGCTTTTCCCCAAAAATAGTTGGTTCGTGGCTTCAAAGGGGGTGGTCAAATATCGGGGAAAATACTGCCCTTCTATTGGTCAATAAAAATAAACCAAAAATAGTTGGGTTGGGTTCATTGACAACCCCTAATGTCGCTACAGTAGTGTTTTTTAAATCTAACGGACAAGAAATGCAATGAAGAGTTGGCTTTTCTTTCCTGCGCCTGCGCTTTGCTTCGTGATGACGACGCTGCACAATGCTCCTTTATGCCCTGGTGGGTTCGTAGTCTCTGCCTTGGTCTACGTGCCTTCTCTTCCAAGCTACAACGCCAGGATCCTTTTGCATACTAGACAACATGTTCATGAAGTTTGTGGCGATGCGAACCTTGCCATCACTTTTACCAATCCTTGGAACCAGAAGGCTGCAATGGATCCGAAGGTGATACCACTGTGAGTGAAGTGTCACCGTTGCAATGGGTGTTCAATGCACCTAACGGTAGCGGTATCTTATCCTGCAGTAAACACGTGGGTCCTTGATCTTAATCGAAAGAAGCAAGTTGCCAAGGTGAGAATGCTGGCCGCATGCCATCAAAAATTAAAATGATATTTAAAGTATTAGTAGCAGTACTCTCTACATGCTGTAATACAATAGGTCGACGAATATGGAAAGCTCGGATCCACTGTTAGCAACGGTGTGTGTGGGGGGGGGGGGTGGGGGGTCAAGTAGGCTTTGTTTTTTTAAGCTGCCAAGACCACTTCCTCCATTTTGATGGAAGCCTTTGCGACGACTTCTTCCGGCATTTGAGACGAATGGTGATGGACAATCTTCCATTCATCTCCCTCCTTGGCGTACACAAAAGAGTAGCGAGCCTTGACCACCGCACCTGTAGCTCCCATGGTAAACTCGTAGATTCCATCGTCCATGCACCAGTCGTCACCGGCGGTGACATAGGATTCCAAGATTACACCTTGGGGTTCCAACTTGAGGAAGTTAACAAAATAGTCCTTGATAGATTCGTGATCGGTTCGTGGAAGATCGCTAACGGTTGGGAGCAGGCATGGGCTCTTGGAGTATCTCTTGGCCACAGTCTCGGGGTCAAGAGTTGCCAAAGCATCATTCCACAGGTGGAAAAGACTACGGACTTCAGATTCAGGAAGAGCGTTGGATGCCTTAGAAGCGCCAGCATTGGCTTTTGCGAGCTGTTCTTCGGGCATGACGGACGAGTGGTGGTGAGCAATCTTCCATTGACCGTCTTCCCACTGGTACACAAAGGAGTAACGACCCTTGACAACAGCCCCAGAGGCGCCCATCGTGAACTCGTAGATACCAGTGTCTTGGCACCAGTTGTCACCGATGAGCACGTTAGACTCGAGGATTTCTCCTTGAGGTTTCATCTTCAGGAAGTTATCAAAGTAGTCAACGATTCCTGCCTCGTCGGTGCGTGGAATATCACTGACAGTAGGAAGGAGGCAAGCATTCTTGGCGTAACGCGATGCCACGGCCTTGGAGTCAAGAGTGGCAAGGGCCGAGTTCCAAAGCTGGAAGAGTCCTCGGACTTCTTCGACGTTGATTTCCTTGGAGATGTACAGGTTCTCAGGCATCACAGAAGAATGATGATGGGCAATCTTCCATTGCTTATCTTCGTAAACATAGGTGTAGGTGTACCGAGCCTTGACCTTATCACCAGTGGCTCCCATTGTGAACTCGTAGATACCACAATCTTGGGCCCAGTCAGCGCCGATGCGGATGTCGCCTTGAAGGATTTGACCTTGTGGCTCCATCTTGAGGAAGTTGTCAAAGTAGTCCTTGATTGAGTCGTAGTCACAACGAGGAACGTCAGACACGGTTGGGAGGAGGATGGGGTCCTTGGCGTAACGCTGCGCAACGATGCGAGAATCGCCGGTTGCGAGAGCGCTGTTCCAGAGAGAGAACAGTGAACGAACTTCGGCTTGGCTAATCACGGAGTCGGCAACTGCAACATCGGCCTGCTGTTTCTTGGCCTTGGGTCTCTTGTTCCTCTTCCTCTTGCCAGCAGCATACAGAGTTGTGGATGTACTAGCTGTTTGGCTGAGAGACAAAGCAGGTTGAGGAAGAGGAGCAAAACCTTCTACGGCCGCGGCAAAAGCGAGGATTAAAGCACCAGTAGATAGCTTCATTTTAATTTTATTTGTATTTGTCGGTGTCTTCTCAAACAAAAGGCAAAATATGATGGGATGAAATGGACGACCAGGATACCAAATTCCTTGACATCCACGCATGCGTGGTGGTTTGTTTTAGTGCGTCTTCAATTTTGCGAATCTGTGGCTTTTGATTGGTCGTAATACTTGTGATGCCAAATGACATCATTCACTGGGACCACGAATCGTTATATGGTGTTGCAGTGCATCTGCCGGCAAAGCCTGGAGGCTTACGCTCGGCATTATTTCAAGAAATTCCTTCTCCTTCTGATCATAATCATTCATGAGATGCTTGGATATTTGTTGAAGGTAGAGGGTTCTCCGCTCGGTCAGGGATTGATTCGATCGACTAAAGTCTGACGTGCGTGAATTCTCTGGAACCAAAACCTTGGAAACCTGCACCTGGTGATGCACCACACAAAAAGATATCCTCATAATACTGTACCGGTACCTGGTACATCTCCATAGTATCAAACTTCTGACAGTCGACTGTGAAGAATGAAGTCGATAAGCCTTGTGTTGATACTTCCTGTCTATGGGTTTTCCCTCAACCCAAGCCTGCCATCAGTGACTAGAGTGCGTTGGTCGCCACACTGCTCCTCGTCGACGAAAATATCATCATCATCATCTCCTACCGGTACCGGTATCAATCACAAAACTTCCTTTCTGCGATCGTCAGAAGAGACACAACATTCAGATATTGACGCCATACCAGAGGCAGAAGACACGCAAAAGGATGAGACTACTCTGGCATCGAAGCGCCAAATGATGAGCTTTGCCATTCCGGCACTTGGAATTTTCCTTGCCAATCCTCTTCTTTCCAACATTGACAATTCTTTTGTTGGAAAGACAGTGGGAACTGCAGGACTGGCTGCTTTGTCTCCAGCAACCATCTGCACGGATCAAATGCTTTACTTGTTTTCATTTCTGTCTCGAGCGACAACTGGATTGGTTTCGAGAGCTTATGGTTCCAAGACAAACGACGTGGAAAAGAATGAGGCTGCTGCCGAAGCTGGATCTGCACCTCTGACGGTAGCCTTGATCTCGGGATTTTTCCTGACTACTGTCTATGCGTTGTTTACCCCGGCCATGCTGGCTGCCTTGAAGGTCACTCCTGCCTTGCGCGGTCCTGCTGCATCCTACATTTATTGGCGGGGTGCCATTTCCTGGGCGGCCCTCGCCCAATCGGTGTGCCTCAGTGTCATGCTGGCCACTCGCGATGCAATTACACCCTTGAAGATTGTTGGCATGGCAGCGGGGGTGAATATTGTTGCAGATTATCTTGCTTGCGTTTGGCCCCTTAGATTGGGATGTTCAGGAGCAGCCGCCGCCACATCTTTTGCGACCTTGTTTAGTTGTGGGTTCATGATCAAGGCCTTGAAAAAGAAAGGAATACTTCCAAAGATTCGATTGCCGACCAAGAAGGAGCTTGCTAGTCTCACCGAGTTCACCGGGCCACTCCTGGCGATCACCATTACCCGATTGATTGGATTTGTCAGCATGCAACGGACAGCCATGACCCTTGGGGTCAAACATACGGCAGCCTACCAAATGAGTATCAACCTCGTCATCTTTTATCTACTCTTTGCCGAGCCACTCAGTCAGCTGAGTCAGACGCGGTTACCAGGATTGATTGATTCGAATGATACCAAAGGTGTTTTGGACACCCTCAAGTCTGTCTTGGTGCTGGGAGGAGGAACCGCTTTGACAGTTGGAGCCGTGGCAGGACTAAGTCTTTTCTTTGGGTCCGCAGTCTTTTCTTCCGATCTAGCGGTACAGGCGCTAGCCAAGAACGCTGCACCAGCAGTCTTTCTGACTGTACTAACTGCCATTTTTGCTGTCACAATTGATGGAGCAATGCTAGCAAGCAGAGATTTCAGCTTCATGCTGATACAGGGTGTTATGACGATGATCTTACAATTATTCCTATTGAAGAATTGGTGTTCAAGCATACCTCAAGTTTATGCCACGTTTACCATCCGATTAGGTTCCTATGCGGCGTCTTCTCTTTTGAGAGTGTTTTCAGGGTTCGGGCCACTTGGCCGTGTTATTCGTGGGAATAAGAAGGAAGAAGATTACAGACAAATGCTTAGCCTGTAATTTAGATGGTTCCATTCGGACCAGTTGCGCAATTTTTGTTTGACTATTACTCTAATCTCATCGTTTTACTTTCATGGGTGTTGGTGTCATATGTCTGTCGTCACCTGCCTAGTGACTGACTGACTCGCGCGACTGAATGAAAGATTTTCGGAGTTTCAGACTGGAACACTTCTCACTCGATATGGGACTTCACGTAAGATACTGCATGAAGTCGGGACTCTTTCTCTTTTCACCGCACAATGCCAGTCGCCTCAAAGGTGCAAGACATTCTTACATTCTATTGTTCATTTGAGTTTGAAGCACATTCATCATGGTGCTGTTTTCAATGAATAGTAGCAGGTCCCTCAATTCTGAGGGGTCTACGCTATCAACGGGAAGAGACATTAAAAGATCCGTAGAGAAGGTGCCTCTCCTTCCGGTGCAAACACCTACCAAAATCGATTTTGAAGGTGACGAAGCATTGGAAAGGATTGTGCGAAAGCTTGGGAAGTTTACTGGTGTCAAACCGAATACTCTCATCGATACCAAGTTGCGACAACCGTTGATAGTGGAATTGAGTACAAAGCGACAAGAATTGTTTCAGGAGCTACTTCAATTGGCCATTGACGAACGCGGTGAGGTAGAAGACTGGACCGATAAGGCATTTGCAACAAAGATTATTGAGATAGTGCACGGCACATACTCAAGTATGCCCCCTCTGCATCCACAAACGAGAGCATTCCAGCAACATGCGGCAAAATTTCTCGATTGCAGAAGCCGGATGGACGCAGAGTATTTCGAAAACAAGGAGTTTCAGCAGATTGCGCTGCTGTGTGTTCAAACGAATTCAGCTGGCATTGAATCCGACACTCAACAGTATAAGCAGCAATCGATGACGGGAGCGCCAGTCGATTCATTTGACGAGCTGTACGAGGCTGCGACTATTGCAAATCCCATCTTCAAAGATACTGTGATGCGCCTCCTTGATCGAACACGCAAGGACTGTGGCGGTTCTGGAGACGGCGTCGCTATAGAATTTCCGAGATTGAAGGACAGGGAGCGCGCATTGCAAAAGGCAGACGACGACTACATGAATCGCACATCGGGTCCTGCCATGTGTTGGTTGTATGACATTGTGAGATGCAGCATCGAGTTTAATTCAGTAGATCAGATCACAAGGTTCTTGGATCTAATGAAGGCCGATGACTCGATCTATATCGTAAAGTCCAAAAATCGGTTCGCACAGCCAGGACTTTCGGGGTATCGAGACTTGTTGTTTCATATCCAAATTAGCACACTGCATGGATTCAAGCACATCTGCGAGATTCAGATTCATCATAAGGAAATGAAGAAACTGGACAAAGAACTTCTGTCGCATTTCTACTATGAATTCTTTCGCTCGTACCTGACTCGAGATGAAGATGCGCTGCAGGATCGTTTGGACGATTTGGAAGTCATCACAGGAGAAGCATTTCTCGATGAGCATGCTTTGGAGAATCTGCTTCGCCAGCCAATGGAAGTGTCGGAAATCAATAGATTCGTTAACTTGTTCAGTGATCAACTCGGTGAGGATGAATGGGCAATGCGCTTCGTTGCCAAGTTGTTGTGGCGTGACATGAATACGAACGGACCATCCACTATCACCATTGCAAATGCTTACGATAAGCTCGGAAAAATTCTTCAAAAGACATATCGTGGGAAAATGGACGAGGAGGCACTTCTGCTACACCTGAGATCTCTCAGTATCAAGAAGAAGGAGCTCGGAAACAAGGATATTGCACTGGCCCAAACCTACGAAAACATTGCCCTACTTCACATTTCCATGGACGAACACTTGGAAGCCATGAAGCATCTCAAAGGTGCACTCGAAATCAAAACGAGGAATCTAGGAGAATATCACCTCTCTGTAGCACAAACTTACAATCACATGGTCACTCCAAGTTTACAGCTGAAGAGAACCGCTGACGTCGTAGAGCTGTGTCATCGATCAGTGCAAATCAGATCAAGCAGAGTAGGCAAGGATCACCCTGATCTTGCTGACGTCTACCGGTTGTTGGCAGGTGCCTTCCTCCGACAATCCAAGTACTACGATGCCCTTGAGAACTACGAAAGATCGCTTGAAATCAGAAAGAAGCTGGTTGGAGAGAACGACGAATCTCTTCTGGAAGACTATAAAGGGTTATTGCATGTCCAGTTCCATCAAGGTCGCTTGAATAGAGTCCAGGAGCTGCATCAGCGAATTTCATACATAAGGCTTAAAATGTCAAAGGGAAAATTGACCAAGCCTTTGCCTGGAAAACATTTTATCAAGAGCCTGAAAGTACTTCGAATAGCGTCTGCTCCGGTATCCTTCTGCTTGAATGGATTTTGGTGCCGAAGAATGAGTTCGATGGGAATTTCCCAGAAATATTTGAAGGGATGTTTCATCGATGAGGCGTTTGAAGGGTCTGACGGGGAGGATGCGCTTTCGGGTTTTCTAAGAAGTGCTCATTTGTGTTTGGTCTAGTTCTTGCCAGCACGCACCACCACGATTGGATCTATTTCTGGAAATAATGGCTCCGCCTTCGGCGTTAAAACTTGAAATCAGATGCATGTCCAATTCATTTGTGCTTCAATGTAAACTAAACATGATACATTTGTGTACCAATTGAAAAACCGTGGCGAGCATGATAGAGGATCGATTGTACTCGTAGTGTAGTAACCAGCTAAACTCCAGAATTGATTCACACGAATGAATCGTCGATGACTGCTTGACTCGATGAGACCCATTACTCGATCTGCTGATCTTATTCGACAGTGCAGTGCAGTGTGTCATGGAAACACTCACCGGATGACTGACACCACAACTGGTTTGTTTGAAGCATGAACATACAATTATCAGGTAATTAACAATGCAATCAATAGATAAGAGTCGAGAGCGAGAAGTCAGAAAGTTGGCCCTGAAGCGGAAACAAATATTTGATGCCCAACTTCGCACAGCAATTAAAGAGCATGGACCGATGGAGACTTGGTCTGATATGACATTTGCGACGAACACCATTCAGACAGTGGATCTGGCGTATTTGACAATGCCGCCCTTGCATCCGACCTCGAAAAGTTTCCTGGATCATGCTGCCAAGTACCTCGATTGCCGGCGCCAAATGGATACCAAATATGAAGAAATTGACGAGTTTCAGAAGATTGCACGATTTTCGGTTCAAACGGATTCGGGTGGCATTGAAATCGAAAACAATGATAGTATCGAGTTTAAGCAAGAGTACCAGCAACAGGCGACGTCGGGAACACCGGTCAGCTCAATGGAGCAACTTTATGAGGCAGCACAAATTGCAGAACCTGTCTTCAAAGATATTGTGACGAGCCTAGTTGACAGAGTATGCACCGCCTGCGGAGATTCGCGAGAAGCTTTAACCCTGAAATTTCCGCCTTTGAAGGGAAGAAAGAGAGCTAGAGAGAAATCAGATGACGACTACATTCATCGAACGCCGGATCCTGGACTTTCTTGGTTGTACGATATTGTGAGAGGAAGTATCGTGTTTTCATCTGTGGACCAGATTGCAGCTTGCTTGGAGATTATGAAGGCCGATGACGCTATCCATATTGTAAAGGCTAAAAATCGCTTTGCGAAGCCGGGACTATCAGGATATCGGGATTTGGTATTTCATATCCAGATTGATACGCTGGGTGGCTTCAAGCACATCTGTGAGGTTCAGATTCACCATGAGGAAATTAAGAAATTGGAGAAGGAACTTCAGTCGCACCTATACTATGAGTTCTTCCGCTCGTACTTTGCTGGGGGCGAAGATGGGCTCAAGGATCGTTTGAACGACTTGGAACTAATCATGCAGCATAAAGATGCTGGGAAAGTATCCAATGGTGAAGATTTGAAAGACAAGGAATTGTCCAGCACTGGTGAAGATTTCTTTGAGAGTATGCTGCAACGACCGATGGAAGCTTCAGAAATCACACGCTTCTGTACCTTGTTCAGTGATCACCTCAATGAATATGACTGGGCCGCTCGATGTTGTATCAAGCTATTGCGATGCGAAATGGATTCGGATGGGCCGTCAAGTGTCGCTGTGGCAGATGTGTACAGTAGGTTTGGGAGGATTCTGCTGAAAGCTTATGCTGGAACAATGCTCGAGCAAGCGGAACAGCTACATCAGAGATCACTACAGATCAAGACGAAGGAGCTAGGAGAGAAAAATATTGCTCTAGCTCATACTCACGAAAGCATTGCTCTTGTGCAAATACGCCTGGAGCGTCCTTTGGAAGCCATGAAACACCTTGAACTAGCGCTCGAGATAAAGAAGAATATGCTAAGAGGTGATCCTCTCTCTCTTGCAAAAACGTATGATCATATGGCGACGGCAGCTATAGACCTCGACGAGAAACCTGAAGCTATTCTGGAACTGTGCCAACGGTCTCTTGAAATTCGATCGAGCAAGGTTGGTGAAGACCATCCCGACCTTGCCGGTGTATACCATAACATGGGCGATGTCCTGTCGAAGCAATCGAAGCATCGCGATGCCCTGCAGAAGTATGAACGGTCATTGGAACTCCGAAAGAGGCACTTTGGAGATGACCACGAATCTCTTATGGAGGATTATAGGGCGATGTTGAAGATCCATTTCGAAGAAGGGCGCTTGTACGAAGTAAAGGCTCTGCAAAAGAAAATCACCCCAGTCATAATGAAGGTGGCTTCTGGTAAATCACTGGCATACTATGCATACTGCAGGGAAAACGAAGGTTTTGTCCGGCGTCTGATTGTGTTTCGAATGTTGTGTTTTCCTTGTTTCATGGCTCCTTCCTTCAAAGCATTTGCCTACGGAAAGATGAGTAATTGGAAGATGGGGACGGATCCACCCAGATAAAGGAAAAAGTGATTGAAAAGAACAGGCGAGAAGACTTTTCCAAACTAATTTCTTCAGGATCAGTTCAATCAAAGCGTAAGGAGGCCATGCAAATGTACGATCGGCCGCTGGATCTCTGTAAGACACTTTGAAGAGGCGGACCACAAAGCTGTCTCTATGAAAGGATGAGTGATTGGAAGATGACAACAGTGTAAAATTCAAAATAGTATTTTTAGATCATGTCACATGATGTGATATATTTCATCTGGCGTCTTGCAGTCATACGCACGCAAATTATTTTAACGTTCCGTTAACGTCTCCTTCCTTTCGGATCCTCGTCCTTCGTTGTTGTTTCGATCGACCCGTTTCATGATCACAATGGCATATTAGTGAAATAAAGAGGCTAGAAGACGTACTTGCAGCTTGTTTTTCATAAAAGCAACAACACAACAAAATCGATAAGAGACTGAAGTAGCGGTACCACCAAGTGTTCAACCTACTTATTCCTAGACAACGATCCAATTCAACAAACAGACAACTTAACATCCAACAAAATTCAAAATGAGTTCGAACGATTTGGAAGGAGACGATATCTGGGGAGATGGAGGCAACGAAGAAGCCAAAGAAGAGACTAAAGAAGAAGCCCCACAGGAGGAAGACGTCGAAGATGATGAAACTAGACACATGACTGTTGGGGAATTGAGACAACGCATGCACTTGATTCAAAATGACATTCGAGTGATGAAGTCGGATGTTCAGAGAATCACGCACGACAGTCGTTCCCAACGAGAGAGAATTCGTGAGAATCAAGAAAAGGTCAAGCTGAATAAGCAACTTCCCTACCTTGTGGCAAACGTTGTTGAGATTTTGGAGCCTGATGCGGAAGATGGTATGTTTTGCATGGCGTTTTAGTCTTTTTCTGAATTGCTATATATGGTTGGAACTCACACATTACGCGCAATTCCTTTTAACTTGATTTTACTTTCTATCTTCGTCGTCATCAAGGCATGGAAGTAGAAGACAACGAAGCTGGAGGATCCGCGGATGCAGATGCCGAACGCAAGACTCGATCAGCTGTCGTTCGAACATCCACCAGACAAACCATCTTTCTGCCACTTCCTGGTCTGGTCGATCCTGACGAACTCAAGCCCAGTGACTTGGTCGGCACCAACAAGGACTCTTATCTCATTCTAGAAAAGCTCCCTGCTGAATTTGATTCGCGGGTACAAGCCATGGAGGTTGATGAAAAACCCTCTGAAGAATACTCGGACATTGGAGGAGCCGATCAACAAATTCAAGAATTGATTGAAGCTGTCGTTCTTCCAATGACCCACAAGGATATGTTTGATGCTATTGGAATCCGTCCTCCCAAGGGTGTCTTGCTCCATGGACCTCCCGGAACTGGAAAGACTCTTTTGGCCAGAGCCTGTGCCAACCAAACTAATGCCATTTTCCTCAAGCTTGCTGGACCCCAATTGGTGCAAATGTTCATTGGTGATGGAGCCAAGCTCATTCGTGATGCCTTTGAACTTGCCAAGGCAAAGATAGAAAAGGGCGTGGCCGCTGGAGCTATTCTCTTTATTGACGAAATTGATGCCATTGGTACCAAGCGTTTTGGGGGTGATCAATCGGGAGATCGTGAAGTCCAGCGAACAATGTTGGAACTCCTGAGTCAATTGGATGGTTTCTCATCCAATGAGATGATCAAGGTCATTGCTGCCACAAACAGACCCGATGTTTTGGATCCTGCGCTATTGCGATCAGGTCGACTGGACCGAAAGATCGAATTGCCACATCCCAACGAAGATGCCCGTGCAAGGATTATGAAAATTCACTCCAAGAAGATGACTGTCAGCAGTGAAGTTGTCTATGAAGAATTGGCTCGAAGTTGTGACGACTTTAATGGTGCCCAATTGAAGGCTGTCTGTGTGGAAGCCGGTATGTTGGCCCTTCGACGGGAGATGCCTGAAATTATGCACGAGGATTTTGTGGAAGCAATCACTGTAGTTTCAGCCAAGAAGAAGGGAAGTCTAGATTACTTTGCTTAAAAAATGATAAAAGGAAACACTTTCGACATAGCATCATTTCTTAATAATTATCATAGAATTCTGGTTCTTTCCTTTCAACGTGACAAGGTTTTGAATTAAAATCAACAGAAACTAGTAAAAATAGATACCATGACTAATGCACAGAATGGTGAAACAAAATAGAGCGAAGTATAGATATATTAGGATCCCCTCTAGAGTACAGTTAAGTTCTAAAAAAGTAGAATTTCTTATTCCTTTCAACCTGACAAGATTTCAGCCGACAGAAACTTCAAAGGAATACCATGCCTGCTGGTGCATCGACAAGAGGCCCGTCAAGCTCATCGGAAATTCTACGCATCGCCACTGCTGGAGGTGAATCCATTTCACTCCCACCAGCAAATTTCCCAGCTCGCCTCCCATTTGTCGGTACCACCTCCTGCACCGTCTCTATAGATTCGGCCTGTGCAGGTACGACTATTTTCCGTCCCTCGGAATGATTATGAGGGGAAAGTGTTGGAATCTGTGAGAGACCTCCAATAGTAGATACTGAAGAAGAAGCAGTGTCCTGACGCAGAACCATCCTTGGCGCGGCCACATTCGGGACGGGGCTGTGCTCGGATAACTCGCCGAATCCAGTAGGAAGAGGTATCGACGATAGCCTGAAAGAGGTATCCGATACTCTTGTGTCTCCACCAATCCCAGGCAGCATGGTCCTCTTCGTTCGCCCAGAAACAGACTTGCGAGGAGGACCAACAGGTGAAAGTGCAGGAGTCTGCGAGAGGCCTTCACTGGAGAGAGAACTTGGTGGAGTCTGCGAGAGCCCTCGACTGGAGAGAGAATTTGAAGTTCGACGCTGGGCCATTCTTGGGGGCAAATCCTGCACGTGATCACTGTTTTCATAGACGGAGGAAGTATCGGACTCTTGTCGCGACGCCACCGCGGGAGGTGCATCGTCTATGATTTCTGCGTTTCCCGTACTCGACTCCCTTTCATCCGAGCTCCATCGTTGTTGCATTTGTGGCTTTTTGGGTCGGATAGTGGGTTCTAGAACATCTAAATTTCTGCCCGCGATATGTTCTTGTTCTTTCAGAATTTCTGCCACAGAACGTCCACCGATAATAACTCCTACTTCCTCAGTAGCCGCAGTAGAAAAGCTTGCTCCAGTATTGAATGAGCTAAAACTACCTGCTGAAACATCTTCTTCCACGATGCCTCCCAAGCCTGGCATAATGGAACTGTGTCCACTCCGATCCATGCTGTAATCTGCCAAGCTTGGCATGCTACTGGTGCTTCCCATTGCACTGAATTCAGATAAGCTCGGCAAAGTAGCTGTGCTCCCATTCCCACTCCCACCCGACACTCTAGGGCCCCTGTTTGTACCTTGGGCTTGATAAATGTTTGTAGGTGGCTCGAGAAGCTGGCCCAAATCACCCATACTTTCAATAATATCCCCGCTGATACCAAGAGTACTCTGGGATGACTTGGAGAAGGCATGGCTTGATATTGAGCAAGAGAATGAATCAAACTGCGAATTGTATGAAATGTCATTGGATGATAAGCTGTACCTCTCATTGCTACCACCAAGGCTGTCCATTGATTGGAACTGTTCTGGCACGTGTTTTGCATTCAAAGACCCACTTCGTTTTCCTGATGATGAAGACGATGAAGCCGAAAAGATGCTCCGATCAGAGTCGTCTATTGTACTCATTATGCTCATTGCACTTAGCCGTTTGAGAGCATCAGTGTCGATGCCGTCGAAAGACCTGACGGAAGCTGACAGGTCTTCGATGTCATCGCTTTCATCTCGCTCTGTCACTGGCTTGAGTTTACTTTGGTGCGAGTTGTTACGGGCTGGGATTCGGCTATGTGCTGGTGGCCGAGGTCGGACTCTACTGGCTGCACTTTGCAGCTCTTTTTGAGCAACTTCGCCTTCGATAATTTCTACAACATCAGTCATGGTGATAACAATAAGAAAGATCTGGCTTCTGGCTGTGTCCTTGTGGGAGCGAGATCGAGTTTTAGTGGTTGCGTCAGCTGTGCTTGCTTGCTTGCGCTGTGAAGGGGATACTAATTCTCGTAGGGCTCTTAGACTTCTTACGTACACAGTGTTATCATTTAACAGGAAGTGGCTGAAAATGACCACCCAAACGAATCTCACAAGAAACTCGGGGTCACAAAATAAATACCGGTACATACAGTACCATGTACTGTGGTAGGTCTGCAAAAAGTGAAAGTTATTTCATTCACGCCGTCAACAAAAGTGCCTATTGTATTGTAGAAACAAACATTAAGCTTTCAAGACAGTTTCCAATAGGTTCCGTGTAGGGAAAGCTTGGCTATAAAGGATCATTCACCTTCTCGACAATACGTGTCAAATGACCTGAAATTCACCATGCACACTGTGGAAAGTCGAGTACTACTATAGTGGTAGCTACCCTCAAGATCTTTTCTGATGGGTACGCTGGTGGAGAGATGATGCATATAACGCAGGTTGAATGGTCGCTAAGATTATTCTTCCAATTCTCTCATCCCATTTTGTGGTAAGGGATCTCGCAATGTCAAATAGGCTGCCATGCCAAAGAACGGAACAAATTTGCAAATCTTCCCAAGCAGAGCATCGGGATCCATATTTCTTCGCTTTAAATCGTCATCTACCAGCCAGCCTTGGAAAGCGGCAAAGATTGCCAAGTCCACCAAGAAACTTGATCCGACACGATCAATGCTGAGTAGATCAAGGAAGCTTTGAAGGCGAGTGTCCCATCCAAAGTCTTGGATTCTGGCAAACAAGGCCCAAAAGATGGCACCAGTTCCAACGCCTCCCATTGCAATGCCCAGAATCGGGCTTTCGGTGGCTTTGGCTACAATGGAAAGGTCTTCTTGGTACACCAATGGTGACTCCTCTTCGTTACTTCGTGTTGCCAAGAAGGGTAGCAAGAAAGCAGACGTCAAGAATTGCATGCCAATCACAATGGGCAACATTGGAAGAGGATTTGGTTTTTCTTTGCGTTCGTCACTCAAGAAGCCAGCAAACATGGCTGCCCAGGAAAGCAAGAGATTGAAGACACCCTCGAGCATCGGATGGACCACTGGAGCAAATGGAAGATGCAGAATGGGACTGACAAAGAAAAAGTTTAAAGAAAGATCTCGGACTTCTTCCCAAGTTCGTTGCTCCAATGAAGTGGCCGGCAAACCGAAAAACCAATCCGAAAAGAAGACCACGTACATATAGACAAGCCATGCAGCTGCTGGGACTAGTCGAATGGGTTCCGATAGAACTTTATTGGCGAGCAATGAAACACCTCCCAACTTGAACACGGCTGGTTCGACGACATCCACGCCCGTAATGATTTTGCCTCCCTTGATGTTGTAGAACGAACAACCCCGACTAAAGGGCATTGCATCTCCATTGTTATCCACGTGCCATCGTGTCATGAACTTGTCTCCGCCATCAATGGTGTCGTCGACCTCGAATGACATTGAAGGTAGCATACATTCAGAACACGTCGTCAAGTGAGCATTGAGCTTTTCTCTGCCCATAAAAGGAGCAGGAAATTGGGTATCATCATATTTGACATGGTCTACAAAGACAGAGCACGCTCTGTCAATGTCTCGTTCGTTCCATGCTTGAAAGTATTGTTCTGGTGGTGACAAAGAACCGGATACAGCAGATGATGAGGCTGCAGTAGTTTTGATTTCTGCTGTTTTGTCTTGCGTCAAGGCAATGATTTGAGATGCACCTCGTAGAATCTTCAAATTGGTTTCACCAGATTTGGCATGCTCCCTAAACACGAATACCTCTTCTATTAGACCAGAAGATTCACCCAGCTTGAAGAAAGCATTTCCAATTTTTCCCCTTTGTCCGTCAGTTTCCATATGAAATTGGACACCAACCTTATTTTTGTTCTTGTCCACGGCAACATCGTCAATAATGAATTTGCTAGCAACACTCGTGGGACTCGAGGCAAGACGTAGGACCTTTTCCAGTTCTTCCTTGCCTTCAAAGGGTGACGGAAAGTCGGTATCGATGAATTTTACATCTTCCCCGACAAGCATCATGGCATCATCAATTCGTTTCTCATTGAGAGCTGCAATGAATTTCTCAGCCAACGTATTCGCTGATGACGACAATTTGAGCAAATTCGGCAGAGGGAAAGAAGGTGCTTCAAATGGATTGGCAAAGGCATGCAATCGACGATGAGGGTGTGGTGGTGGTGTTCTTTGTAACGTCGTCCGAGACAAAGAATGCTGTCCTGTAGACGTTTGAAAGGCAAGAGCACCAGGAACAAGGCAAGCGATGGCAACCCTCATTGTATCTGTTTGCGGGTGACACAGTAGTATAAGGTGGTCAATGGTTCTCTTCTGCTATTCATACATCATTCGCCTTGTGGAAGATGCAGAATGCACTCGATGATGTGGATGATGATGCATGCCACATCATCGTCTTACTGAATAGTCGAAGTAGTCGACACGGGCGAGAGGACAGATACCCCGGGACGGGACAAACGACGGGTCGAGGGAATCGTACTTTTGATCATGAACCTAGCTAGCGTATCCCGCGATTGCTCATCCTTCTCAATCGCTTTGGATTTCGCAGACTCCAATTGGGCCTAAAAGAGTTTCAATGATGTAACTATCTATTCCTAGACTTCAAATTCACTCTGTCAAATACAGAGCAGTCTTTTCAAAAGGAATGAGCTGTAACTGAGCTGCAGCTCCTTCACCAACTTCTTTCACAACCTCTTTGGTACGTAGCTTTCCACTGTCCTGCTACTGTACCTTCTTTGCATACGTACTTGGGCGTTCCGATCAGTCCGTCCTACACCTGCAGTACCAGGTAACCCGTACCTGGTACCGGTAGGTAGATATCATCTGATACTGAATGATGCTTCTGTTGTGAAATGAGAGGTTTCGGCGTACTGCACCCCAGCATGATGCTCCTTGATCATGAAAGAGTTGATAGAGGCTCTAGTAGTAGACTGCCTGCTACAACGCGCCTAGTGCTATTAGTCGTGGTCTCCCTCCTAATACTAGTCGTAATAAGTGCGGTGCAAAACCACAACAAAATGTCTGCCTTTTACAACAACAACTACAGTAGCTAAAGAGGATTAGCAGTAGGACCTATTAATATGTTGCAAAGCTATAAAAAAGTACATCTTCTCAGCTGCGTCTGGTAAAGTATTGCCTTGGCACCCTGGTAAATGTCCTCTCGGCGGTGAGTTCCTGCCGGTAATATCCTGGTCCCGCCAGTTGCTACCGGCGGTACTTTCAGGTACCTGGTACCGGTATCACTGGAGCAGGTTCGTTGCTTCAGAGCCACTTATTAGTGGCGCGCGAGTGGAGTTTTCGTGGCAATAGCCGACACCACAATCGAACTGATTCAAATCGTAAAAATAGCCTCCGCCTCCGCGTGCTATTATTCTTCCGGATTCTCACCAGTGAAATATATAAAAATAGATAAATACACTTCAACTTCTGATCTTAAAAAAGTTCGGGAGTCTTTTCCAAAGCCCCTGCTCGGCGAATTGAATAACGGCATTAGGTTTACCAGGTTGTTCAATGTCTTTCGCGTTAATCAATATTTCTCCGAAACTTGTTTACGAGCCACAAAAGTTCCAACCAGTGCCGGGCAGGAAGACTGACTGTACCATTCGTGTACCAAACCCACACTTTTTGGAGATATAAATTTTATAACTCAATAGCAAGCTACTGTACGACAACATGGAATTTGAAATGGATTCCCCAACCAGTGACAACTTCTCCGCCCCAATCGATCAATCCGTCCTTGATCGTCTTCCAGACTTTGACGACTTTGACGGCGATGATTCGGAATGTGATTCCGTAGCCGAATACTCCCTTTGTGAAAGTAGTGACGATGACGACTCTTTCAGTTACGAAGGCGAACTATACGATGATGAAAGTCGTAGCTTAATGGGTGACGAAAGCAGCCTTTTTACGATTGCGGAAGAGACAGAAGAAGACTTGATGTCTATGTGCTCCTGTGATGATAGTGACATGGATTCGGACAATGGCCGCATCCAGATGCCGAGACAAGTCTCGTTGCATGCCTTCCTTGCTAAGGACGGAAGGAGAAACAGAGCTAATAGCATCGACGTGACCTACCATCCGGGTCACGATGACCTCGATCTCGACAATGAAGAATCAGAATCCACGCATGCCGAAGAGAATTTTGTGCGAAAAAGAGAATCTCTCAACAGCTTTGCAAATGCAGACAGTGATGATGATGATGATGATGACGCCAAGTCTTTCGACTCCTGCTCCACAAGCGGAAGCACTAGTTTCCAAGTGGCCAAGCGAAGGCTTCAAAAGGAATTCTCTCTCCGCAAACTAAAGGACGCTGTCCAAGCAGCTGATATTACCTCCTCCTTCCGAAAGGATGACGAAAAGACTTTCAAGTGCATGGATTCAATTGAACAAACACTCTTGCAATCGTCTGGAAGCTCGCGATCTTCTGACGGACATCAAACAGCCAAGAACAACTTGCTGAGTGCCATTTCCTCGAGCAAGGCGGCCTTGAAAATTTCCAAAGAATAAATATTGCGGTGTTGTGTTGAATTGAATCCTAGATTCATTCAATGAATAGTATCTTGTAAATTTGTTAACTATACATATGTATATGCACTCAGATCTATAGAATGCTATTTGTTTCTGAGCTTGGTTGGATATTAGTAGTCCAAAGAAGGTGTCATAAGGCTAAGACTGGAACATTAAAATAGCGTGCCCCGCCGTTGTGTCATCACCCCATGTCTCTGTGATTCATAAATGTACAGCAGTAGGCACCCTTGCCATTGGATGATTCATGAAACGTCTAGATAATACGTCAGATTGGAGCACCTCGACAATACGGTATAAGAGTGCTGAAAGATGAAAAATGCGAGTGGGGCTGCAAGATTCAGGATTGCTGGTCGAAGTCTACTATAGTTCTTTCGATGGTCATCATCAGAATAGAAAGGTCTACCTCTAGTGATTGTTGCTATCTTCTGGCATTGTCGGTTGTACGATTGGAATAAAAAGTTCCTACACATAAAATAATTGGCTTGTTCTTTCGTCATCAAAATATGTCGTCTAATAATATGGATACAGCTGGATCTACAAGGTGTGTTCTCACCACCGGCCCCGGGTCGATGAAGAAAATTGAAGTTTACTCATCATCCTCGTCATCCTCGTAGTCATTGGCATCGTAGATACCGGTGAAGAAAGTGGCCGACTTCTCGGCAATCGCCTTGACAATGGCGGAGCGGTGGGCCGTGATGCCGCGGTTCTTGAGAAACTCCCAGAACTTTTGAGTGTGCTCCAGGGGTTCCACTTCGATCTCGTCCCCGTGTCCAGGTCCCTTGAGCATGAGGAACTTTCCAAAGAGTTGGTAGGTGTTGGTGATTCTGTCGGGACCGTCGTCGCTCTCAGCAAGTTTCTTGACGGCAGCAGGCCCGATTCCAGGGACCTCTTTCAAGTCTCCAGTGACCTGAGAAGATCTCCAGGTGTCCATGGTGTCATCACTGACTTTAGATTTGCGTGGATCATAGCCATCAGCCTGTTGAAGTACAAGGAAGCAACGATTGGTGAGAAAATCGGCCGTCGGGTTGAAAGTTGCCACGTTTGAATAAAGACACATCATGGTTTTGAACTGTTCGTGCCGCTGGAACAAAGGAAAGCTTCAATGATCACAGACAGTGGAGCCACCGTACCATTTTGAATAGTCTAATTGATATGGGGGTTGGGAATAGAAAGGATAATGAATTTACAGGAATCCGTACGGTAAGTAGATGGGTTTGTCTTGCTTGTTGTGATGTGGTTTATTTGCTCCGTCTTTTTTTCAAATCGACGGTTCGCGTGAATCAAAGTAACGGTCAGCATGTCACGAAACACGACACTAAAAAAGGCCCTCAAAACAGTTATGTCCTACAACTTTGAACTTTGAACTTATTGGTGGAACAATATTGGACACTTTACATGATCTAAATGCAAGAGATAGATTCCGCCAATAGAAAAGTTCGAAGTGGTTTAGTTCAAACGAAATCTTGGCCTTCTGACCTCTATCGACTGCTGCTGGTCTTCGTGTTGTTGATGTCGCTCTTATTGTTCTTGTTGTTGTTGACACTACTTGTAGTACAGACATAGTACACATCATCCCCAACAAGAATGGAGTGAAATCATTTTTCCTTTTCAGGTATTGCATGGCAAGTGATTGCCAAGATCAACGTGAAACAAAACCAGGAAAAAGAGATCTTTGCAACCTTTTGTCTCATGAGAATCTTGGCAAGCTGGAAGCTTCCTATCAAGCACAACAAGTGCTGTAATCTCTAATTGTAAATAGTGATTCTTTTGCATCCTATCTTTCTTCTTCTTGTATCTTCTTCGACTTGATCTATTCGTAGAAAATCTCTTCATCAGGAAAATATTTGACCATCCTTCCCAGCTTTCCGCAAAGTGCGTTGCTGAAGGAAGATATTGCTTCAGCCAGTTCTGTTTGCCATCGATCATTGTTAAGGCATGCATAGCAAGACCAACGAAATACTGTACTGTACTGTAGGTATCTTTGCAATCATCACGTTGAGGATTTCATTTATCGAAAACATCTCCACGTGGAGGCAAGGAACTCAAAAAGTGTCATAACCAATCAAAAAACCCAACCATCGCGTCGCCAACAACATCATCATCATCCCCTTCTTCTTCCTCAAACGCAATAACTTTCAATACCAAACACGCACTATCAAGACAATGTCATCACAAACGAAATGTCTCAGTAGCCCCCTGTTACTCATTCTATTGGCAGCAACGATGATTTCCACGTCTTCTGCCTTTCAATCCACGCTACCATCAAGAAGAAGCCTTCAATCCTCAAGAACTCAGGCAAACATGATAGATCCCAAGTCTACCATTGATGCTCTCCTATCAACCATGCTCGTTCAACAACCGGCTTCTGGACACTCCAACCCATTGTTTGGTCCTCCCGATCCTTATTTGGCTGCGGGCAAATCCATTCCACCCTCGGCCAAGGCTCTGGCCGAATTTGGAATCACTCCACGCAAGACGCCGGCTGACTTTGCTCCCGACGGCTCTCCCGAATACCTACAAAGCATTCAAAGTGCCATGGATCGTGGTTGGAAGATTGCCACCATTGATGGTATCAAACCCGAGGGTAGTCCGACAACGCTGCCAGGATTTAGTGAGACACATGGCATTTTGCCCAATCACAATTTGAATCTCTTGCCAAACAATCCAAACGGATTCTATGCGCAAGTGGACTGGTCGTCGAAATACTATGCAGTTTTTGATCACCTGCCAATTGCCATCTTTTGTTACTGCTTAGTGGAATTCTTTTTTCTAAGACCTGGAATTGATTTCTACAAGGAAGAGATCGAGGCCGACCCGACGGGAGCCACCATTGATACTGTAGCCGTGTTTGGAGTCCGCATGGTGGCGGTTGCTATCGTTTCTATCTTGACGGTTGGATTCTTTGGTACTAGTCAATAGATGGCTCGACTGAAGCTGGTGTCGATATCTGTGGATTGAATGATCGTCATGAATCAATCATTGAGCGCATCAATCAATCAGCTGGCCACCGAACGGGAACATCGAATCATCAGATAATCTGATCTGCTATTATATATAATCAGTGTACATTCCTATTATTGCTATGCTTTTGCAGTATTGCGAATATTGATCCACGCACTCTAGATAGGAAAAGAGAGTAGTGCAAGCCAATACCAGCAACTTGGATCATTTTCAATGTGTTCGATTGAATGACTTTTATTGTCGAACACAATCTTGCCCGTGTGACGTGTCGGGACGTCTGCCAACGAGCCGTGTCTCACATTCAATGAATGAATGAATGACGTCGCACCATTTTCAATTTGTTTCCGAATTCGCCCTCACAACATTACTGCCGAACAGCCATATATTCTTTAGAAAAGAACAACATGTCTACTGCCCAACAAAAACAAGAACAGTTTCAAAAGAAAGATTCTTCCTTTGGTGCCTCATGTACTTCGTTCTACACGACGGAAGAAAAGAAGGACTCTTACGAAACTTTGGATGACGTCTTGCTAGAGAAATGTGCAGATGAGAAAATTCGGGCCGTCATTCAAGATTTGATGCAAGTTTGTGCCGATATCACCGAGGCTCTTCGAGTGGCATTGGTGACAGTAGAGGGATCCACAAATGACTTTGGAGATTCGCAGCTCAGCGTGGATGTAAGCCCTGATATTTTTACTGTTTGTCATGTTATTTTTTCTCAGAAATGGCCGGACAACTTTTCTTTCGGAACTTTAGGTGATTGCCGACAAGCTGCTTTGGGACGCGGTAAAAAAGTCTCCTGTTATCCGTGAAGGAGCTTCTGAAGAAGATCCTATTGTCCGCAATGTCGATGAAGGCGGCGAGGGTGAATTCACGGTCTGTTGGGATCCCTTGGATGGTTCTTCGATTGTCGACAACAACTGGGCGGTTGGAACCATGATTGGCGTTTGGCCCAAAAAAACTGGATTGATTGGAGCCACTGGGAGGGATCAAGTTACAAGTGTTGTTGCCTTGTACGGACCTCGAACAACTGTGCTGGTGGCCTTGGACGACGGAACCTATGAATTCACCTATGGATGTAACTCTGATGGAAATACCAGTAGTACTCCTCGTCGTCCAAGTATGGGTATCATCTCTGAGGGAAATACGGGTATCATCTCTGAGGGAAATGCTTCTCTAGCAAGTATGAGCAGCATCAAGGACGACACCTGGATTTGCTCTCGTCATGCGATTCGAATCAAACCTACTTCCAAAATCTTTTCTCCTGCCAACTTGCGTGCATCCCAAGAATTGACTGGTTACCGCAATTTGGTCGACCACTACATGGTCAACCGTTATACTTTGCGGTATACTGGCGGTTTGGTCCCCGATGTCTATCAACAATTTACAAAGAGACAGGGCGTCTTTTGTAATCCTACTTCCGAAAAGTCTCCTGCCAAGCTACGATTGGCATTTGAGGCAGCGCCCTTTGGACTGCTGGTCGAAAAGTCAGGAGGAAAGACGTCGGATGGAATCACTGGTGGATCAATCTTGGATGTCCAAATCAATGCTGTTGACCAACGAACAGCATTGTGTCTGGGGTCGACCAATGAGGTCGACCGATTTAATGGTGAGTCTTTTTCTTTCAAATCGATCTACTTTTTGTCACAAGCTTCATCTGACTGATGTAGTGTTTCCTTTTTTAACCTCGTCCTGATGACATCAGAAATGCTTGGTTTGACCGATAGCGACAATAGCGACACGAAAGCTGACGCTATTGCCGAGGCGAGGGCGCTTGCGGCTAGCTTGCAATCTAAAGTTGTGGCTGAAGGGGGGACGCTTGCCGCTAACATGAAATCTAAGTTCACTGCTTTCACCGATAGGTTTGTCAAGTAAATTGTCACTTCGGGTTCGCGGTTCTGGGGTCGAATTAATCCCAAAGATGTACAAGCACTGTTGTATTGCTGCAAAATTGGCAGGTATTTGTAACAAGGATGAAAGTATTTTATCCCAAGTTGCTCGTGGAAGAAAAATAACGGGATCTCGATAGGTGGAGCGACTCGTTAAGGGATGGTTAATTACTTGTTGCCGATCGGACGATATTGCAAGTACACCAAAGGTGGAAGCTAATAATATTCAGCTAGAATAACAATTAAATTGCTAGTGTGTGCATGCCAGTCGGCTTGGAAAAATTATTATGAATTATAAGCAGTTTGAAAAACTGATAGAATACTAAAAGTGGTCGGTTGTGTGATGGCATTGATGGTGGTAGTGGTACTCGTAGCAGCCCAACGTTAATGATCACAAGTCAAGGTGAGAAAGTGCTCAAGGTAGAGCTAGCGAGTGATTCCTTGCGTTTGGGGTGGGAATGCTACCTGTTGCTGTACAAGTTTTAGGTGCAAGGCGAGTTCAATATGCTGCATGAATGACGTTGATATCAACTTCAAGTTTTCCCGACAATCCGATTATCTCTGCTTCAATGCTGTTTCTGATTCAATCATCCAGCAGCAGTTGGAGCAATCAGCGAAGCTTTATCGCCTTCATAATCGACAGGATCTTGATGAGCATGCTTTCGACCGCGGTGTGCAAAGAATGAAACAACCGCTTGCCAAATGACGTCAATCATGTTCATAACCAAAACTCTGTAGCCCACAGAGAGGTATCGAAAACAGACAAACTCGAACGGGGCCAGAGAAAGGTTGGTGAACCCACTCGCCTTGACGGTGGACAAAAAGTTCTGCCTCAGAATCTTTTTCAGGTCGTGAACTTCACCTTCGACCATTGCCACCAAGACAAAGGAAAGGAAGATATAGATGGTGTCGACAACGTAGTCGGTCAAGAAAACATGAATGATGGATGATAGAATGGTGCCATCCTCTCCTTCCGTAGGAAAAATGCTCTCCATAAGTTCAAAGGAATAATGTAGCAGTGGGCCTGAAAGAATGATACCATCCAGAATGAATGCAAACCCTCGACGCTTATCATAGTTTTCGAAGAAGGACTTGTCCGAATGTATCATTTCTCCAAACCCTTGGGCTATAACGTCACCCACCCATGTAAAGACTGCACTCGTCAGGCAATTGGTAACCAGAGGGTTTGCTTCCAATTTCTGCATATACCATGTTGAGAAGAAAGTACACGATGAAACAATCGAGCTCTGATCAAAAGATATCTGTGCCAAGACGACAGCACAGAGTAATGCCATAGTTCCAACGGATGATGCGAATGGGATCGATGAATCGTGGCTCGGTTTCAGAAAAGTGGATATCCGTTCAGTATTCAAATATGATTGATAAGCGAAATAGATCAGCGGTGCCAGAACAAAGCAAAACCAAAGCGGTGATATCCTATCTTGTTCAAACGAAGATGCGTCGTCTTCCGATTGATTGAATCTGGTATCATAACTTGCATTGACAATACTTGTAGGATGAATTGGGGAATTTGAAGGCATCTCTTCAACAGTTGGTTGAGCTGCTGCGCTAGGCACCAAGCAATCTAATGCTTTGATCAAGACAAAGCTGAGCATGAAACATCGAACTAGTCTCATTATTGTATTGCTCCACTTAAACTTCGTTCGGACTTGATTATGGAGGGAGGTTTCAAGGTAGAACGACAAAAAGTGTTGCGTGAATCTGTTGTTCTGATAATGGTGAAGAGATGCAGAAACGATGCGTTTTACCTTTCTTGGAGCACACGTGCATGTTTATTAGATTCATGTGGCAGAAAGAAGCAAAAAAATTGGCCAATAGGGTACACCAGATATCAGCGAATCGACAATCATGACGAAACCCTTAAACAAAAATATACACCCTTTGGCAGGAGATTGTTTGTCTTGAGAACTGATGTACATACTACAAATTTGAAATACGCACGTGGATTTTCTGAGGGGTTTAATGCTTTCTTCGTGGCGTTGTATCCTTTTCAATCAATAGATGGGTCAACCCTAAATGCGCCTGCACAGAATTTACTGCTCGCCACATATGGGAATCTTTTGGCCAGCACAGAAACTTCTTCCGTTCATCTCTGATCCTACGGTAGCATGATTATTGGATGAGAACACTGGAGTCCTACAGGATGACGTACTCACAGCTGAATCAGATTCTCACATCATCAAAAGATACCCTCCACGTTGCGACATTTATGGATATCTTGATGAATCATCGTTTCTTCACGAACAAGAAGCGTCTTGGAAGGATGACATCACAACAGCATCACATCATCGGCATAGTGATGCAATAGAAGCTGGGATCCAACAAGACTACATTCCGTCAATCAGAAGAGTACTTCATTATCTAGTTATATCCAGGATGCGTTCACAGTGCATCGTCATGCTAGAAAATGGACTTGAGACACATATGCATCCCTTCTTCAGGCCTCATGTTCTCCAAACCCATCGTCGGCAGTACTGTAGGCCTTAGTTTTCAACGATTACTGTACGAAAATTGCGTGCAATCGACGTAGGCCATTATTTGACCTGTTTCTACTTGCTTGATAGGCGCTTTTGCTACACTAATTTTCTCGTTCTGAAACCACAAAAGCATTCCTGGCAATACATGTTCCCCAGTATCCTAGCGATATGGCTTCCAGCGCATACTGTACGTCGTCGCCTCCTCGTTATTCGAAACAAAAGATCTGGTCTTCCAATTTGGATTTCAGTCCATCGAAACGCGGATGTACTGTGAAAAGCCTCAAGTTCGCATACTTCTTCTATTTTGTTGTTGGCTGGCCTACGACTAATTAGTGTGTCTACAACTATAATAAACCTACAGTAGGGCGAAAGTTGTCATACGCGTCATCTCGTGGCAGTAATTGCAAATTTAAAATCACAAGCTTATTTCGAAGCAGACCGCACTATCGGAATTGAGAATCATAAACATGGGTTCAGACCTTGTATTATCACTCTAGGTGCAGCGGAGGATGTCCCCACGCCACTGAAACCAATTTGGAACTGACAGATTTGGACTGACCCCCAAATAAGGATTGGGTCCTACCTTGTTTTCTTGCCACGTTGCGCCCAAACTACTTGGATCGTAAAAGCATTCTTGTCGAAACTCTTGCTGTTCGGAGTACTGTGGTCGCTCTTTGCACTGCTCTTGTCTACTCGAGCGGCTGGTGTGAGTTGGATCACTTGAAAATCCAATGATTCGATAACTTGATGATCGACCCCACCACCAAAGGCAATATCATCGTGGCCAAAAGAATATGATCCCAGCACCAACGAAGCATATGCAACCTCCAATAACATCACCAATGTCGGGTTTGTCGCCATCCACAGCCCATCCAAAAAGAAAACTGAAGACAATGAAGAATCCTCCATAGGCTGCATAGATACGACCGAAACTATCAGTGGGCTGAAGACATGGAATAAAGCCATAGATTATCAATACCAGGCTTCCCACCAATCCCCACCACCATGGTTTGTCAACATTGCTGTCGTTGTTGGCACTTGTTGTCGCTGTCGTGTTATTGCTTGTTTCATTGACAGCAACGTTGGCATCACTTTTCCCTCCTCTGACGTACATCCACACCATCCAACCACCCACAATCTCTGCGACTCCTGCCAAGAAGAACAGAACAATAGCTTGTGCAATGGTCAAGGCAGTCCATTCAAAGCCACCACTGCTTTCGTGTTTGTTGTTGAGGTCACCAACAATGGTTTCATTATTCAGGCCCAAGTCGATATTGCTTCCTGTATCATTCAATCCAGCTTGGGCAAAGGTTTCATCTTCCATGTTCATTGATCACTCGGCAGCTGACGATATTTGGATTTGTACCAAGACAACGACAAAGCAAACTGCATATATTATCTCTGCTGTATAGTACAATGAAACTGCGGTTGCCCTGATTCTGCGATGATGACGTCACAATACGATCGGAAGAGGTTCATCACAACGCCGCATAATATGCCACTTCTCACACGATGTTGATTTCTGAACTCTTATGGCTACTAGTCTTATTTGGATTATTGATTTCTCTGGCTTATGAAGGCGATGCTTTTGTTGTAGTAGGAGGTCTGAATACAAGGCAAAGACAATCGACGATACAATCATCATCGCCATCATCAGGAATCGACACTCCACCAACGCTTCAGTTCAATCTTACTTCTCTCCTGCAAGCAGACAATGCTAAAAGAATACATCTTCAACAAATCTATGAAGATGCCTCATCTATCATGGAATCATCACAATCGACAACGGCGGGGGTCCGTGACAAAGAGTTGGATCAGTCATCTGACGTCTCGGAGACATCAACCAGTCCGGCAGCATTGGATCCATTTCGACGTTTCCTTCAGCCATACTCAAGCCATGACAATCTCAGGCACCATGGCCATTTCGCAGTACCGCCTTCATCAAGTACAGAAGAGAGAATGATGACTGTTCCTCCAAATGTGGCGTTTGCCATGGACGATCTACTTGATTTCCTTCCTGAAAAGTTATCGTCGTCATTCTCTTATTCATCAGCAAAGACGACGAGGACGACCAGTACTGGTCAAGACGAGACAGTTGTCATGATGTCCAACCTACACCAGCCATTATCAACATCCTGGCAGCAGGTGGAATACGTATCAAAAGTCTTGACTGTAGAAGGTCAATATCCATCCATCTCCCTGCTGCACGTTGGCACTTCTTGCACCAATACCTCTGATGACTTATCCATGATTCGAATGACATTGACACACGACTCCGTGGAAGCCCTCAAATCGTTAAACTTAATTTCGTTGCATCCCCAAGACGAACCTCTGACCGGAGAAAACGGGGAGGTGCTTATCCGGCGAAGGGACATTGATATACTCCGAGCAGTATGCTGTGGCATCAACAACGACGATTTGGTCGTTGAAACACTGATGAAACTAATCGACCTGACAGTCACCTCTTCGCAGCCTCGACTAGTACTGATATGCTCCAGCATACAGTCGGTCTATGTAGCTGCAGCAATTGAGCAATGGAAAGAAATGGCAACCTCTTCGGTTCGACGATTGCCTCATTCTTCTGGACTCACAGAGACTGAAGTACAGGAGTTGCTAAAAGAGAGACTTACGGTCGTTACTATGGGGCCTTTATCGGAGTTGCCCGTTGGACCAGCCTACATTCATGTTTCCATGTATGATGATGCCTTAGCCAAAACTATTGCTCTTCCAGTGAAAGAACATAAAAATCAAGATGGTGACGACAGCAACTTTCCCAACAACCCTGTTGTGTTGCAAGCCGTCTCTCCATATCCTTCAGCATCGTCAGAACAAAATAATTGGCCCACGGATGCACTATACAGCAATGACGCCCACAACATGTTGGTCTGTGCCATCCAATTTCTTCACTTGGTACTGCGCATCAATGGTCTCTCTTCCTTTCGAGAAGTTTTTGAGCAGGGATCGCAACCAACACCCATACTGGATATCTCACAGTCACAATTCAACATTAACTATGCGGGGACGGCAAAAGGACTGCTCGCCTTGCCGCAGGATGAAATATTATTGGCAGTCCTGCAGGCCATGGGGGTTGGGCAATGGTTGTGGAACCCACAGGACGAGTACGATGACGACATCGTTGAAGAGGTTCTTCCACATTTCGACTATGCCAAGGCGACCGTTGAAGAATACTTTGGGTACGATACCTATGAAGAGCTCCAAGCGATAGCGGAAGCTAGCTAACAAGTGGGTAGACAAAGACAAAGCGAATAGTAGGTCATTGGTTACTGGAACTCGAGTTTGCACCTATGGTCTTGGGTTTGGCATGGCGGACATGGTGGACATGAAGGAAGATGGACCAGTCAACACAGCTGAACAAGTCTTGGCATCATTGACTATATTGGGTGTTTCTAGCATGCATGGGCACTTCGGTCATCCCCAACAAATCTTGAAAATCTATCCTACCTATTCAAACGAAACTTTAAGTCGACCACGGCCGTGAGAATCAGGTATTGTTGTCATTACCGCTCCAGATCGGTTCATGTATCTCTATGACAAGGAAGCGAAACTCGTCCAATCACGGACGTACCTGGTACTGAAAGGTGCCTTTCCATTTCCGCTCCACAATTCTTTTTGCGAAATACGAAGAATTGTTCCTGAGAATTCAATCTTTCAATTAAATGAACAGGTGTTCCATATTCCCGTACCAATATTTTCACACGTGTACGTAGGTAAACGTATTCATGAAGTTTTCTAATCATTTTTTGTCACAAATCGAAACCGGCGTCATCCGGGAACGCAATACTTTCTGCTTCCCGGAGCGGTAATGGGCAGTACCGCTACTACAACGGAGTACACAGTTTCATTCTTTGTTTTACCAACAGTTTCTCTCACAAAAAAACAAAACTCCTGTCCTTCCGTTGGAAAGAAAAGAAAAAAGACAAAGCACAATGATCAAGAAATGTCTTGGATTGCAAAGCGATCTCGACGACGCAGGAATCGGATACGAACCGTCGCCGTTTTCCAAACGACTTGCCGTCGACAAAACGACAGATTACAAGGTCGTCGAGTTTGACAAAACGTACAAAGGCGACAAGAAGGTTCTCATGATTTGTACTGAAGAGCGTTACATGCTAATGGAGAATGGAAAGAAGTTTTCCTCAGGAAATCATCCGGTTGAATCATGCCAGCCCATCATGCACTTGGTCAATGCAGGATTTGACTTTGATGTTGCCACTCCAACTGGCAAGCCAGCATGCATTGAAATGTGGGCACTTCCTCAAAAGGACCAGGTTGTGTTGGGCTTCTTCAACAAGACTGCCAAGCCCAAGTTCGACGCTCCTCTCTCGTTGGCCGATATAATGGCAGATGAAAAGAAGTTGAGCCAGTATGTCTGTTTCTTTCCACCTGGTGGTCAAGGGGCCATGCTGGGACTTCCTGAAGACGAAAATCTGGGCAAATTGCTAGGGTATGCCCGAGAGAAGGACCTGTTCATCATGTCTGTTTGCCACGGCCCCGCGGCCTTTTTGGCAGCAAAACAAGAGCCATTTCTCTTTGATGGATACAAAATTGCTTGCTTCCCAGATTCCATCGACAAGCAAACTCCAATGGTTGGGTATTTGCCAGGTGCGTTCAAACTATTACTGTTCGTATACAATTATTTCAATCAATGTTCTGAAGCATGAATTTTTTTAATTTTTGATCTCATCGACACCACCGACATTGCAGGCAAACAGACTTGGTACTTTGGCGAAAAGTTGATTGAACGAGGTGTCACAATTGTCAACACCGGCGCTGACGCAACTGTAGCCGAAGATCGCAAGCTCATCACCGGCGCCAGTCCAAAAGCTTGTCAAGAACTCGGTGTCCGAATGGCCAAGAAGCTTTTGGAAAATTTCGCCTAACAGAACGGTCGTTGAGCCATTCATTGGCGATATTATTGTTGTCGTGATGTACATCAAGGTTTTGTGAAGGAGTCGTGAAGGTATTGGTATCAGAAGTCCCATAGCTCACACTGTAGCTCATAGTTTGATAAAATGCTACTAGTACTGCTATAGTTCTTGCAGTCACGCAGACAGACATCCGGTATTATACAGACATCATTTTGTTCTTCACAAAAAACTCATACTCACGAACTCAAAGCACAATGATCTGGAACTGTCTTGGATTGGAAGGCGCTCTCGACGACGCAGGTATCGGATACGAACCATCACCGTTTTCCAAACGACTTGCTGTCGACAAAAAAACAGATTACAAGGTCGTCGAATTTGACAAAACGTACAAAGGCGACAAGAAGGTTCTCATGATTTGTACTGAAGAGCGTTACATGCAAATGGAGAATGGAAAGAAGTTTTCCTCAGGAAATCATCCGGTTGAAGCATGTCACCCCATGATGCATTTGGTCAATGCAGGATTTGACTTTGATGTTGCCACTCCAACTGGCAAGCCAGTATGCATTGAAATGTGGGCACTTCCTCAAAAGGACCAGGTTATGTTGGACTTCTTCAACAAGACTGCCAAGCCCAAGTTCGACGCTCCTCTCTCGTTGGCCGATGTTGTGACAGATGAAAAGAAGTTGAGCCAGTATATCTGTTTCTTTCCTCCTGGTGGTCATGGGGCCATGCTGGGACTTCCTGAAGATGAAAAGATGGGCAAAGTTTTAGCGTATGCCAAAGAGAAGGACTTGTTCGTCATGTCCATTTGTCACGGCCCCGCGGCCTTTCTGGCAGCAAAACAAGAGCCGTTTCTGTTTGATGGATACAAGATGGCATGCTTCCCAGATTCCGTCGACAAGCAAACTCCTATGATTGGGTATATGCCGGGTAAGTTCGGACTCCTATCTGTTCATTTTCTTCATTCTTTTCTAATAAGCTGCTAATCTGACGAATGAATCAATCAATCATTCAATCAATCGAATAATGTATCACAGGGAAAATGCCTTGGTACTTTGGCGAAAAGTTGATTGAACGGGGTGTCACAATTGTCAATACGGGTGCTGATGCAACTGTAGCCGAAGATCGCAAGCTAATTACTGGAGCCAGTCCCAAAGCTTGCCAAGGACTCGGTGTCCTAGTGGCACAGAAGCTTTTGGAAGCTTTCGCCTAAGCTTTCAAAGAAAAATCGTTCGGTCATTGGCGACCTTGCGCTGTTGTTTTGGTTTCAAGGTTTTGAAATTGGAAGGAGCCATGTCTCAGTTTCGAAATCGATGAAATGCAGTCAGATTCATCAACTTCATTACGTCATTTTCGCGCAAAACTGGTTCCGAAAGCAAAGTGTATTATTTACACATGATATTATATTTTTATTGTACATTACACTAGAGTACAGTTTTCTATTTACGTCGCAAAGGAGAGGCCTTCCGGTGTAGCAGCAGCACATGATGATGGGGTCTCTCCTCCTTCGTGGAACCCTTGTGGTTGTGGTTCTTCCGGCTGGGCAGTTTCGGCATCTTCCCGTGCCATTCGGATTCGGCTCTTGTGAACTTGAAAGCTCAAGACACCGTCCCAGACAATGTCCACAAAGTTCATGCCTAGGACGCGAAAGCTCACGGGAAGGAACCGGAAGCAAGTGAACTCCAGTGGCATGAGCATGAGACTAGCCGCCCAACCAGCCTTAAGGGTGGGAAAAAAGTCTGTCTTGAATTGTGTAAGAGTTCTCTTTCCGTATCCTTCTGTAAGTCCGGTAGAGATAAAGGTCGTTGCAACGAACAAAGAGTCGACGAAGATATCGTCGAGAAGCACTTGCGAGAGGGCAGCCAATGATGGCGGCAGAGCACTTCCAGAGACAGGAATGAGCTTCTCTAGAAATTCGTATACAAAATGCAAGATGGGTCCAGTAATGAAAAGACCATCTGCAACAATCGACAAGCCTCTTCGTCTGTCATACTTGATAGGTGAAGCAGTAGGTCCTTCTTTCTTGACTCTTGTTCTCTCTTCAATTTGCTGAGCGCAGGTGTCTCCTATGATGCCAATAATCGCGGACGAACAGGATTTTGTCAATATTGGAAATGATTCCAGAATCCCAACGTACCAATTGGAACATTGTGATATCACAGTGGAAGCGGAAGCAATCAGGTTGCCTGCTTGAGGAATCAATTGCCATCCAAGAAGAGCGATCGCAAGAAGTTGCTTCACTGACACTCGTCGATCCGTTCGCGAGTCTCGGATGAAAGATGCCGTCACAGCTGCCGATGCAACGTTTTTTGGAACGGTTGAGAATGTTGGGAAGTTGGATGAGAATTGTGCGAACATGAGGACCATGCACGCCCAGAGAAGTCGCTTTGTGGAGCTTTCTTTCTTTCCCATGGACGAATCATCCACTGCTTTAAAGATTGCTTCACCATCATCGGGATCGATGGCTGAGCTTTGCAAAGCAAAGATTCGATCTATCGGTCGTGCGAAATTTGACGATGATTCAACGTTTTGTCTCGTCGAAGGGAATAAGGTTGCCGATCGTGGCGGACTTGCTTTCAGGCCAGTGCCAAACGCGTCAGCTTGATGTGAATACAATCCAGCAAGCAGTATGAGCTCCATGCATGTTTGAAGTTGCCTCATGGTGGCTTTTTTGGAACTTTTGCTTCACTTTGTCTCTTCGGTTGACGTTGTGTGGTTTGAAAAACTTCCGAGGGCGGAAAATGGGTCATATTGGTCAACCCGTAGAACTTCGCGGTCAGAAAAGTACCAGTCCTTGTGTGAACGTCAGACACATGTTGCGTGTTGAGGAACTGCGATTCGGAATTGCATGCCGAGGTGACTCATCAACGAAACGGTAAGAGGTAATTCAACGTGGCGACGCAACAGTTCGTTTTCAATTGAGCGAATCAATACCACCAACCCAACTCTATCACTTTGTGAAATCGACTGCAGAATTGTCTCAATTGATTTCAAAGGCCTCTCATTGTAAGGAAGCTCTATCATAGGAGGGAGCAGCAATCATAGCAGAGAGGAGTCATGATGTCAGTCAGATACCTCTGATGTCTCGGCAACTACTTCTTTGGCTGCTAAAAAGTCCTAATTTGTATCGTAGAACCTTGCGCATTTGAGCCACCGATGCTATTCTTCAAGAAGGGCTAAAGAGGTTGAACGGTTACTTTAGTAGACCGATGGGTGGACTACACCGGTATTTAAAAAATAGTAACGGTTTGGTGATGGTGCTGGTTCGCTTTTTATTTTTGCGAACGCAATACTGTGGTTGTCCGTCGTGAACTACTGTACCTAAAACGACTATTAGAGTCTGACTCAGTCTTCCCAAAATCTGACGTTGTCCCATCATCAAACAACAAGATCTCAACCCTCCAACCATTCGTCACATCTCTCAACACAACCTTTTACAAAACAAATCCAAATAAAATGAAACTCTCTCTCCTTTCCACCGTCGCTCTTATTGGAAGCGCAGCAGCCTTTGCTCCCAACTCCGCACCCAAGGTCAAAACGGCCTTGGATCTTGCAGTCGGAGAGACTGCCCCTGAGTTCTCCCTCGTGGACCAAAACGGCAAGACCGTCACTCGCTCCTCCTTCAAAAAGCCACTTGTTGTCTACTTTTACCCTTCTGACTCTACCCCTGGATGCACCGTCCAAGCTCAGACCTTCAACGAGAAGATCAAGGAGATCCGCAAGACTTACGGAGCCGACGTCGTTGGTATCTCTGGACAAGGAGCCGATTCCAAGCAAAAGTTCGCCGAAGAACTTGGCTTGACCTTCTCCATCTTGGCCGATGAAGACAACGCTGTCCGTAAGGCTTTTGGAGTCCCTCGCGCTGCCTTTGGCTTGTTTCCCGGTCGTGTTACCTACGTTTTGGACAAGGCTGGTGTCTGCCAATTGGTCTATGATGAACTGGCAGATGCCGCTTCTCACGTCGACAAGGCTGCTGAGACTTTGGCCGAAATGAAGCCCACCAAGAAGTTTTCCCTTTTCTAAATCTGTATTGCTATCATAGAAATAAAAATAAATCGACACAACTACTTTTGGGAAAGCTCCCCATATTGCGTGGATGACAACGATGGATACTCTTCTAATACCCTCCAGGCATGAACCAATGGAAGTTCTTTCTCCTTCTCCCTTAGATTGATGCATATCGTGTATTAGCAGGAGGAGGTTGCTTCCTCAGAGTATCGACAACGTGAAATCATTGGTCAGGCAGATAAACGAAGCCCGAATGATCGTTCCTTCAAAATCTAGTGCCAGTCTTACTTCTGAAGAAGAATGCCTATTGTTGTTACAGTATTATCACTTTGGTCGCGATATTGAGGCATTGTGTACAGTACTGGGTAACCCTTTCCTATTTTTTAATACCTGTAGTGGTATTCCTCGGCGCATCGTCAGACACGATGAACGAATCAAAGAGGGGACAATATAAACATAGAGAGCTGTGCGGAATGCGGAATTGAAATATAGCAATAGTCCTATCATTATATTGTATCTAAATTGCCCTTGTCGATTTTTTTAATAGCAAGAAGAGTCCAAGAGTTGTAGATATTCGACTCTCAGATTGCACTCACGGTCACAACAGACATGGAATGCGTCTTCGAAAATTTACAGAAGACTACAGTCCAGTCAAAAGCGTTTGTCCCAGGATTCACGGCTGATTTACACCAGCAGTGATGATCGATTTCTCGAAGTCGACCGAGATGATCTTTTGGTGCTCTTTCTGTCACGGCTGCTTTTTCGACCGTTGGAAGTCGAGCGTGAACGTTCCTTAGAATGTTGTCTTTCCTTGGATCGTGGGCGTTCCTTAGACCGTTGCCTGTCCTTGGATTGCGGACGTTCCTTAGATCGTTCCTTGGACCGTTGCCTGTCCTTGGATCTTTCCTTCGATCTTTCCTTCGAACGTGCTGGTCGATGCTCACGATCGTCCATTCTGTGGTATTCATCTCCCTTCGCAGAAGAAGATGATTTGCTGCGTGTGCGAGTACCCGATCTTGATCGGGCTGGGCGGGACTTGGAGCTAGATTTTTCTGAACGAGAAGTGGCTCTTGAGGCGGCAGAGGAAACCTTCTTTCGTCGCCGTCTTCCGCTTAGGCATTTGAATACGATGACTGCAAAGGCAATAGCGATTGCTGCTGCTATTAGCTTCATCTCCATTGAAATACCATCCGAATTGGCGGCACTAACTGAGACTCCATCATCATCATTATATTTTCCTTTGCTGGTGGCTGATGTCTTGGAGGACTCTGCCGCACCGCTGTTGTACTGTTGCATGCTGTAGTCATCATCGTACCATCCTGCTTGTTTCATATAGTAGTTCAATGCGTCATCGTTATTTGAACTGACTCTTCGTCGAACTGACATTTCGTATCGGTTGCCTCTGAGACCCATGCTTGCATGTATGGTGTGAGTGTGAGAATGCTGGCACAGCGAAAGAAACACCGTTATTTGTTGAGAATGTGGTTGCAGTTTTGCGAGTCGTACGTAAAATGGAAACCTTCGGTGATGAATAAAATTATATCTTTTGGCGACGGTTAGCAATGTTGTAGGTGTGCGCGCGTGCAACGGAAGATAATTTGAAATACCCCACAACCGCCACCCCATAACCGCAATTTGGAAATACCGGGACCGGTACCGTTACTCCAGTACTATTGGAAGCATCTAAAAATATTTTTTAAAAGTAAGTTTTTGTCAATACTATAGTAGCGTTGCTTCCTGAACCTAAGCTTCCTGAACCTAAGAGGGGGCTTGGAACTGAAAAGGAATTCCTAGCGTGGACCAACTTGAATAGAAGTCAATAATATGGTCGTTTGTAATAGCCATCGTCCCAAACCAACAACGCTTGTTCCCGAATCGTAGCATCTGCTGATATATAGATTGTGAATGTGTCTGCCTTTGTGTACTGTACCCCTGTACCCTGGTTTTCTAGACCAGCTCGCTTGGTCCCATTCTGCTTCCCGACTTGGAGCGAGACAAAAGGCGACTCTTTTTCGTCTTCTTCTTGGGGTCTCGGCTTTTACTCCTTCCGAACCTTGACGACTTCTTCTCCTTCTTCTCCTTCTTTGGTTTCTCGCTCTTGACCGTTTCTTTGACGTCTTCCATTTGATGATAATCATCAGGTTTGGCAGCAGAGGAAGATCGTTTCGGTCGCGATGCCGAGCGTGAAGATGGTCGGCTGCGTGATGCCGTTCGAGAAACACGAGAGAGTCGAGATACCTTGGTATCATCCGAGGAAGGAACAACCTTCTTCTTTTTCTTCTTTTTTCGCCTGCCAGAAGCAAGGATTTGATACACAACGATCGCAACCACGACCGCAATGAAAGCAGCAACAAGCTTGAGCTGCAAACTGATTCCTTCAGAGGAGGACGATGACTTTATCATGGACGAAAACCCACCACCATCGTCGTTTTGACTAGATGTAGACGTTGTGGTCGTGGTAGTACTCGTGGATGTGGCTTCTGCTGCATCATCATCCACAGTCCATCCAGCATTATTCATCCAGTAACTCACTTCATCGACGCGGCGATGTTGTCGTCCTACCATATTTCGACTCATTGTTCTTTTCTTTATGAAATGATCAGTGAGATTGATCCAGGTATGCTTTTTCGTCTTGATTTACAAGGAGTGGGCTAATACTTGCTCAACTCCCGGTCTTGGATGGAGTCTCTTTCCCTCCAATGATCGCTAAAAGAGAGTCAACAACAACAAATATATCGCCAAACGGTTATGCAGGACGTCGTTGAGACACTAGCGAAACACATGTCTTTACCGCGCGTTTCGTGAGAACAATGCAAAAAAGTTCCACTCTCCTCCATCAGTCTCCATCGCGCAGAATTCATGTTGATAATTCTTCATTTCAAAGGTGCTTGTCGTACATCTCATTGGACGCTACAACAGAGATGACAAGAGCAACAGAATACCCCCAAACAAAAGGCTATAGCCGGAACACAATATGCACTGCATTACTAGCAGCTATTGCTGTGCTCAAGATTCCTGAGAATGCTAAGGTTACCGCATTCCAACAAATAAATGTTGTGACACCATTTCAAACACGTCAGTCAATCATAACGCAAAGGTTCTCTTCGGTTGGTGATGGCGCTATCCCGCCGGAAGACCCAGAAGAGGGTGGGGGAGGTGATTTAGATGGCTTTTTGAATCCCAAAAAGGAGTCTGATAACTTGAAAAAGGCTCGTGAATTCATGAGTGAGTCCAGCCTACCATTGTCATACGATGAAGATGATGAGACAAATGACGAGGCCGATGGAATCGACAAGGTTCCGCTGGATCACAAGTCGTCAGCGCTGGTTGGCGCATTTGGATCTTCCTCCTCTTCATCGCTGTTTGCTGATGAGGCCAGCATGGATGCTCAACTGGCAAAGAACCCATACATGCAAGTTGTGTCCAAGCTATCGCCCTCTGAGATCATTTCAAAGTTCACCGCAACGGCGAATCCACGAGTTCAAGAAGCGGTCCGATCAACCATTTTAGGGTTGATCGGAAGCCTTCCGAAAATGGCATTCGAGACAACCACCATCACCACAGGACAACGATTGGCGTCACTTATGTTTCAGCTACAAATGACAGGGTACATGTTCAAGAATGCCGAGTACCGTCTCAGCTTGTCGCAATCTCTGGGCATCAATCCAATTGACACCACCCACATGCTCTCTGGTGACCCCACGGTGCAACTGGAGGATATACAAGAAAAGATCATGTCGGGGAAAATCAAGGGCAAGCTGAAGGTGCGTATGGGCAAAAAGCCAGAATCTGATAAGGCACTTCCCTCCACCGACACGATCAACGATCCCAATGAAATCGAAGTAGATGCCGCTGCATACATGTCAGAACTCCGATCAGAAGTTTCCAAACTGAAAGAGGAATTGAAAGAGCACGAGGATGCAAAAGAGGAGGAGCTACGAAAAGATTTGCTTCTTTACATTAGAACTTTACCCGCACAGGAGCTCAAGGAGCTCACAAACACTATGAGTCAAGACGTTCTTGTTTGCATGAAGGGTCTAGTACAAGCGGTTCTCGCAGGAATTGGAGATGGCAAGATTGCTCCTGATACCGTGACGGAACAGTCTGGAGAAGCGATGGCGCAGCTTTGCATGTGGCAACTTGCTGTAGGATACAATCTACGGGAACTCGAAGTCCGAGAAGAATTGAAGAATAAACTAACCGGAGGCATGGGCAATGCCAGTGACGACGAGAACGGCATTGACTTTTCACAACCGGGAATCTTGGAATAAAAGCCTCCACGTGTAATCCCGACCCCGCGGTTCGCATGACGCATGACCTACAGCACACTCTGGTATTTCAAAAGACCATGGTCCGAACTTGCAGAACTCCTTGATTCTGACCGCCTAGAATAGATCACAAAATAATCAAAAGTAAATCCGGCTAGTTGAATTCTTTACGCCTGGGGTGTTTCCCATCTTCCTACCATGGATAGATGCATTTGTTGATGCTCCTCGCAGCAGTACCTTGCCCCTTCTAGTTTCTCGCCGAGAACTGTGCATCCATTCCCACAAACCACACAAGGATACGGGGCACTATATGGAGCGTCTGCAATGCCTTTCAGGCATCGGTCATGCGGCAAGTGATCCAATTCGATTCGTATTCTGGTGCTCTGAACATTCAAAAGTTTTGACAGAGCGCATTTGGAATAGGGGTCAGGGGCGCCTCCTCGCATGACCAAGAGTTCCCGAACACTTCGCTTGTACGCTTCCTCGGCTTCTTCTACATTGACATACTGAAGGACATCTCCAAGCCGCTCATTACAAAATGCTGTACCCTGACACAAATGGCCTTCTCCAAGTATTCCCACCCGGCAACCAATTTGCTTATAACAGGCTTCAGCAGCTAGTTTGTATTCTCCTACTTGGTTGTAGTAATCTGATTGTAGTTGGTAGCACTTTTCAGCCAAAGAATGGCAACTGTGTGGTGGATTCAGTTCCTCTATCTGTTTCGTCATTGATTGGAGTTGGTAGCCATTTCCGCCTTCGTCAGCCACCAGTTTGATTTCTTCGATCACCTTTTGTAGCCTTGATTCTTCTTCCAACATTCTCTCCGTGTAATCGTCTGTCGCCAAGTTGTTGCAGACACTGCAAGGTAACAACCGGGGAATACTTGAAGCCAGTTGTTGGTGTACCAAATGGACTCCTTGGCAGGTTGTCGTACTCTGGCACATACATGGAAAGCGACGTGTGTCGTCTCCAAGTATATTGGAACAGCGTACACAGTTGCAGAGAAAGCCCTTACTGTGCAAAAGCTCTTCCCTCCTCTCATGTGTTGGCGACAAGGGTTGGCCTATGTAGTCAACTGTCAGCTCTTCTCCCGCCTGAATTTTGGTGATTGCTCGTATTTGCTTCGATGCCCCATCTGGCTCTGTCATCCAGGCACAGTTAGGACGGCAGGAATGGCTCATCTTGCACGCGACTTCAAACAGACCGAATCCGTAATCTGTACCAGGTCCTAACCCATCATCGGAAGGTGGACACAGTTCTACGCCATTGAATCGAATCACCATGGCCAGTTTGATGAAATCTTCAATGTTCTGCAGAACATCGTCCCTCCGAGAGTCATCCTCGTCCAGCTTGGTACCTTCGCATTCTCTGTGTTGTCCTTGCTTCTTTTCGACAGTTTCATTTAGGTGTTGTCGAATAGCGTCGGCCTGAGAGCAATCTGTTTCTTGGTACATTTTCAAGATGCGATCTCGAATATCCTTGGGCTGTTGTTGAAAATACCACCAATCAGTCCACATTTGTGGCCCTTCGGCGAGGTAGTCGGGAACGGGGCCGGATTCATCCAAGCTGGACCCTCGTGTTCGAATGGACAAAAGAGCGGTTTCCCGGAAAACAATTAGCCCAAGCGGCCCTGGTTCCAAAGATTTGGTGGATACCAAGACCATCCCATGATCCTCTGTCTGCTTCATCTCAACTGCAGCGCTGCAGATTCGATCACTCTCAATCATGTTGGGTGAGCAGATGGCGATCTTCTAGTAGGAGTGAATGCTCCCTTTAATATCAACGTTTGCTTTCAAAGACCGTTTCCTCGTTGACAAACTTGAGGAATCTTTTCTGGTCGATGCTTAGTTGCTGAAAAATTATTGGTCTTTTAGTTGAGCTGTTCATTTGTGGCTTGGCCGGTTTATTGTTGACAGAAGGATTGGTGTTGAAATTAGGAGAAGGATGGTTGGTTGTGCAACCGTGGGGGCAAGCATCTGGTCCAAATGAATTTTTCACATCAGCCACCGACCCGGAAGTGGGCTGCCTGCTCCCACTCTTGTCTGTCCACGTGCGTCCACGCGACAGAACATGAAACAACAAAAACACAATAGAACGTGACATCGAAATCCAAAACCTAGCACGATCAACAAACTCAACTCAAAAGTCGCATCACGATCACGATGAGGACGGTGATAGTATGCCCAGGCAACGGATGTTCTGATATTCGAAATTCTAACTGGTATGGCCAGATGCATCAGAAATTGACCGAGGATCACGGAAACCCTTGCATCTGTGAAGATTTTCCCGACCCCTTGCACGCTCGACGAGATCGGTGGGTTCCTTTTATCCGATCATTAGCCGAGAGACAAGACAAGCCGGAAGACGTGATATTAGTGGGTCATAGTTCGGGAGCTCAAGCTGCCCTTCGATATGCCGAGCTATATCCAGTGCACGCCTGCATCTTGGTGTCGGCAACCTACACCGACTTGGGCGATGCTCACGAAAGGGCGTCTGGATATTATCCACAAACGGCCAGGCAAAAAGATGGGGAGTTCATCGAAACAAATCCATATCTATTTCTGGACATGACGAAGAACTGTGCCAATTGGCACCAGTTTCATTCCGATGATGACCCATTCATTCCATTGAATGAAGCAGAACGGATCAGAGATGGACTAGGATTGACTGAAAAGGACGACAACTATCACATGCTTCCAGGACGATCACATTTCTTTCGATATTCATCGGAGATTCTGGATGTGATTTTGCAACTGTGCTAGTCTAGTCAAGTTGGTCGAAAGACCCGTGACTGTCATTCATATCATTCATTCATTGATTGATTCTGACCGTTGAGTCAAACTCTGCCATCAGCATGCATACGTCATCCGTAACTGGCGTGCAATGACAGAAAGGATACCATTTACTATTCAAAATTCTCTACATCTTACATCTAAATTTTACTGTACTCTATTGCTCAATGAAGTTGACAAGCTTGTTTGCCACCTCTTCTTCGTGCTGTTCAATAATTTTCTCTACAAAGCTGGAAAAGATGTCTTTTCCCTTCCGTTGAAGCTTTTGCTTCTTTCGTTTGTTCTTCAAGGCTTCCATCAAGCCCTTATACTGCTTCTTTCGTTCCTCGTCAATATCCTTGGAGGTGCAGGGTTGAATATCGTTCCCTCGATATTGATTTACGTGATAGATTGCCTTGGTAGCATTGTGTTGACTAAAGACTCGGTTGCACCACAGGCACTTCCAGCACTTCTCCCCAGTCGGCCGTCTGGTTCGAATGACATAGTTGTCATCCCAGATACTGTTCAAAGGGCCGATGGAGGGGGGAGAGACCACTGGTTTGGTATCCAGATCGGATGGCATTTCTTGGGTGTTGTCACCTTCGTCTTCGTCAGCAGTACTTTCAGCGGAGGTTGGAAGACTGATGACTCTTCCTGAAGGTGGAGTGGGCTCAGATTCCATATCCTTTCTAGAGCGCTTTTTCTTTTGGATCTTCTTGGAACTACTGGAAGTGATAGGAGTGCAGTATTGACCGCTTTCTCCTGAAGTGTAACGAGGACGAGGGGAGGAAGACGGAGTGATGGATGTCGATAGAGGTGGCAAGGGAGCAGCCGATGTGGTATATTCATCAGAGTCATCTTGTTCGACATTACACTGCAGCTTTTTGGTCTTCTTTCGTCGCTTAGCTTCAAGAGAGACCATCAAGCTCGCATAACGAATCTTGTGCTCTTCATCCATGTTCTCAGCTGAACAAGGCTGTTGGAACGAAATAATCAGAATGCTTTTTGTTAGGGCTAGTAGACTATCTTGCAAGCAGTCCATACTAATTTGTTTCGTACCTTGATATCGCATCCCTTCCGTCTATTCAAGTGATGAATCGTCTTAGTAGCATTCCATTGAGAGAAACGTTGATCGCACCAGAGGCACCTCCAGAATTTCTGTCCCTTCTGATCGGACCACTTCATGATTTTGTCATCTTCCCACACACTTCCGACCTTGACCATTTCAGTAGGGGTTGCGACCGACTCCTCGCAACTCTCATTAGAGCTATCTGAACTTGGTTGGTATTGAATCATGTTGGCTACGCGTTTATTGCTGATTCGTTTCCTTTTTGCCTCCAGTATTTTCATAAGTTCGCTATAACGACGTTTGCTATCGTCATCAATGGCGTTGGAGGCACAGGGCTAGAAGATGAAGCATTCAGATATGTTAGACATAAGTCCTACCAATACGCAATACCCAGGCTTCTAGGTTTGTACTTTGCTCGTACCTTGATGCTATAGCCCTTCACTTGATTCAAATGATAAACCGCTTTTGTTCCATTCCATTGATTGAAAGTGAGGCTACACCACAAACACTTCCACTGACGTTGTCCATCATCTTCTGTTGGTAGTTTTTCGACATGGGGATCATCCCAGATGCTCTTCAGATGATTCCCCCCAACATCGTCTTGTATAGAAGAATCACTCATGTTCTTTGTATTTTGAATGAGTGGATGTTGAGGAAACCTTGGAATCCCGTCAACTTGGAGTTCCCAAATCAAACAAGTCCAATGTTCGTACTTCCGGTACATACACGAAATGCAATTGCGCTGAAATTGCGCCGAACGGTGACGTTCTGCGGCCAGGATTTACCGGGGCGGAATGCTTTTTTCTGGTGTCTGTCCGTCTCCAGTTGAAATCATTCTTCTTGGTCAGAAGGCAACACAAACATGCAATGGACTAAGGGAGTAGTAGAAACAGATGAGAGAAGTGCTTTGATTTCCAGCAGTAGTGTTCGTTGATGACGAATGTGAAAAATAGAGGAAAACTGGGAATAACAGTGAATAATTTTGGGTTCCTTTTTCCGGTGTCTGCCCTGTGCCCGAACTGCAACTGCAAAGAGGTGTCAAGGAAAAAGTGAATAACAATGACGACGGAAATGATCACAAAAATAGAAGCAAAAGTAGTATTGAAACGCCAAATCAATGGAATTCACCCTTCATGTACATACTGCATAAGTCGGGCTTATTCTCGCTTGACAAATCCCATTGGATCAGATGTTATCGTTGACAATTCTATGAAAAATGCATTTGAGAACTATTGAAACACACATGGCGTGCTCTGTATGTAATTGAAAAGGATTCTGCTATGAAGGTGTAAAGTTTTGTACTCGAATATCACTCGATTTGCTATTGCCTTCTAGGTTTTTTTCAGTGATGAATATTTTGTGAAAAGAGGTAAACGAATAGCCGACCGGTCCGACTGAACTTTGAATCTTGTCTCCGACCGACTGACTTACTGACTCACTGACTGACTCACTTACTCCAAACGAAAGACACGACGACACCACCTTGAGTGTACCAGTGTACCACTCAACACAACGAGAGGACCTCCAGAGTCACCTGAAGAACACAACAAGGATCACATCGATTAGTAATAAGTCCTCGCTTGCTACTGCACGTCTGCCACCAATCGTTCGCTCGCTCGACAACTATCAACTCCTCCAGCACACACGTGACCGAGCGGTGAAGTACACTTCCGTATTTCTGGCAACAGGTATCATCATTTAAGCTGGAAGATTACCTTGCAAGAGGCTGGAGGACCCTTCTCCGCCCCCCTCAAAAATGGCTTCCACAAAGCGTCAATGTTAGCCAACAGACGGACTATCACCATTGCTGCTCATAACCAGCAGATCGATATTGCAATGGGCTGCAAGGCTGCCTCCACCGCCGCCCAAGTGTTTTGAATGCAAAGCGAATTGCGAGAGGGGCGACCAAACCACGTTTGAATGGCGAGGAGGAGCCATCATACGATTCATGTGCTTACCATTGTAGGGAAATTCACCCACGTTAGTGGCAGATCCACCCACGATCGTTGAAGGACCATGCTTAACATGAGATTTGGAATGTTGTTCCTTGGCTCTTCCAACTTTGGTGAGGGCGAGCTTCTCTTTTTCAAGATACCCCTCTTTGCCACGGACGCTTTTGTGAGCTTCGAAAACGGAGATGGCAAGAAGGGCGATGATAACTTCATTGTGATGACGCAAACCAGTATCTTGTGGATTTTGCGAGGAGTGTCGGTCATATGTCTTTAATATGGACTTTTGGCTTGTGCCTCATCGGATTTGGATACGATTTTCTCAAATTTGGATTTTGTATGCCGCGAACATCGTACAGGAGTCGTGTACACTTTTAAATTGATTCAATCGTCTTTGCAAAAGGCATGATAATATGAAGTTTTCCTATTAATATGTAATGATGCTGCTATTCGCTTTGAATGGATTACAGACCGTTCGCTTCCTTACAAACACAGCAAGCGTCAGCGGGTGAAAGGCCACCAGTACCAACTTCATCGGAGTACATTTCACAAACATCTAAATCTTTAAATTCTTTGTACCAGGCACAACCATCACCAACACTGCGGACAACCAGCAGACAAAATAATAGGTTGGAAATGAGGGCAGACAAAACATTCGTACGCAGAATTCAGGCACTTACGAGTCGGTCCATCCGGAAACGTCAGTGCAGCCACCACCGCTAGTACTGCCACTGCCACCACCGCTAGTGCCACCGCTGCCGCTGCCACCGCTCGAGCTGCCTCCTTCACAGAAGTCAGCTTCTTCGTTCCATGTGTCACATACAACGGATTTGATCCAATTAATTGCTCCACTGGTGCGGGCAAAGACATTCTCGCTAGCCTTAACTTTTTTGCAGTCGGCGCTTCCGAACGAAACAACACCAACTTGGGTGTGTGTATTTCCATTGCGAACCACAAGAGGACCTCCAGAGTCTCCCATGCAAGCTCCCTTACCAATTGCTCCTGCGAAAAGAATTGAAAACAAACCGTTTAGTCATACGTCTCCGCCATGTCCAAAGCAACGCGGAAATGACGAATTACCTGCACAGATCATGATGTCGGGATTCAAGCCTCCTTGCCATGCGGCATTACATTCCCCAGTGTTAACAACAGGAATCACAACGTCATAGAGAAACTCCCCATTGACAAGCCCGCCGTTCTTGTCTTGCATTCCAATACCAAGGACTGTCAAGTCAGTTCCGTCCGCAGGATAGGTAGCCTGCTGGTTGAGGGATAGTTTGACAGAGAGTCCTGTCACAGACTCGGAGAGCAGGTAGAGTCTGAAAAAGGTAAAAGTAAGGATATACTGTCATCAGTTTCATGTTTTCGAGACTGGTGTGTTTGATGCGAACACTAACTTACTCGAAATCGTTTTCCAGAGTATTTTCGTTGTATTCAGGGTGTGGAACCACTTGAGAAACAGTTCGCCAAACCCCGTTGCCAACCTCGCCTCTCTCATAGCCATTGACAATAACTTGCTTGTCTGGGTAGTAAGAGGCACCGCAGTGAGCGGCGGTAAGCACAACCTTTGGGGCAATCAATGATCCACCACAGTTTGCGGTGTCAACTGGAATACAATAACAAGAAAGGAGGAGCCAATGTTTGAGATGCGTCGAACGAGGATACCGCCAAAGATAAAAAGCAAGGGGCACTTACCATAATACGGAAAGTCGTTCTGACTGGACTGGGTTCCACCAATAATCGTGCTTGGACCATCGTCGTTACGAGACTCCTTAGCTCTGCCCACTTTGGTGCGGCTTCTCTTCTCTCCAAGGTTCTCGCGGTCAGTTCGCTCTCCTTCTCCACGGGTGTTGTGGGCTTCGGCAACGGAGAGAGCAAGAAGGGTAACAATGGATGCGGCAAACTTCATGATAACACAAATCTTGTTTTGTTTGTTTTGTGAGCAATTCCTCTTAATCTTTTCTTCACTTGGATTTGGATCTTTGGATACAAATTTGAAAGTGGATACATACCGGCACAGTACGTAAACACTTTTCGTTGGATTCTACGCAGATGACTGTTCGAAATTGAAAATGACTGCCTCAAAGATCCTCTGGTCCGCTGAAACGTTGGGGATGCCAGTTGCAGAGCGTAATGTAGGTACTGGTACAGTTTTCGTCACAATCGGAACGCGCGGAAAAACGGAACCTCTGCTATGGCATCAATCACAATTATTTTTTAGCGTCATCACAACTAGTCAACTCATGCGGCAACCTTGACCTCCGAAGCCGCCAAGACATCATATGCGATCATGTATTCTCTGGCACGTGTAGAGAAAGATCCTCGATAGTGGCTCACTACAGTTTTCAAGCTCTTTTTTACAAATGCTATGAATCCAGCGGCTCTTGGAAGACAGCTTTTCCCTGCGATAAAACGCTTTGGCCACAGCCCAATCGTACCAAATTCCTTCACCAGGCACGTCGGGATGGAACTTTGGGCTTCTGATCAATTGGATGCAACAACCCGGCTTGCTTCTTGAACTGTTGGCACCCAAACTCTTAATTTTCCTTGACAAGGTCCGAGTACTTGCTTTTGTTGAGAGTCAAAAGCTCAGCTTTTCTTAGAGCAGCAAGCTCAGGTGTCATGATATCATGGAGATGCTGGTAACTCTCATCAGTCGTCAGTTCTTCGGATGTACAGCACAGCAGCTGAAGACTTTCCTTTGCCTCAGAGCTGAGATTCTAGACTTTTCCCTGTTAGCTGTCTCTAGGTGCTTGGTTTAGAAAGTCTCTTTGTTGTACTGGCAATTATGATTGTGATTCATGATTGTTCTTGCGTCCGTGATATGCTTGAAGCCTTCTCCTTCGAATTCATTGATTTCCTTGATAGCTGAACGGCAGCAACCATCACAAGTCCACCCATCGTCCTTATTATCCAGAGCAAACTGTAGTGTGCAAGTGTTTGATGGCTTCAGGGGAGGACCAGTAGCTGATTAGTGCAGGTTCAAGGCTGAAGGTGGCGTACTCATTGCATCACCGCCATTTAAATTGTATTGAATATTTCCATTAAAAGTAGTGGGGAACTGTTGTCTGGCATTGAACAAAAGGCGGTCTTTCTACTCACTGTTGTCCTGTACCAACTGATGCTATTGGTTTGCTCCAAATCAATGTCGTGAAGTTGGGACATTGATTCTGTAGACTCTTGTGTAAGCAACCGAATATTCAGGCAGTCACTCTTCCGAAAAATTGAAACAGTGATTGGGCGCATTTTCAACGCTCACAGGATGTGGGATTGATTCCATTCAGGAAATCGCTCATCGTCGAGACGCAAAGGGAAGAATCATATGCACACTTATTGTCACGATTCCTTTTCGTGCGTGAGCCAACGCATGATAGCTTCGCGAGTATCCATAGTCATCCTGAAACAACCAATCATCGGATCTGCTGAAAACTTCCAGCTCAAAGACTTCTGGTTAGTTCGACTCCACCATTCAGTCAGTTTGAAAGGTGAAAGATCAAATGCAATCGAATCCATGCTGATTGCGTGCTCACATCATCATCGATTGAAGGCTCCAAGACAACGAATGGTCCTAGTGTTTGAAACTGACTGAAGATATGCGTGATGTGATATATACGACCGCTCCAGCGACATATTACTGTACTTTCATCGTTCGAGTGGAAGGCGACGGACCGGTTGACGTCTGGCATACGTACGCAAAATGAAACTCAGAAACACAAAACTTCAACCTACCAAAACTTCATCCCAAGAAATACCACGACGTCCTTCACCAATACACCATAAAAATAAACCGCTTTTCCTACAGTCGTCACCTCTACAGTCCTATTGATAACTTCTTATCATGACGAATAGTAAGAGGCAGTATGGAAGCCGCAATCAATCGACAAAGTACAAGAAACAGAAATCTTCACATTGTCAACTGATCTCAGATTGCGATGTCTTTAGAGCGTCCATGGATACAAAACAGTGCTGTAATTGCCACGATCACATCTATTGTTCGTTGGAAACCGATTGTACCACATGTCACAACAATCATTGAAATTATTGTGTCGAATGCTTTCCAGATCTGATATCATCTCCAGAACGACGAATGTTTTTTCAGCTGTCAGTCTGAAGTCAACGGCTATACCGGTACAAACAGTCAATGCCAATTAAAGCATGGTCGAAAGGCATGGCAAGCAAAACAACATCTGGCATATTCATACTGTATGACGACCATGATGAAAAGCTCGATCCAATTCGAAGCTTCAACTCCAAGTATGGCGCTGACGAGGAGGAGGATGGTGAAAGAATTAATTTCACTCGCGTTAGTATTTGGTGGTTTCACAGATGATGGCAAGGGACTTGACATTTGATCCATATACTTCCCGAAAAACAGAGAGGAAAACTGAAGCGTCGAACAAGTGAGAGGTCTCGCATACATCTTATCTTGCCTACATTCCATCTTTATTGCAGCACGTAAATGCGACAGTAATGATAAAGAGTTTGATGCAATGAAGCTGCAGTCAATGGTAGATGACGCTTTGGCACAGCTGGCTCTTCGTTCGATTCGTCTGCGCTGCCTTGTTGCCTTTACGTTTAAAGCTGAACCCTTGGAAGAGACGCCCATTGGGGATGCTCTTCCTAATCAACTTGGAATCAGCTGCGACTTTCGTCGTATCAAACAAGAATCTGAGTCAACAACCAGCTAAGGAATGAATGAAGCAACTAGATGTTGGAAAGCGGTTTTTTGAACGGCTCTTGTACTTTTGCGATACTAATATATTTGGACCCTTGAGATAGGCGAATTGGAACATTGAAATCATTGAATCCTGAGGCTTTATTCAATTTGTCCATTCAAGATACACGACCTGAAAACATTTTTGGTGGAAGGTGACCCAAAAGCTTGGCAGCGACTCGAAACTGGTCCAAATGGCGTCTCATGGACCAGGTTGGATGGATCTGGAAGCAAATGAAAAAGATGGCTTACCAAAGTTGCATCTCAAATATGCTCGAAGTGTAACCCTTGCTATGAGTATCTCATGAAGAAAGTGTCTACAAGGTCCCAGATCTTGACGCATAACTTGGTTACATGCAAAATTTACTTGGAGACGAAGTATGGAAAAATTGTCGTACAGGAGTACAATTACAATGTGTTAGGGAAGAGGATCTGAAGCGGGTCGGGGTTCAAACACTGTTGAAGACAAGGAAAGAAGCATCTAAGCTGGATCCGGAACAGGTGGAGAATCGAGAAAACGACTTTAAGACACAGTATACTGTATCAATGATTGGTAAATTGGATAATTTGGAGAAAGAACTACATGATGAGGTCCAAGCTCATTTTGTGTGAGAACAATCGGTGCAAGATGACATTTGAAATCATGGTGGAGCAAGAAATACTCCTGATTCAAGCAGCGAGTGCTACTAATGTCAGCAACTTTAGTGCCACAAGCATTGATTTTGCCCCGCCAGATCTGACATATCTATCATAATCTAATTAACAGCATTGGTATCTCTACTAGTACCATCGAGACTGATGGTTTCATTGATTGTTCGTTGTTACATACTTGGGCTTTTTGAGACTGGATTTGTTTCTTGGCTGCGGAAAGAAAAAATCCTTGTGGTCTGTGGTCTACAAGTGGACTGAAAATGTACCTCTAGATTAACCCGGGGATCTGGTGCGTTGAGACATGCTTTGCATAGGCTGTGTCATGATTCGTTTCAATTTTTTTGACTTGTGAGTAATTACAATAAATACCAGTTTCTCTACCTTGAGATCACTGCTACAGACATTGCCTTTACTTGCCCGTGCGGGAGAAAGCTCATTCAAAGCAAGCAATGCAATAAACAGTTTTGGTATAGTGAGGTTTGAGGTTGCCACAGTCACAAAATACAGTATCGATTGTAGTAGCTAGCTTAGTGAACATGAGGTTGATTGCTTCCCTGCTTCTTGTCATATTGTTGCTGGATTATTGTTGAATGTTCCCCCATCTTGTGAGCCTTTTCCGAATGGTAGGTCTGCTGACACTGTTGATTGTTTTCATTATTTATTGCTTGGAGTTATTGCTTGGAGTTTCTGTGGGGACGAGAATATCCCTGCCAAAGGCCCAAGGATTCTGTGTATTCTTGTATCATCTGATATTTCATCCGCGTTGGGATCAATATATTGTTGAATGGGAGATTGTCGTGTCAAGAGTTATGGGAGGACTGGTGACTGCCGGATTCTCCATTGGTATTGGTGAAATGTTTCTCGCAGTTGGTTGATCGGACATTTTCCGGGGATTGAGCTTCCGCTTGAGCTCTTCGATTCAAGAAATGAAGGTATCCTTCTCCCAATCTGGCATCTCATTCTATTGCTGGCCTTCAGCAGCTTGTTGGTCATTTGAAAGCTTCCGATATTGTTATATTTTCTTGTCCAGTAGTTCAAGGTCAGTATCAAATCCAAGGAAGTGTTTTGGAACGCCCTTGTCATCACCTCCCGTCCGCAATACCTTGTAATGCATTGCCAAGGACTCGGGGCTGTCGAAATCTAGGCCCGTGAGTTTTGCAAGCGTCGTAGCTCCCAGACCACTGGATTTGCGTGTCATGACTTGAGCGTTCTGTTGCTATCCAAAACCAGCTGGAACGAAGTCGATACCCTTAGATAAAGTGTTCTATGGGTTGTGTGGAAGAGATCTATCGCAAAAACGGAGGGAATAAACTGTTGTGAGGGTGGACACGGTGGGTACAAGTAATGCTATAGGTGTTTTGTATTTTTTCTTTCGGTATTTTGGATTCATTTTGCGTACGTATGCCAGACGTCAACCGGTCCGCAACGTTCCCCTCAACCGATGAACTTTTGTAATTTCTGATGATTGATTGCTTGGAATCTCGAATTCGTCCATGTGTCAACCGTGCTGAATTGAGTCCCTAGTTCCAGAAGTTGGATGTACCAGATCAACGGAGCCATGAGTGAGTGGAAGGAATTTAGAAGATGACGCGCAGACCGTTCAATTCGGCAGATCTGCATCATCCATCAAACTCCGACAGTTCAAGATTCTCCATCGCACAAATTCCTCGCAGCAAACATGATGAGAATCCTTCCAGCCGCTAGAGCACTTGCTTTTGCCAAGCCTGCTCAACGCAATGTTGCCTTCACTGCTCTTCGTATGATGGGCACCGCCCCTGCCCTCAAGGTAAGTGATTGATGGATGTGCATTTTGGCGGAAGTTCTTGACGACGACTACAATGACGACCCCAATGATGGCAATTGCAATTGCAACGACTGGTCGTTTTGGATTCTTCTGCATTCTTGACTGAAGATTGGAGAACGTCAGCTCACCTCTTCCTCTTTAATACCTTCCATTATCAGCCAGTCAACCCGGAATTCTCCTCAGGACCCTGCAAGAAGCGCCCTGGATACGACGTCGCCAAGCTCGACTCCCGAACTCTTGGCCGTTCCCACCGTTCCAAGATTGGAAAGGAACGTCTTGCACTTGCTATCGATGAAACCAAGCGTCTCTTGAAGGTCCCCGATGACTACCTGGTCGGTATCGTCCCCGCCTCTGATACCGGTGCTTACGAAATGGCCATGTGGAACGTCTTGGGTGCCCGCAATGTTGATATTTGCCACTGGGAATCCTTCGGAAAGGGATGGTTTGCTGATGCCGTCTCTCACTTGAACTTGAAAGATAGTGTCGAGGTCAACGAATTCACTGCCGGATACGGAGAACTCCCTGACTTGTCCAAAACCAACCCTGACCACGATATTTGCTTTACCTTTAACGGAACCACTTCCGGAGTCCGTGTCCCCCGTGGAGCCGATTTCATCTCGGACGACCGTACTGGATTGACCATGTGCGATGCCACTTCTGCTTGCTTTGCCATGGAAATGCCCTGGGAAAAGTTGGATATTACCACCTACTCTTGGCAAAAGGTCTTGGGTGGCGAGGGAGCCCATGGAGTTTTGATCTTGTCGCCCCGCGCCGTCGAGCGATTGGAATCCTTCACTCCCAAGAACCGTCCTCTTCCCAAGATTTTCCGCTTGACCAAGAAGGGCAAGTTAGATGCTGGTATCTTCAAGGGAGCCACCATCAACACTCCTTCCATGTTGGCCGTCGAAGATTACATTGATGCCCTCGAATGGACCGAGTCTGTCGGAGGAGTTGACGCTTTGATCAAAATGTCAGAGGACAACCTTGGTGTCTTGGAAAAGTTTGTTGACGAAAACGACTGGATTGATTTCTTGGCCCAAAACCCCGCCACACGTTCTTCCACCTCTGTCTGCTTGACTTTGGACTTGACCGCCGACCAAATCAAGAAGTTTGTCTCTCTTTTGGAATCCGAGAACGTCGCCTATGACATTGGAGGATACCGTGATGCCCCTCCTTCCATCCGTATCTGGTGTGGATCCACCGTCGAAAAGGCAGATTTGGAAGCCTTGTGCCCCTGGTTGACCTGGGCCTTTGAAGAAGCCAAGAGCTCCTAAATTCGATAGCGAATGGGTGACTGCTGCATATCCACCGATGATATCGTTCATATACCAGTCGAGCCTTCTTGTGAGAACAAGACTAATGTATGATGGAGAGTGTAAGGAGGGTGCCGTAGAACAGCATAACGCCCAAGGGTTATTCTGAAGGTTTGGAAAAAGAGCCCAATCCGTCAGTGGTTTGTTGAATAGAGATTATACATGGTCAAAAATTGATTAGCAGCGCCACGGGAAAGAAGTGGAAATGCAGTAGCCTGATATCCAATGCTAGTATCAGTTATAATAATATAGATTTTCATGCTACAAAATGCAGTATCTTGCCAACATTCTAATATGTTTACGATCTTTGTACAAAAGAATCCTAGAGCATTAAGATTAAGATATATACATATATTTGTCTTGTCTATATAAAGTAACATACGTTACTAATTCCTCTTACAGAGCAATTTGAACTTTGAACTTTAGAGTTGCCAAAAGCACCAAGACGCTGAAATGCTCGCCTGATATTGCTTTTTGTGACTGACTCATTCAAAAACTCTATTTCTTGTTGGATCGTTTCTTTCCTAGTTTTGGAAGTTTGAACAGTTTCTTGTTGCCCTTTTTGGCTTCAGTCTTTGTCTTTTTGACACCAGCTGCTTCAGTTTCGGTTTCATTTTCGTTTTCAGTCTCGATCGGTGGCGCATCTTCTCTTCCTTTTGGATTGAACACAGTCTGTCGCTCCATAGTTCCATCACTGTCTACCGTTTCGACAACAATATCCTCCTGCCGGCTTTCTACGCAAGGTTTCGCTGCAATCGATCTTGACGCGACTGGCTTGTTGGATGCTGGATCCACTGTTTTGCTGTCGGATGTCGAAAACGTTTCTGGTTCCTCCTCCGAGAACATTTGCTTCAAGGCAATATCTTCTCCACAACCACAGAAATCCATCTTGGTCGAATACTTTTTGCTGCTTCTACTACAATAGTGTCAAATTGTGCTGTTAGTATCGTTGTTGTTGTTGTTGTTGTTTGTTGTCCTCCGTTGACGACAATTCTTCTTGTTGCCGCGTGGGAAGGTTGGTAGATATAGGTCGGAGGGAACACGTACTGTCGTTGACATATTCAGCGATCGTTGAAAAACTTGGCACGATCGCTGATGGATCTTTTGGTCGGATGAGTCGTAATCGTCGGACGATTTCTCGCAAAACAATGACCACCGTCCGTCATCGTGGTTTCTCAATGCATCGATGAACTAGAAGATTCCAGAAGCTGTTGACAGCAGAGTTTTGACAGTGAAAGCATGGCAGAGAATACTTCCTACACTGCGAGTTACAATGCTCCCTCCTACTCCTATGGTGGTGGTGGTGGTGGTGGTGCGTATGGAGCCGCCCCTTCCAATGGATCATCAACATCATCATCATCAGCACCACCAGCAGCAGATGGAGGTTTGAGGCGTCGGAGCGCTGTCACTCCACAATACGGCAGTGGTGGAGGGTATGACGACGAAACCAAGAAAAGTCGAAAACCCCGACGAGCTGTAGTGGAAAAGTTGGATTTCATGTTCCCCAAAGTCGACCGGGAATTCACCGTCAAGACCAAAGGCGGTGGTGTCGCATCACTAGTCGCCACCGGATTGGTGGCAATATTAATCATTGCAGAAGTTATCACATGGATGGCTCAAAATGGAGCGGAAGTATCGCGAACCTATGTCGACAATAGTTTGGGAAAGAAGATGCGGGTCGACCTGAACATTACGTTCCCAGGACTAGCCTGTGATGACCTGCACCTAAATGTTATTGACATAGCTGGTGATCACCAACTTGACATTCACGACACGTTGAAAAAGAAAAAGCTCCACAAGCATGGGGGTCCCATGACCCGTCAAGAATTGGAAGTGGAAACCAACCTGCACCGAAAACAACAAGCGGAAAAGGATCGTATCTTGAAAGAAAAGTTGCCTGCTGATTATTGTGGACCTTGCTATGGAGCCGCACAAAATGAAGGCGACTGCTGTCAATCGTGCGATGACGTGATTGAAGCCTACACCAAGATGAAATGGAAGACCGACATGCTCAAGTTCACCTCGGAACAGTGCATTCGCGAAGGCCGAGATCATCAAGAAGTCAAAAAGTTGATCCGAAATCAAGGTTGTCATTTGTCTGGATATATGATGCTCAATCGAGTGGCAGGTAACTTTCACATTGCCATGGGAGAAGGCATTGAACGAGACGGCCGACACATTCAAACCTTTAACCCTGAGGACGCCCCCAACTTTAATGCTTCTCACATTATTCATGAATTGAGCTTTGGACCAGCCGACGGGAGCGAACCTCTCACTGGCACCACAAAGATTGTGACAGAGAGTGTTGGAACCACTGGATTGTTCCAATACTTTATCAAGATTGTTCCTACCAGCTATGTCGGTGACGCCTTTCCTGGCAATCCCGACCTGGTAGAAATCAGTGACGATGGAGAGGCGCGACTGGAAACCAATCGATATTTCATTACCGAGCGTTTCAATCCACTCATGTCAGAAGGTTACGAAGAACACACCACTAGAGTGGAAGGGGACGCGAAACGTCATGCAGTCGAGATGAACCATGGCAAGGGACACGATCACGCGGATCATCACCAGATACGAAACAGTGTCTTGCCAGGGATCTTTTTCATTTATGAAATTTATCCCTTTGCTGTGGAAATATCCAAGAATTACGTTCCATTTACTCACTTATTGATTCGCATCATGGCGACAGTTGGTGGAGTCTTTACTTTGGCTCGATGGGCAGATTCGATAATATACGACCGTCGCAGATGAGGCTAGAGTAATTTGAAAAGTATACTGTAGCTTTCATTTCTGATGTCATGATGCTAATCAGACATATCCTTTTGCACCTGGCATGGTTATCATAATGATAATCAAGAATACTAAAAATCATAAGGAAACTCAGCATAACTCAGCATACAATCATCATCATCATCATCGGCAGAAAGTGAAATATGTTTGTGGGTGCTAGACTTAATTAAAATTGAAGATAGAGCGATGTGCGTTTACTTTGCCATTGGATGAGAAATGATGTAGTCTACAGCATCTGCGATGGAGACAATCTTGTCAGCCTCAGCATCTGGGATCTCAATAGCAAATTCGTCCTCAATGGCCATTACCACCTCAACAACGTCCAAGGAATCCAATCCCAAATCCTCAGTGAACTTGACCTTTTCCGTGACCTTGTTTCCATCCACTTGGTCGAAATTCTTGACAACCTCCAAGATTCGGGATGTAACATCACCGGCATCCAAGAAAGTTTGGGCAGCAAATGTTCGAAGGACCATTGGCTGTTTCAAGGCCGAAAAGGCATTCATGTTCACAGCGCGAACAGCAACACGAGAGGCAAGGACACGTCCAGCAGAAAACATCTTTATTTATTCTGCCATAAATAAATAAATAAATTGATTGATTGATTGATTGATTGATTGATGCAAAAGAAAACAAGTGAGCAATGGATATGGAAATCAAACTTTTTCAACAATCCTTCCAATGGCTTCATTTTTGGTGTGATGTCAGACTTCGTCCGTAGATCTTCTACTGGGAACAACGATGAGCAACTCCCAAGAGCCAAATGGAAGAATTGCCTGAATTTTGTCAAGGAAAGTAACACCACATTCCATCAGCAATGTCACCATCCTCTACAGCTGACGAAAAAGTCAAAGCCATTCCATCGTACCTTTCGTGTGTTGGGATAGCAATACTGACTCGATGATGCGAATGATTTCTCGGTGCGGTTCCCTGAGTTGTTCGAGAAAAAGGTTGAGTGACGTCCAGACCAGGCAGGATCATGAAGGGCTGTAGTAGTCCCTTTTCAGTTAAGACTGACATAGTCCTTTTGACCGGCTTCCAACATGACTGAGATTTACTGTACCGTACCACATAACAATGCCCGACACCAGACACTCAACCTTGTTGGCATTCTCTATTCAATAAAGTCAGCATCCCGGCAAATAACCACAACAACACAATGACGTCAAGGCTTTATGATGGAAAAGAGTGGCACGAAATCGTCGATGATGATGGGGATGAACATCAACAAGTACATGGCAAGGTTCCTTTGGCTCCCATTTTGAATGGAGATGGCAGGATCTTTGTGTCGATACCAAGCTATCGAGGTTCGTGAGGATTGCACTTGTCTTTGATTTGGTTTCGGTTTGTATTGATTGATTGATTGATTAATTGATTAATTGGTTCGTATGGCTAACGGTGCAATTGCATTTGCCGTGTGTGTTTTTCAGATGGAGAGAGATGCGGAAAAACAGTCATGGATATATTTCAAAAAGCAAAGGATCCCGATAATATTATTGTTGGAATAGTCGATCAGAGCTACGAAGACGACAAATCCTGTCTCGAAGTTTACTGCAAAGAACTTGGTAAGTGCTTTCGAGAGAATGATGAATTATAAAATTATCTTGATCATGGACGAGGATTCAATAATTCATTCGTTTCAGAGCATTGGCATTGGCACTGGCATTGTCTGATCATTCAAACCTGAAGCATGATTCTCACTGGAATCGTCTTCTTTTGCATATCTCACAAACATATAATATCCAGGATTTAACATTTACAGCAAACCTTCTCTTCGAAAGGACACCACCAAAGTCATATTGAACCAAGTGCAACACAAGAATTGTCCTCGAGCAGACCAAATCCGCAAAGTGAGCGTCCATCACTTTGATGCCAAGGGTCCGTCTTGGGCACGGGCCTTGAGTCGCAAGATTCTGGGCAACGAAGAGTTTTGTTTGCAAATTGATTCACACAATCAATTTGTGCAAGATTGGGACGAAAAGCTCAAAATGGAATGGGCTGCCACCCGCAACGAATTTGGAATCATTAGTACTGTGCCCCTGGGGTATTATGAAATGGAACACAAGGAAGCGACGACAGTGACTAGAGGTTGTGAAGTGGAGTATCAAGATAACAAAGTTCCGGTAAGTGTTGAAACTGAAACTGAAACTGATCTTGATTCTGTTGGGCGGACTCATAATGCTGCTGTTTGCCTCCACGAAATCATTGTTATAGCACTTTAACGAACGAGGAGATGGAAAGATCGAGCATTTGAAAAAGCCATTCCTGGCACACACATGGTCATCAGCCTTTAGTTTTGCCAAGTGTCACTTGGAGGAATCGGCTCCCTACGATCCCTTTACCCCATTCGTCATGGGAGTGGAGAATTTTGCTCGATTTGCTCGGTTTTGGACAAGGGGGTATGATGTCTACACCCCGACGCAGAATATAATATACCACAGCTTTCAGCCGAATCCAGAAGGTCACCGGATGACTGAATGGTTTCATCCAAAAGACCAAAGACACAAAGACGAAGCTCTAAAGCGAATCAGGTAAGCAAAGTTGGATTGTTTGCTTCAGAATCGTGAAAATTTACAGTTCGACTCATACATTGTACCATCCCACAGATCGTATTTGGGAGCTCCAGATGCCTTGGAGGACTACAACTTGGCCAACCTCGGAATTTATGGATTGGGAAAGCGACGAACACTGCAACAGCTGGAGAAATTCTTGCAAATTGATATTGCCAATCAAGTTCCGAGGCCCCGCAACGTAAGGATTGTCTCGTCTTGGTCACTGCTACCCACTTCATTTATCTCAGCTCATTTCCATTTCATTCGTTTCTTCATTCTTTCATCCTATTTTGTTAGGCACCGTGCATGGGGCACGAGTGGGTTCCGTATAATATGGACATTTCTCCAACCGAGAATCTATTCAAGCATCCAGACAACTTGGATCCCCAACCAGAATTTCCAATGCGCACCGAGTGTGTGTTTTACGAGGAAGAAGCAGCAAATGCCGCAAGTATCGACGTGCTGGAAGGAGACATTATGGGAGAATTGGGCGAAGGAAAGGATGGTTCGCAGCAGACAAACCCGCATGCCTCTCCATTTCCTTCAGGGACAATACTATTTCCACTTTGGATTGTTGGTCTCGTCATTTGGTACATGAGCTTTGCCAGTACACCCACATCAAGAGGGAAACAGTCTAGACAAAAAGCCGGAGCCAAGGATTCGTAAAGTGTCTAGCTGTATAATCCTCTATGATTTTTTATATTGATGGAAGCTAGCCTATCCGTCAAATTCGTATTCTTCCTCCTCATCGCTTGCCCACAGATCGTCCTCCTCTTCTAAGTCGTTGCTATTCTTGGCCAACGAAAGCCGTGGCCTCATTCGAGCTGGCAGGGAAGCACGCCGCGGCCCTTCGTCAAAGGTTTCCTCAATTTCCGATTCGGAATCATCTTCCAATTCAATGACCTCTGGCTCGGCTGCAGGTTGTGAAAGGAACTTGTCAAGCGTTTGGATTTGGCTGGAAGGAAAGGTCCGAGCCTTCTTGCCACGACCTTTACCAGTCGACTTTGCTTTGGTTGTTTTACGTCGCTTTCCAGTTGCCGAAGAAGAACGTCGACGAGTGGACCCAGTGGATGCCCGACGCTTCTTGGTGGTGGTTGCCTTTTTTCGTTTGGCAGTACTGCCGCCAGTAGATGCCCGAGGGATTTTGGCCCGTGCCACTCGCGTAGGAACTCGAATGAAAGCTCTCGAGTTGCCAGACACCAAAAAGTCTTCCGCCTTTCTTGTACATCTCAAGTAAATGATGGAACTGCAAAATGGTTGGTGAGTATCATGCATATCAGCAAAAAACGATTAGACTTCCGAGATTTCCGGATACAGCCATGGTGGCAAGACAATACTTACTCGTATTTTGACCACTTGACATCAACTTTGATATAATCGTCCATCAAGAGCTGTACAATGACTTGTTCACAATCGGGGACGGAAAGTTCTTTACCAGGTGGATTATTTTGGACGCATTCCGGTGCTCCATCCGGTTTGGCCCGCCATTCCTTCAAGAGCATGGGCATGGTCAATTTATCGTCCTGCTTGAGAAACAAGAGCTGCAACAGGGTCTTGGCATGTGCCGTAATATCCTTCAAAACTCCAGAACCCTCCAAACTAATGGTTTCATGGGTACCTGAAGTGTCATATCGTTTTAGGGTTCCCGAGAAATCGCTTTCGCCCGTTTCTCCCAAACTTTCCAGTATGGTCATGCGACAAATGGTATCGTTGCCAAATCGCTGCCCATACCTGATCATTCCATTGAACAATGTCTCTGTTCGTTCCCCGTTAATCATTTTGATCAATCTGGGCACATCCTTGGGCGAGTAATACAAGATGCAATCGGCTGGTTTGCCATCTCTTCCTGCTCTCCCAGACTCCTGATAGTAAGCTTCTAACGTTTTGGACAAGGTGTGATGGAGAACAAATCGCACATCGGGCTTGTTGATACCCAATCCAAAAGCAATGGTGGCGACAACTACTTGGGTTTGGTTCCGCATCCAACTCCGATGGATAGCCTGCTTTTTGGTCACACTGACTCTGCTCAAGACATAAAAGGACAAAGGTGTTAGGAACTCGGGGCAGTAAATAAATCTGACTTGAAACGTCACCGACAATGTAAGTCACTTACTCGCTGTGATAGGCCTCGGCAATGATTCCCCGTTCCTGCAATTCGTCTGCAACCGTATCCGCATCCTTTTTGGAATAGGCATAGATAATTCCAGCCGAAGTAGGATGCTTTTCCTTGATGAATTGGGCCATATCCTCCAAGACCTCGTTCGAGCCATCCTTTGGTTTGACGTAATAGGACAAATTGGGTCGATTGGCCGTGGATCGAAAGAATCGATAGTGTCGGGAGAGGCGCAGAATTTGGGCACAGTCGTTGCGGACTCGATCCGAGGCCGTTGCCGTGACGGCCAAGACTGGTACTGATGGAAATTGATGTTTGAGTATGCCTAGTTTGGCATAATCGGGCCGAAAGTCGTGGCCCCATTGACAGGCGCAGTGACATTCGTCAATGACGATTCGTCCCAATCGATTTTGTTGGTGTAGTTTTTGCAACTCGGACTTGAGCTTGTTGGAGGCAGTCACCTTTTCGGGTGTTACTATCATCATCAAGACTCCACCATTGGGATCCCGAACCCGGTTCCAATTTTGTGTGTGCAAGGCTTGGCCCATGCCGGAGGTAAAGCTGATGCAAGATTGCGCACGAAAGGCATTCATCTGTTCTTGCTGATCTTGGATTAGCGAGAGTAATGGAGAAATGACAAGGGTAATCTTTGGACCTTCGAGTATAGCTGGAAGTTGATACGTCAAAGATTTGCCACCTCCAGTACGCATAATCACAAAGCAATCTTGTCCACTGAGGGTGGCTTGGATGATATCCTGTTGAGTCTCTCGAAAGGTTGGAATCTTAAAGGTGCCATTCAGTACTTGTTGAATTTGTAGTTCGGAGAAGCGACAAGTGGGTGATACTATGGCAGCCAAACCCGGTTTCTGTTCGGCACCCACATTGCTGACCCGTCTTGCGTTGCTATTTCGCGGCACATGTGTGAGATCCAAGGGTGGCAAGGAAGCTGCTATTGAGGCCCGCCCATTATGCCCACCATGCGGCGTCACTGCTGGCCCATAATCATTTTCATCGTCATCAACATCGACATCGTAGTCAAAAGACATTTGAGTTTGCGAGTTTCTAGCTTGTGTCATTTGCGTATTGGGATCCGTCAGATTTTCGTTCGGTGACACGGGGCTGTTGGAAAAAGTAACAGGTTGCGATTGAGGTTGTTCGTGTTTGACTGTTTCCTGTTGATGCTGGGGTAGCGTCGTATGTTCTTCGAATTGTTGTTGATGTTGCTGTTCTTCTAGCTTTTCAATTTGATCGTCGAGTCCCATCAATTCATTCGTCAAGCCTTGAATTCGATTCTCAATGTTTGTTACTTCCTTCATCAAGACTTGCTTTTGTGAAAACAAGGCCGAGGATTCTTGCCTCTTGGCATCGCGCAATGCATTCAAAGACGCTAACGACCGCATTGGTGGTGCTAACAGTGGTACACAAGGGTAAGTCCACAAGAACTTGCAAGAGGAACAAACAATGAGGGTGGACGATCGAGGATTTGAAATATTCAGAGCATTGTTGTCGATCCAGTCCAGTCAGTCTATCGAGTCTGGGGGAAAGCGGACACCGACAGACGATATCCTCAAATGGCGCGAGTTGCAGTCCGACGAGTCCAATTTTCCGTTGTTTTTTTCTCACAAAATCACATCAAACCAAACCAAACACCATCACAATTGGTTTCAATTTCAATAACATAGAATCATGAAGACTACAATTCAACACATCGAGTGCCCTATTTGTTACGATTGTACCAACAATACAGTCACCTTGCCATGCTGCAAGAAATCCTTTTGCATCCCATGCTTGGAAGGTTGGAAACCTGATGTGGACGACTACGTCCACGGGAACCGAACCTGTCCAAATTGCCGCGCCCTCGTTCCACCCACTACAGAAGTCTTGCAGACCATTCAGTTTTACAAGAAAGTTTCTCTTTCTCTAAGCATTCTGTTGGTACAAGATCCCAGTTTGGATTTACCGGTTGCTCCATTGCCTACTAGTCCTATCAGGTACCCAGGCGACCAGGTTGCGATTCGACGCAATTACGAGTCCATTCAGACCACCTACGCACAGCGAGTTCAACTATTTGAGCAAAAGTATGGGTGCAATATCCTACCCGTCTCTGTCATTCCCAGCAGTCCGACAAAACCAATTCATTTGCCAGACTCTGTCATCCAAGCAGTCAACGCAAGCAATTACTCGCATGTGAGCACGTTTCTCGGGCCACCACCCATCTCACCCCAGCGCTTAGAAGCGATTTGCCCTCAGAGTGGTAATACACTTCTTCACATCACAGTCCAAGCAAACAATTTGGATATTGCCAACGTCCTCGTGGCTCTCGGGGCCGATGTCAATGCAGCCAATTTTGATCGGCTGACTTCCTTGTTCTATGCCGTCAAGATTGAAGGACAAGATGATAGAATCGCAAAGGCCTTGATTCGTGCGGGTGCCAAAAAATTATCAATGGTCTTTCCCAATTCACCTATCTTCTCTCTGCCCGATTATCATCTGGCAGCCACCGCCCAAGGCCTCGGGAAAGTGGAGCTTGCTCGTATGCTCGAAAAGGAGGCTCTTGGAAGACATTGCAAAGTCCAAGTCGACGGTTCTACCAAGAGAGGAACCATAATGGAAGAGGGCATTTCCGGCAACTCACAGATCCTTTTGGACAATACAAAGGAAATGGTCCTGGTGCCGACAAGCAATATCGAAATTCACAAGCCTCTGCTCTTCGACTTTCGCGATATTGATCGCAATGCTCTCTTTCCCAACCCGCCACCGAGAAATAATGCTCCCGTCTTTCGCTCTGGGACCGAAGCTCATGAAGGACTAGTACGTCTTTTCTATTTCATTGGAGGCGACCCAGAAACCACTTCTCGACGCAATGGTCGCGAAGGCAACCATGCCCCAACTCGTACTCTCCACAACTTTCTCACGGATGAAACTGCGGGATGGGCCCCTGAAGAAGTTGATGACATAGCAGATGCGATCTTTACCATGATGTCTCATCGCATTCTGAATGGGAATCTGTTTCCACAAGGATAGAGTGGAGGAATCAATCAGAGGCTTTCGATGGAATGCTACGCGATGACACAGATTCATCTGAAGTCTTTCTATATGCGCCAATCCAAGAGATTGACCCCTACACCTTCTTGACATTTCTCTTTGGAAATACCTCAGCTCTGATCTTGTCTTAATGGCAATTGGCAATCAGTCGGTCCCAATACAGCAGAGCGAACCACAAACCGGAGTAGCGTATCATGGAAATAGCAAGCTTTGAATCCCCTTTCAATTTTCCAATAGTCTTCAGTTTCCATCCCCTTTTCTCTTCCACATTTGATATTTTCTCCAGACATAGGCACACTCTTCGTGTACAATGGCATGCCGTCGGGCCAAAGCATCCACGTCCTTGTCGTATCCACCACCGACTACTGCCGCCACTGGAATTTTAGCGCCCACACATCGATCCAATACCCAGCGATCTCGTTTTCGAATGCCATCTTCGGTAATCTTGATTCGTCCCAACTTGTCATGTTCGTAGACGTCGACTCCGGCATCGTACAAGACCAGATCGGGTTGGACGTCGCCTAAGGCCTGGTTGACGCTCGTTTCCAACTGCTGCAAGTATTCTTCGTCCTGACAACCATTGTCCAGTCCAATATCATAGGTGGAATGCGCCTTGAGTTGAGGATAATTGGAGGCACAGTGCATGCTCAATGTGAATAGTTTCTCATGATTTGGATGATTTGGATCGCTGTTCCACAATGTGGAAAACTTGGCCGTCCCATCTCCCTGATGGACGTCGCAATCAATGACCAAGACTCGTTTTACTGACGGCTTCATCGTGGTAATGACATGGGTGGCCACGGCCAAATCATTCAATATGGTGTATCCAGCGCCTCCGGTTGGCGATGCATGATGGGTCCCACCAGCCACATTGGCAGCAATTCCATAATGACTGGCTAGCTGACAGGTCAAGACCGTTCCGGCTACTTCCAAGACGGTTCGTTCAATAAGTTCTGGCCGATGGGTTTGTTCCCGAAACCCAATGTATCGCGCTTCTTCCACCGTCAATTCACTGTTCAAGAAGCGATTCACAAAATCTTCGTTGATAATGTCGAGAAACCATTCTCGAGGAATATCTTGGAAATCAAGCGGTTGAAAAAAGTGTTGTTCCTTTCGGACCAATGGACGAGGAAGATTGCTATAACCAGGAAAATTTTTCGAAGATGTCGTCAACAAGGCATTTGCAATTCGATCAAACTTGTCCATTGGAAAGGTATGATTGGGTGGCCAATCCTCAAAAGAGTAGTTGGGATGATTGACGATGGGCGCGTGGAATCTATTCAAGGCAGGATCCAATCCCAATCGTGAAGCCATAAGACCCAAATATTTCATATCTTCAGAAGAAGAAGCAGTGTCGGCAGTGGCTGCATCATTCGTCGAAAAAAGTTGTCGTGACAGACTTCGGCTGTAGTTTCGCGATGGACGCTTGTTGGAAGGTTGAAGGATTGATGGAAACGCATATGCTGATCTCCAGAATAAAGTTGACATGATAGCAAATAGTAGAAGAGTCGACCGCTTTGTCGACCTCATACAATCTGAACCTTGTACAACAATCTACTGTAGTTACTGTACGAGTACATGGCATTCATTCTGTTGATGCGTCAGCGGATCTTCGTTGATGGGTAAAATGTCAGTCGGGCTGGTCGAACTTTAAACGTAACGCGTTCGCTTCGCTTCGTGCGAGTGTCCTGTGCGTGTTACGAGTACTCTCTATCCTTGGTGTTACGGTAGGTGCCAGTACGCTGCGGGAGGGCATAACATTGCTGATTGATTGAATGATTCCTTCGACGGTACCAGCTACCGGTACAATAGTACACGTACCTTCGCTGCATTGAAACTGAGAGCTGATGCACTTGAGAGAAGCGTTGGCTGCATCAAAATTTTATCTCTTATATTGTTGTGGTGGTAGGATTAGTCCTGTTTACTGGTATTGTATGGTATCGGTAGTTTTCAATTAAAAAAATTCTACCCGCTACTGCTGCTGTATGATGCTGGTTCGTCCGGAAGCAATCACGGGCTTCACCGTCAGCAGGTACTGTCTCTGCGGTGCATAGGGTGCTGCAACGGTTGTGAAGTCCTTTTGCAGCCGCTCGACCACCGAGAGTTTAGCTCTGTGTTGAAATGCACATGACATTCGAAGCAACAAGAAGCGAGCAATTCTCTCGTTTTGACGTGATCCTGCCTTGCTTTGAAGCAGCTTTTTGGTGTAGAGAAAGACGAAGGCGTTGACGATGGTGTATTCTTGCTTGGGGAGAAGTTCTTGAAGGGCATCTCCTCTGCAATACTTGCAGCAGTTCTTGTCAGATGCAGTGTTGAGTCATCAGCCAATAGTTCGACAAGAGAGGTCTGCTTGCTGGAAGAGGTTGCGGATGTTTGTTTTGGCACTTTGTAGTCTTGCATGTTTTACTGAAACCTATCTTGGAATATATGAAGACTGTCGGCAGATTCCCCTTGTTTGCCAGACAAACGGCAAGTGCGTAGTAGGCCCGACCGAAAAAGTTCGGTTTCCCTTATTGTTCTCTTCGCTCTAGCGGAACGAGTACCAGGTACTAGCCCTTGACGCGTAACACAAGATGGTACCTGGTATAATATGTGTCAATTTGAAGTTGGCTGTTGTTTGTCCGGGATAAAATTTCCAGTTTGATATTTTGAATTTGTTCTTATATCGGAACAATATGCGGAGAGCAATGTTACGACGAAATCTGCAGATAGAACATGATCGACGAAGTGCAAATAGAAACTATTATTTTGAAAGAACACGCCCGTACATGTACTGCACTGGCTTTTTTTCAAGCGACAATTTGAAAGCGAAGTCCAACCATTGATCACGAAGTAAGATTTATCGTTGGAATTCCTTCGAATTGTGAAGGACATGTCTGTCTGTTTGACTGTTTTCTCTTTTTATATGGCAGTGTTCGATTGGACGAGCTTTTTACCATGCCACGGAATGTCACACAGTACTGTTGGAAAATACTTTTTTACATTGTAGGGCCAGCTGCGTGTTCTAATTCTGAACACTGTAGAATTACCTAGAGCTGTCTGTTGAACAGATGAGTCATTTGACTGGCCCCAGAGGAGTTCGGTTCCCCCTTCTCCTTCTTCTTGTTTGAGGGACCGGGATGATCGTCATCATCGTAGCTACTAGCTAGTATGGTTCTCTAGTGGAGCGAGCCGGAAGAAGCAGTTCACGGCGAGGGCATAGGGCATATCAATCCTGTATGAGTGCCTGTACTGCTTGCTTTTGTAGTTGCAAGGTCTCAAGGTCGAGAGGAGATACAAGAGGCATCAAATGCAGTAGGTACACTAGAGGATTCCATTGATATAATACACGGGTTCGCTGGAACTTGAAACTATGCAACCGCAGTACTCCACGTGTTCCAAGCGCCTAACCGCCTCACGTCAAAGCTTCCAAAAATTGTGTCATCGTTACGTTGAACGTCACTCGTTGCATCTGAGAACCCAAATCTTCTCAAAAATCATTCGGTTGCGAAGCAGTACAGTACACGTACCATTGCAATGGACGAGTATGAAGAATAAAATTCGATAGAACATTCATATAATGAAAGAAGCGTAAGTGTCTCGAATTAGGATGTGTTGATTGCATTGAAGAGATACACAGCATTTCAAACAGAAGAACAGCACCAGTTGTCTTCGTCCTTCTCGATTGCCATGATGCACCGTCATTTTTACTATTCTATCATTCCTCTTATGCTTGCACAAGCTGTGAAACTGCCCTTGAAAGTACCAGGACACAATTTTCCTTGTGGAACATGTTGAGAAAAGTGTAAAATTGTACTGCTGCATTGAAAGGGAGTTCTGAGGCACTTGAGAGAAGCATGGGTTGTATATTTATTTCCTATTTCCTATTCTTTAAACTTTTTCTATCTAATGCTGTATGTTGATTTTTCTTCCGGAAGCGATCAGAAGCTTCATCGGCAGAAACTGTCTCTGCGGTGAATAGGGTGCTGCAACTGTTGTGAAGTCCTTTTGCAGCCGCTCGACCACCGAGAGTTTAGCTCTGTGTTGAAATGCACATGGCATTCGAAGTGACAAGAAGCGAGCAACTCTCTCGTTTTGACGTGATCCTGCCTTGCTTTGAAGCAGCTTTTTGGTGTAGAGAAAGACGAAGGCGTTGACGATGGTGTATTCTTGCTTGGGGAGAAGTTCTTGAAGGGCATCTCCTCCTCTGCAATACTTGCAGCAGTTCTTGTCAGATGCAGTGTTAGATCATCAGCCAATAGTCCGATAAGAGAGGTCTGTATGACCCTCTGCTGCTTGCTGGACGAGGTTGCAGATGTCTGTTTTGGCACTTTGTAGTCTTGCATGTTTTACTGAAACCTATCTTGGAATATATGAAGACTGTTGTGATAGATTCATTCATTCATTCGCCTTGATTGCCAGACAAAAGCCGACCGAAAGAGTTCTGTTTCTGGTAGCGTCTAACGCGTAAAACAAGATGTTACAGGGTATAATATGTGTCAATTTGAAGTTGGTTGTTGTTTGGCCGTGATAAAATTTCCAGTTTGATAATTGTTCGTAATGGAAGAATATGCGGAGAGCAAGATTACAACCAAATTAGCAGATGGACGAAGTGCAATAGAAACGAAGAACACGCCCGTACTGCATTGGCTCGTCGTTTCCAGCGACATTTTGGAAGAGAAGTCCATGAAGCAAGATTTATCGTTGGAATTCCATCTCGTTGTGAAGTACATGTTTGTTTGATCTTTGATTAGTTCAAACAACGCTCTATTTTTCAACTTTCATTCGCAGTGTTCCATAATTGCAAGAACTTTTCTACCGCGGAATGTCACAGCCATACTGTTGGGAAATACATTTATATTGTAGGGCCAGCTGCTTGTTCACAACAATCGTAGAGAAGAACTTCCTAGCTGTCTGTCGAACAGATGAATCATTTGACTGATGCCAGAGGAGTTCGGTTCCCCCTTCTCCTCTTCTTCTATGAGGGGCCGGGATCAAACTGCTACTACAGAAGTGGTGGTAGTAGTACCAGGTACTACTAGCGGCGGCAGTTCACGACGGCAAAGGTACTGGATGAGGAGTCCCTGTACTAGTACTTGCTTTTGTAGTTGCAATATGTGTCAATATCGAGAGGATATATATACGAGATACCGATAGGGTCGAGAAGAGGTATCAAATGCAGTAGGTACCTGGTACAATAGAGGATAAGTCCATTGATAATGTACTGTTTCATGGTCATGCTGGTATCAGGTACCGGTACAGGTATACTCCACGTGTACCAAGCGCCTGGCCGCCTCACGTCAAAGCACTGCGGCTGGCGTCGTTATAGTAATACTTCGCATGTTGTTGCAGTATGAGAACCCGAATCTTTCAGAAAAAGCATTCTGCTGTTGCACATATATACTATATATACGAGTATCATTTGAAACCAAAAGCAGTCAGTAGCATTGGACGAGGATTATAAGAAGAATTAAATAGAATATAGCATTCAGATCATGAACGAAGCGTAAGTGTGTGTCTGGAATAAAAGATGTGTTGATTGCTGCTTGCTCTTCGCATTGACAAGATACACAATTTTCCAACTTGAACAACCTGAGCCATCTTCCTCGATTGCCATGCTGCACCGTCATTTTCAGGATTCATTTTCATTCATACTGATTCATCTCACATCTCACAATATATGTTTTACACCCTGTGTCTTATTATATCTATACAATAAATATCAGCAAAGAAAAATGGGATTCTTCCAATGTGAGCAAATCCCTCAACAAGGCTGTAGCGGCAGTTCCACAAAGCACCAAGGACATGTTGGCGTCCAAGAGCGGAGAACTCTTTAATCGTTCCAATCTGCGAGGCTTTCAAGCGTGTTTTGGGATTGGGCAGAATGACGGCAACTCGGCATTTTCCATGGAAAAGTCGTTTGGACCCTTGAAGAATCGTGTCACCACCAATTTGCAATTCTTTTACTTGAATTATTTGTTATTGGGAGCCTTTTTGTTTTGTCTGACTCTGATTGTCAGTCCCTCGGCCATTATTGGAATGGGTCTTCTGGTGGTAGTCTGGATCCTCTTTATTCAGCGGGCCAAACAAGAAAAGCCATTGTCCATTTGCGGCAAGGAATTGACGGACAAGCACGCGACGGATGTTTTGATTGTGTTGACAGCAGTAGTGCTGTTTTTCATTTTGGAGGGTGCCTTTTGGTACGCCTTGGGGACTACTTTGCTGTTGACAATCTTGCATGCCGCGACAAGAAGTGAATTCGACTATGAAGAAGTAGCATCCGCAGACGATGAGTTGGCCCAGGCTGAAAAAACTGTAGGAGAAAACACGAAACTGATGATCAAAAGTCGTGCCAAGGTTTCGAATGATGTGGTCTAAAGCAAGACATGAAAGAAAAAGGACCGACCGACTCTTGTTTTGTACACTGATGATAATTTCATTCCATGCAAGACGGCAAAATCGGTTCACGCAATGACACAAATGGGCGAGACGCCAAAACAACAATTTGACGACCACGAGCGAAGAAAAACAGCCTCCAACTAATGCGATTGATACTGGAATTATAATAATTCTTTAGGGTATCTTACTATATTTCTATGCTACATACTACTTGTCTTGACTAATACTCTCTATTTCTCTCACACATACACACGTTTTGTTGCGTTGCGTTGCGTTGTAGCGCACGACTCCTCGACTATACTACTACGCACTGTTGTTGGGCTCGACTTCTCCCCCATCAATCGATACCTTACTGTCCTGTCTAACTCCTTCCGATTCTTGTACTTCTTCTTGTTGCTGTTGTTCGATGATTGGTACAAATCTTGCAAATAGTTGCAAGAACATGCCCAAGATCAACAAGACATGAAAAAGGCCATTGTGGTTAAAGGTGGAAGGATCTGGAAGAAAACAGTCCTGGAAACAATCCGGATACGCTTCCGTGCCACAGGTCGGGTCGAACAAGAATTGCACCACAAAACCAGCTATACAGACTATAGATCCCAGACTGGCCATCCAATCTTTTATGACTGCAAAATAAAGGACAAACCATAGATATGAGACCACTAAGTAACCTCCCGCGACGAGTTGAATCCCCCAGACGGCAATCACCAAAATGACGGCAAATCCAACGAGGCATACCAACAAGGAATACCAATGTCTTGGATTGTTCGAAGCCTTGAAATTCATGCCAATTTGCAACTGCAAGGCCATGACTCCTATTGTGGTCAAAATATAGGCGGCCCAATAAAATTTGGGTTCCGTTTCCAATTGTCGAATTTGATGATTGACGGCCGCCACTCCATAGCCCAAACCTGAAAATCCAAAGTAACTGGAGGAGAAGGCAAACCGCCGATATTTGATCAAAGGATCTTTCATGCAACCAAACACAAAGGCACCCAAAACTCCTAAAGCAAGGATGGCATAATTGGTGGCCCAGGTGCCCACCGTGTCGTCCACTTGAGTCAATTGGACAAACTGAAAGGATGCACCCAGTTGAGTGGCATTGCAACCGGCGTCAATAAAATCTTGATCGTAGAGACTGCGATGAAGAGGACTTGAGGAGAATGGCTGAAAGATGTTGGACATCTTGAATCGATCGGAAGTTGAAAGGCTTGTGTCAGTTTGTGTGTGTTATATCAACAAGTGTGTGTTCGGATGGATGCTTTTTTGCTTCCGTGTCTCTGCGGCAATCATAAAATATGTGTTCCATACGAGTGAGTGATGACGCACATCAGTCACGCAGATATTCACGTTGGTGACGCGTCACGCGTTGTGCGATGATTTTGAAACGCATGCAGAGGCGCGGCCGACGCGCTAAAGAAATTTCTGAAGAGTCCGTCAGGTTTGAAAAATCATGTTGCTTCCGAGCCCGCAGGAACTTCATTGGAGACGCAGAGGAGAGGTGAGCAAAACAACGTAAACCCATGTTGAAGAGCGACAGAAGAAACCTCAACCGGTAAATTACAACAACAACAACAACAATATCAGCAACCACAGAGCAACGATAGATCCATTGAATCAATCCACAATCTTGTCTTTCAATAGCAAAAAGGTCAATGCATCAAACAATCATGAACGCCTTGAACGATTCCATATTTGACGATACCTCAACGGACGGTTCAATACTGCAACAACCACAACAACAGCAACAACATGATCATCAGCAACAAAACGAGCAGCGACAACAACAACAACAGCAAGAACCACCGCAAGATATGGGTCTCCTCTTTGAATTGATTGAAAGCCGGGAATGGGAAGGCGTCATTTCCTTTTGCAATCAAGTCCCAGATGCCGCGAGTATTGGTCGAGTCTATGCCGAAGACATTTTGAACTTGCCATTGCACGAAGTGCTAAAACAACCCCATCCTTCGTGGACAGTGATTAATCTATTATTGAACATGTACCCCGAAGGCATTGCCAAAAAGGGATATCAAGGGAATCTTCCTCTGCATTATGCCTGTTCCAATGAAACCATTTCCATAGAGATCCTCCAAGGATTGCTGGAAGCTTATCCCACGGCAACCCGACTGCGGAACGATGAGGATTCCTTGCCGATTCATTTGGCCTGTCAACACTTGAGTGAACTGGATTCTATACTAGCCATACTACAAACACATCCGGAAGGAGCTTATCTACGAGATGCCGATGGCTTTACAGCCTTGGATTATGCCTCGGCATCTTCCAACATTGGCACGTCCATGAATACGACCTTGGAACAAATGGCACCCATCTTGGTGGAAACGGCCAAGGCCGCGGCCGAACGCAAGTCGGAGGAAACCAATCAGAAAATCAAGGGGATTCAAGAAGCACATGAAGAATATATACGGCAATTGGGATTTCGAGAGGAAGATTTGGAACAAGAATTCATGGAGGCTCAAATTGACCTGCAGGACCAACTGTCGGAGGAAAAGGAACGCAACATTTCCTTGGCCGAACGAATCTTGAAAAAGGAGCGCACATTGCAAGACTTGCAAACCCAAGTGGACCAATTGACCAACATGATAAAAGATGAACGAGTGGATCGACAATTGGAAATGGCCAAACAACAACAAGAATACAAGGAAATCTTGGGGATTAATACTGTAAGCAACAATGAAAATGGTAGTGCTGCAGAACAAGCATCCTCGCCATCCGCAAGGTCATTGGTATCGTTGAGATCAGCCTCCCCATCCACATCTAAGTCACCCATTCGAACCAGCAAAAATGTCGATATGAAGACTCATTTGTCCACCTTGGTCCAGCGTTACAATTTGCAACAAAAGGAACTTGCCGAAATGGCCAAAGACTTGACCTACAATACCAACATGGTCCGCAATTTGAACGAACTTTTGACCTCCAAGGACGAACACATTGGAGAACTCAAACAAGAAAATTTTGACCTAAAGCAAGAAAAGCAAGCTCAACAAACACAAAACGATGGTTTGCAAAATTCGCTCCAAGCGACACAAGACGAATTGTTGGATGCCAAACAAGAAGTCCAGCGATTGTCCAAAATGTACGAACAACAATCGGAACAACTGACCGAAGCCAATCGAATTGTGAGGGTACAAGAAAGTCGATTGGCGTCCATCAAGTCTCTGGCACAATCATTGTCGTTCAATATTGAAAGTTGGGATCTGGACGATCAACAAAAGGAAGGAGAGGCGGAAACTTGGGGGCACCAACCGCAAATACAACAACGACCACAATCGCAACCCCAGCCACGACGGTCGCAATTGCCAGAACAGCAGCCGCAGGATCAGCTACAAGAAGAACAAGACCAGTTGCAGCCAAGTCCGACGGACGAAGACCAACACATTTCCAGTAGATTTGAAGTACTCGAGGGAATGGAAACCATTCGACAGAATGATCAATACGATCATCATGGCGGAAACCACAATGCATTGATGAAACAAGGGAGAATGTCACCAATGCCCAACAACAAGCAGCAGCAACAGCAGGCCCTGATGATGGCAGATGACAAGGAAGATTATTCGTTAAAGACCAATGAAACTGGCTTGTCTACCCGGAATGAAGAGAGTACTTTGCCGTCGAGTCCCGGCGAAGAGTCATCGTCGTTGTCGAGCCCGGCGAGACCACCAATGGGGGCCACGAGGCAAACCAGTGATGACTAAAGAATAACAATTTTAAAATGATTATATGATAGGCAGAGGATTCTTTTTGCAATATCAGCAGACTTGCCACAGAGGATTCAACGAAATTGAATGAATAAATGAAAGAAGAACCCGATCATCTCATGATGTGAATATTCTCTCTCTCAAAAGCCAATGTACAGCATCCACTCGTGTTCTGGTCTCAGTTGGACGTTCCCATGGATCGAATGCCCCGTAGTATGAGACCCTTCTGGCTCGTTGCAAGATCAGTGGCCATACCGGTAGGTTTGTGGGAAGCTCGACGTCCGCATCATTCTGCAAGCATCGTCGTCCAGCTTGATTCCGACAGAGCGGAACACTGAATTAGGCGCGATTATTCTTCCCATTCCTATCTCGTGTCAGATTCACCTTCTTCTTCTTCTTCACACCAGTACAACGACAATCGTTCAAGACTGGTGTTTCACGAAAAGCAATCATGCAGCAACCCAACACATGATTGCGACGCAAGGCAAGGGTTCCCACGCACTTCCAGGTTCCGGAGAAATCGAGTTGCTGGTAGTTTGTTTCATCAAAAATGCGTTTCATATCTGTCTCGCCAATTTCGTTGTTTGGGATTACCAAACTGTGAAGTTGATTTTTCTCAAGCAAATTATTGAACACTGAGATGGTTTGCAAATGATTTTCACACAACTCATCCACAGAATGAAGTCGCCTACAACGACGCGCAATCGCCGTCGCTTGTGCGCAATCGAGTCTCCTGATCATGATTATAAGGTCTTTTAATAAAGATGCGTTCTTGGGACTGTCATCGTTTGAAGTATCGCGGACATGGAGGGAACCAGCATCTCGTACTAGATCTGTATTGCTTAGGTGAAGCTTTTCAATCGTACACTCCTGACGGCACAATCCATCCATAAAGACTTCCTGACGAAAGAAGTGTCTAGGACCGACAAACCTGTTGATTTGCATGGACAAGTTTTTCACACGGCCATCGAGAACTATGGTGCAAAATAGTGTCTCCAGAATTGGTTGACTTGGGCCATCCCATCCTCGCCCATGTCGTTGTCAGCTGCCAAGCGTAGCTTCTCGAGAGACGAGGAGAAGGAAATAGCTTGTAATAGCATCAACAAATAATGATAAAAGTAAACGCACAGCATTGGGCAAAACTGGATCACTCTCGAGAGTGCAGCTTTACCACGCTGACTGGGGATCATGACACAAGGACCACTCGCTATATTATGATGATGAATCAATCGACTGATTCATCCATAAGCTAGTGGCATCTATTCATCCTTGCGACAAAGGTCGAGGCCGCACAGGGTAATTCCCCCGAGCCATCTACATAAATCAATCACAACAGAAGTGGAGCGTCAGACTTGTTTCAAAAGACAAATACAAAATCTACAAAATATCTTACCAGTCCTCCATCGATTTCCCAAGTAGATCCAGTGATCCATTCATTCTCAATCAAAGGAATGCACACGTCGGCTACTTCTTCCACTGTTCCCAGTCTTCCAACCAAACACTTTTCGGCCCAGGAATTTCGCATCGAGTCGTCTTGAAAGGCTTTTTCAGTTCGTTCCACCGGTACCACACCAGGGGCAACACCATTTACCCGAACGTTGTAAGGGGCAAATTCGATGGCCATACTTCTAGTCAAAGAGTCTAGTCCAGACTTGCTGCAGGCATATGCCCCCATGAATTCGTTGGATCTTTCGCCGTGAATCGAACTAATGTTGATGATTACCCCTTCTCCCTTTTTCTTCATGGTCGGTAGAGCTAGTTTACTCAGCAATAATGGTGCATGTAAATTGACAGCCATTGTGTCATGCCATGAGGAAAGGTCGGTGTCATCGTCTTCAAGTGGGAGCTTGGTGATGGATCCTGCATTGTTCACCAAGATATCTAGCCCATCTTTGCAGAGCTCTTGAACCTTTGCCATGAAATCTGGTATTGTTTCTGGCTTTCGAAAGTCGCAATGAAGGACGCCAAGACAAGAGTTGCCTAAGTTTTCTTTCGTAACTTGGGCTTCTACTTTTCGGTTGTTGTAATGAACAATCACATTGGCTCCTTCCTTGCCAAGTTTCAACGCAATGCCTTTGCCAATGCCTCCAGACGAACCTGTAACCAACACATTTTTTCCAATGAGAGAATAACCTGCAGCGACAGAACTTAAGCGCAGGAGTATGAATGCACACAAGAAGATCATTGTTTTGGTTGGATTTTTATGATATTGATGTGGTCACGGTCAAATTTATTGGCATTGGATCCGCCTGGCCGTCGATCGCCTGTAAAGAAATAGTCATGGAAGTCGAATATGGTACCGGTAACGGGTAACGGTACGATACTATGCATCGAATAGCAAATTGTAGCACTCTCCGATTACCATTTTCATCATGGAAGTCGATTATGTCTAACCAAAGAGACTGTTCTCTCATCACCCTTGCCCCCGATGTACTTCAAACCGCTGGAGATACAAGCTTCGTTAGCCAAAAGAATAATGTAAATTGTTGAAATATGAACCGAAATGCAACCTTCCGGACACTAACAAGAAAACAGACTCACTGATGTAGTAACGGAGGTCTATCATGTCTTTAGGCAGATTGGACAGTCTCCCGAGCAGTATTCATTATATGTGGTGGAGCGGCCACTTTTCTGGTTCAACGTCTTTTCTTCTTCGCGGACGCACCACAACGTGTAACGGAAGTATGATATGAACTGTTCCGGAATTTATATCCACTGGTACGCTTTGAAAATTTCACTACTAAATTGGCCAATCAGATTGAACTTCATTAATCCTACGGTTCTGCTTCTCCTGAAAATCTCAGATCTCTTTCCTTGATTCATTCATTCATATTCCTTCAGTGGACACGACCAAAGGGCTTTGTGGTCGACATCCTCTTGCAATCATGGAACTTAGTCATGCAGAACGCCCACCACCCTCAACGTGGACTGCAACAGATGTCCAACAATGGGCGGTGGACATGAGGCTAGCTCAAGAGGCCGTTGTCGGTTTGTCGGAAAATCAAATCGATGGGGCAACTCTCATCACTTTAAGCAAATCAGAACTCAGGGAAGACCTAGGCATCAAGTCTCTGGCCGCAAGGCGACATCTGCTGGACCTTATTCGGTCACTCCAAATTCAGAACGAAACGAGTGACTTTTCTGCAGCAATGGATGTCCACGACGAAGAAATTCGGCGCTTTGCCGCAATACAAGTGTCCAACAACAGTGCGGGTGCAGATGCGGCTGCCATTGGGCATACCGTGAATATGATCAATCCAACACACCTTGCAATTGCGCATGAGCTTGATTCAGATGCACAGCGTCAACGACAAGTTATCTCTGATCATCTTCTAGCATGTCGCATTCAACGCGATCTCCAGCGTGGCCTTCCAGCCTATGAAGATGCTCAAACTGCACACGAAGAGCAACAACGGCTCAATGCCTTGTTCCAACGAGAAGAGCAAGACTACATTTATGCGGAGAGCCTCGCGACCGGACGAGAACGTGCCCACGTACAATCTCGGCGTCAACGAGAGACGGCAGAACCCCAGCCCATTCCTCCTGCTGCAGTTGTTGGAGGCAATGAACGAGCCATTCCAAGCACCGCAAGCCGAGTGGCCACCCTTTTTGGTCTATCCATGAAGGTGTGCGCTGACAACAAAGTCAATGTCGCCCAAGCTTTTTCGACTGGAAAAGTCAAGCCCATCACGACGCCTGCACTTGTCAGCGACGACGATGATGATGATGATAATGACAACGATGGTGGCGGCGGTGTCAAGTACCGATACCACAATAAGAACACCCAAGAAGACAAGCGCAAGCCAGCACCCATGCCCAAGGGACTGCATAATCTTCCTTTCGTGGACCAATGCAGTGTGTGCTTTGATAAGAATGTCAAAGGATATCACTTGGCCTGTGAGCATCGTCAGTGCATTCCATGCACTCGAAGGCTCTTCAAGACAGGGCTCAAGGATAATACTCTCTTGCCTTTGCGATGTTGCGAGGTGCCCATTGACATGAGTATTGCCAAGGATCTTCTCAAAGAAAAGGAGGCCAACTTGATTCTACAGCGCGTAGAAGAGCTTGGGGCAGCGAATAAGATGTATTGTCCCACCTGCAATTCGTTTCTGAATCTCGATCTGGTTGACGCCTCGCAATCGGTGACGGTACAATGCTCCTGTAAGACCCACCTATGTGTCGCTTGCAAAACAACTGCCCATCCTGGTATTTCGTGCAGGCAGCACCAACGGCAGCGTCTCAATGATTCCTCAGATGATGGCCGTGCCTTGTTTCTTGCCCTTTCTCGTGACAAGGGATGGAAGCAGTGCCCAAAGTGTTCAGAAATGATTGAGCTTCGTTCAGGTTGCAACCACATGACCTGCGCCAATTGCAGGCATGAATTTTGCTACAAGTGTCTTGAAAAATGGAGTACTGGCAATGGTCAATGCACTTCCGGTCGATGCGAGCTATGGGATGAAAATCGACTTCTGGAAGCTGGTGAAGCTCGTGTTCAACAGGAAGAACAAGCTCGGGGAGAAGCAATCGCGGGGCCTGCCCGTCAAGAACGCCTTCGAGTCGCGGTGGCTGGGTTGCGTCAAAACGAAATTTGCGCTCATAATTGGGTCCGCAGTGGAGGTTACAAGGGCTTATGTCCGAATTGTTCCTTTGAGATGTTTGCATACGGAATGAGATGCAGTTCCGATTGTGGTTCGACCGTGTGCTACACCTGTGCCCACCATCGTATCCCACAACGTGGATGGCGCTGATCTGCTTTTCACAATGCTTGTGTCTGCCAGCAGCCAATCAAGTTTGTGTTCATGTTTGTTCGCTTTGCTCTTTTGGTATTCTGGGTCATGGAGCCGTTGCCTGCACAACGTAGTTCAGCAATAGGCACTATTGTGCAGAGTAATATCTTATTGCAGTTAAATTTCGCGAATCCACTGCTGATCATTCGACTGATTCGCTCCTACGACCAACACATCGTATAATTTCACAATGATGAACTAGCAGATGGCCCATAGACGAGATTCCCAAGAGACTGACTCGCTCCAATAATCATCATGCCACTGTCGATCCTTTTGCGCATAAGATTGAAGGCTGTGTATTTCTTCCATTCAGCAGGGCTCTTCGCAGAGTGGTGACATCAAGAAAGTACCTGTATCCTGTGCACGGTGTAGTATACAATAGCATATGTGTATCATTTTGAAAAAAGGGTTGATACGCTATACGGTACTACTGTATAATTTATGTTACATCGTCGACAGACTTAATGTTTGCCGTCGACATCGCAAGAGATTCATCCAAGCGGAGTTGGACGGTGCCAAAGAAACAGTGATTCTACTTCTGCTCAATACCATTGCAGCACAACATGTCAAACTTCACGCCGTGGCGAACTGGGGTCTGAACTTGGACGAATGAGTAATCGGAAGATGTCAATCCGTTTTTCCGTCGGAATACTATAGTGTTGTTACGGCGATGTATGATTTCTTTGCATCCGTTTCTTTCAATGGTTATATGACGACATGGGCAGACAAGGGTCTGGTATCCGATGGCTGGACAAACAAAGGCAAACCTTTTGCGGAATGCGTTAAGGAATCAAAGACAACGTCTGGCAACATTCGGAAATCAAGGAACTCGTCAAGCACTCTGTGTTTGTGCGTTTCGTTATCAATGTTCGGGCAATCTTCCTGGCAGAGTTCGCAAAGTACAAACACATGTTTCCCGGAATCGATGGAGAGGCCATGTTTGTTGGAACCGTGCTTCATTCCTTGGATCATACTTTCATGGATTGGAATATGAAAGATCCACTTTAGTTGGATGTTGACGACCGAAGATTTGGCAAGATGGCGGAGATTGGTCGAGTGGTCAAAGTAGGTTTGTATCAGGCGTTCCAGGTCTTTATTTCAATACGCGCTTCAAAGGCGGTGGCCATCCTTTCAATGCAAAAGTGGCAAAGATCAACAAGAAGTTGGCAGATCACATGGACACTTGCATTGTCAAGTAGAGGAATCAAACCATACCATGGATTCGAGATTTGTGGAACGGTGCGGCGCAGAGGGTGGCGAGAGCAAGCAATTGCCTTTGAGCATGATGGACTTTCACAAGATCCGCAGGTGTGAAATGTTTCCAGCATCAGTATTGAGACTTTGAAACCAAATAGAAAAAGATTGCATTGTATCACCTCCCTTCTAAATTCTAGTCACCAGTGTTTGTTTTTGAAATGAGTTGAAATGCCGAAGCAATGTGTGTAGACGGTATGAATATGAGTATTGTGCAGTAATTGTGTTGTGTGTTGTGCAATATTGCGCTCACATGGCCTGCCTTTCTCGTTCTTCTTCTTGCCGTCATTCAGCAGCAAGCGAACCGGAACATCTCATGATGTCAATACTCTCTCTCTCAGGAGCCAATATACAACATCCACTCGCGTGCTAGTCATAGTTGGGCGTTCCCATTTGTCAAAAGCCCCGTAGTACGAGATCTTTCCGGCCTGTTGCAAAATCAACGGGAATAAGTTTGTGGGCAACTCAGCACCCGCATCATTCTGCAAGTATTGCCGTCCGACTCGATTTAGACTGAGCGGAACACTTAATGTGTTGCGATGGTACCCTGACCAATTTTGCCCACCAAACCAACAATCCAGTTTCTCAAGACTAGTGTTTCGCGACAAGCAGTTTTCCAGAAACCCCATACATTGCTTCGACGTTAGAAAAGGATTCTCACTCAGATCAAGGTTTCGGAGAGATCGCGTAGCTGGTAGTTGTATCAAAAAGCTTGCTATACCTCTCTGGCTAACTTCGTTGTTATGAACATCCAAACTTTGAAGCTGTTTTTTCACGATCAAATCAATGAACATTGACATCGTTTGCAAATAATTTTCACTCAAATCAACATCACGCAGTGACATAAACCGACGTAGTATCGTCGTGGCTTTTGAGCAATTGAGCTTCCCATTGATGATCGAAAGGTATTGCAGAGACGTATTATTGGGAATGTCGTTTGTATCCTCTGGGACTTGGAGGATACCAGCCTCTCGTACTAGATAGATATTGCTTAGTTGAAGCTTTCAATCGTGCACTCTTGACGGCACATTGCATCCATCAAGACTTTCTGATCAAGCGTTTGGGTAGGAACGAAAGACGGGTTGTATTCCATGGACAAAACTTTTACACGACCATTGTTGAGTACCACGGCGTGAAAGACTTGCTGAAGGATTAGTTCGCTTGGGTCACCCCAGTGTAGATCGAGACGAAGTGTGTTCAGGGAACGATTTGTTCCGATGGCTTCAATCAAACAAGCTGCCAAATTGCCCTCAGTCATGTCGTTATTGGCTGTCAAAAAGTCAGCTTTTCCAGAGACTGCGAAGAGGAAATACCTCTTAGTACCATCAAGAAAAGGTGGTTTGGAATCTCGACTGGCGCGTTGAGATTCAAATATAGCTCCCGAATTCCGTCAGCCTGTGCAAGACCAGCAACCAAACAGGCAAACTCAGCTTCATGGTGAAGGCATGATTGAAACACTAAACAATTAGTTTTCATTAATGCTGCCGCCAAGAAGCTGAGTTTGCCTGTTTGGTTGCTGGTCGAGCCCCTCACGAGTATCTTGTCAATCTTTTTGGGTAAACTCCTAAGCAATTTAAATAGAGTCTCGTAATTCATCTGGCTGCCGATCCCCCTCATTCTTGCGTTTTGGATTGCAATCGAATTGATGTCCTTTGGAAAGGTGACAGGATCTGGATCGTCTAATTTTACAGGTGCTCCAGTTTTGTCGTAACATCTAACGTACGGCATGGGACCTAAGTTTCAAGAATTTCCAGCAAAGAACACGAAGTTGCTTTGCTTGGCTTGGCTTATTGGCTTCGCTTTTGATACACAGTAATGCGATGTCAAAATGGATTGAGTATGCGTACAGTAGTTTATTGAATATTCAATATACAATATGTTATTGTGCCGTGACAACGTAGTCCGGTTAGTCGAATCAGAGTGATGGCGGGACAATGAGTTGCGGGAGCTTTCAACCTAACTTGATTTGGTTTGTTTTTATTTTATTTTATTTTACTTCCCGATCCTAGGGTCCTTCGGTTTGTTCTCATAGTATGGAACCATCTCAGGGTTTTAATGAGGACTTCATGGATTTGATGATATTTGATGATGCGGTTGATGATGGAATGTATCGATCTGTGAGATCACAATTCCAGTGCAATGATCATGAGTACCAACCAACAGAGTAAGAAAGGTCTAAAGTCTACCAAGGTCTTGAGATAGATTCACAGATATCACTCAAGCCGAAGTGCCTGGTACCGTATTTTGGATGCTTCCCCCATGTACTCGGCCCCAGATTGATTCATTCGATTACAGAGGAGCAGCCATCCGAAGACTTCGATATTAATGTATTTTCATTCCACTTTCTCTTTTCCCCTTTCCTTCTGGTCTACTCCTTTCCTTGATTCAACAACAAGCAAACCGGAACATATCATGAAATGAGTATTCTCTCCCTTAGCAGCCAAAATACAGCATCCACTCGCCTCCTGGTATTGGCTGGGTGTTTCCAGCTATCGCCAATATCATAGTACCAGAGCTTTGTCCCAGCTCTGTGCAAAATCATCGGCCAAAGATTAGTGGCCAACGCAACATCCGCATCATTCTGCAAGTACTGTCGTCCAGCTCGATTTAGACTGAGCGGAACACTGAATGTGTTGAGGTGGTGCTCTGCCAAATCTTCCCCCAACTCCAATCTCTCAAGACTAGTGTTTTGCGACATGCAGTCTCCTAGCAACCGAACACATGTTTTCGACACCAGAAAAGGATTCCCGCATAGTTCCAGGTTTTGGAGAGACCGCGTAGCTGGTAGTTGCATCAAGAAGCTTTTTATATCTGCCTCGCCCACTTTGTTGTTTTCGATAACCAAACTTTGGAGTTGTTTTTTCAGGAGCAAATCATCGAACATAAACATGGATTGCAAACTATTTCCACTCAAATGAACAGCATGAAGTGACGTAAGTCGGCGCATTATGGTTGTGACTTGTGAGCAATCCAGTCTACACTTTGTGATCGAAAGATGTTTTAAAGATGTGTTCTTGGGAATGTCATCCTTTGAATCATCTGAAACTTGTTGAGTTCCAGCCTCTTGTACTATCTTGATACGATTTAGGCGAAGTTTTTCAAGCCTACACTCCTGATTGCACAGTGCCTCCATCAGAATTTCCTGATAAAGGGACTGTCCAGTGTGGTACAACGCATGGTAGTAACCCATTGACAAGTCTTTCACTCTACCATTGCGGACTATGGCGACAAATACTTGCTGCAGAACTAATGGGTGTTCATCGTCACCCCAGTCGAGAAAGAGAGACAGGGCTTTCAGGGAGCGATTTGTTTCGATTGCTTCAATCAAGCGATCTGTCAAATTGTCCTCAGAAAGGCAGTTGCTGGATTCCAAGTCCACTTTTTCGAGAGACGAAGAAGAGGAAATAGCTTGTAGCACCATCAAAAACAGGTGATCTGGAACATCGTATCTCTCCATTTTCATATGTAGCTCCCGAAGTCCATCGGCCTGTGCAAGACCAGCAACCAAACAGCTAAACTCAGCTTCACTGCGAAGGCATGATTTAAGGACCAAACAATTCGTTTTGTTAAATGCTGCCACCAAGAAAGCCAGATACGCTGGCGACAAGCTGGCTTCATTGATTATGGTTATTTTGTCGAACTTTTGGGGTGCAGTCCTGAGCAGTACGGAGAGAGCCTCATAATCGATTCCGTTGCCAAACCTATTATTTATGAGTTTAATGGAAACGACCCTGTTTGGAAAGCTGGCATCAACTGAATTGACAAACTTTACATATTTTCCAGCCTTGTCGTAGCATCGAATAAGCCGCATAGGACCTAGGTTTCCAGGTTCTCCAGCAAAAAGCACAACGTTGCTCCTACTGTATAATCTGTGAAGGTGGCTGGCGATGTACCATAATATATTCGAATACACTCTGTAGCAATCGTGTTTTGAGACTTCTTTAGTTTTTTATTTAGAAATTTGTGGTGTCTCAAAACACTCTGAAATCAAACGCAGGGTTTTTCCTCGCGGACTGCTCAACATTTTGTAGAAAGTCCAACTGGTCGACAAGACGAGATTTTTTGGAAGCTCCCGCACTTCACTGTTCCAACCGCTCGCCCGCACTGTCTCCCGCTCGACACAATTTATTTTACTTTCGTGCAGCAATGACAACAATATCAATAACATCCATCCTACAACGAGCATATTCTATGAGTATTCAGCTGATATTGGGAATTTTCAGATATTCAATTGCGAGTCTGGGTGGCGAGAAATGGTGGCTCACTGATTGACGACAAAAATTCAAACGAATTTAAACACCAATCAACCCAAAGAAGTCAGGAATGGATCGGACATTACGGCAATACACGATTTCCTTCAATATTTATTCAGCTAATGATTACAGTTTTCAGATATTCAATTGGAGAAGTAGGTGCGGAGAAATTGCGACTTGACTGGCGTGACGACGGAATTTCATCAATCAACCAATGAATGGCAACAATACAAATATACAGTTTCATTCATTTTAAATTCAGCTAGTAAAGTCTTTTCCTTTTCTCCTCGTGAAGAAGCCATCGTCGTAGTGTTTGTGATTGTGATTTGTGGAACGCAGACCATGCTGGGCAGAACGGGAGACCGTATGGGTGTGCTTGAGACATGCGGTACCAGGTACGGAGCTTCGAAAAAGCCTGTCTTGTCGACCACTTGGACCATCAACAAAATGTTGAGCAGTCCGCGAGAAAAAACCCTGCGTTTGATTTCAGAGTGTTATGGAGCATAACAGATGTGACTGAGGAACGAAGTACATACGGCGTCTGTCATGCGACATCAAACACGATTGCTACAGAGTGTATTCGAATATGTTTCTGTCAGCAAAAAAAATAAAAGAATTTGCAGTAGTCTAATGAGTCGAATTTATCTATTTTGTACAGTTATGGTGTCATCTCTACCCTTGCCAAAATTGATTTCACTTGAATGGCAAGTAACAACCCCGAGTCAGTCAAAGTGTCAAAAAATTATTACCTTTGCCCTATCTGTACACAATCTTCATTTGAAGTGACCGCTCCAATTTTGTGAGGCAGGAGCTGCCTTGTCACAATCACCGAGGAATGTCAGTAAGTACTTGCGATGTCAAGATGTAATTTGGCGTGTCGACAAAAAGCTCGTAGGACCCAAAGATGCGAATGATTCCAAGATAGGATTGCCGTACTTTTGGATTGGGATGAGAGCGAGTTGACAAAAACCAAGACATATCATGATATGAGTATTCTCTCTCTCAAAAGCCAATATACAACATCCACTCGTGTGCTAGTCATTGTTGGGTGTTTCCATGCGTCGTCAAAAACACAATAGTACGAGATCTTTCCGGCTCGTTGCAAAATCAACGGCCATAGCTTCGCGGGCAACTGGACTCCCGCATCGTCCTGCAGGTATTGCCGTCCAGCTCGGTTTAGACTGAGCGGGATACTGAAGGTGTCGTCGTAGTACTCTGCCCATTCTTCGTCTTCGGTTTCATAATCAATCTTCAATCTCTCAAGACTAGTGTTTCGCGACAAGCAGTCTTCGAGCAACCCAACACATGACTTCGAAACACCGGTAGGAAAAAGACATGAACCTAGTTCTAGGTTTTGGAGAGACCGCGTTGTTGGAAGTTGCAGCAAAAAGGTTTTCATTTCTGCCTCGTCAACTCCATTGTTGTAGACAACCAAACTTTGGAGTTGATTGCTCACGAGCAAATCATTGAACATTGAGATGCTTTGCAAATTATTTCCGCCCAAATTCACAGAATGAAGTGATGTAAACCGACGCACTATCGCCGTGGCCTGCGAGCAATCAAGTCTACCCAAAAGGATCGTAAGGTCTTTCAAAGATGTATTCTTGGGAATGTTGTTTGCATCATCAGTGACTTGGAGGGTACCGGCCTCTCCTTCTAGCTCGATGTCGGCTAGACGAAGCTTTTCAATCGTACACTCCTGACGACACAATACATCCATCAATACTTCCTGATCAAGCGATTGATGATAAGCAGAAAACAGGCTGCATTCCAGGGACAAATCGTTAATGCGGTTGTTGAGAACTACGGCGTGAAAGGCTTGCTCCAGATGTGATTGGTTTGGGTCACCCCAGTCTAGTTGGAGGGTGAGTGTTTTCAGGGAAAGATTTGTTCCGAGGGCTTCGATCAAAAGTTCTCCCAAATTGTCCTCGGTCATGACGTTTGTGGCTCTAAAGTCCAGCTTCTCAAGCGACGAGGAGAAGGAAACAGCTTGTATTATCATCAGAAAGAGGTGGTTTGGAAAAATGGTCATGGGCAGAAGCAATTGTAGCTCCCGGATTCCATCGGGCTGTGTAAGACCAGCAACCAAACAGCCAATTTCAGCCGGATGGCAAATGCATGAGTCAAGCACCAAACAATCCGTTTTGCTGAATGTTGCCGCCAAGAAAACCAGATACGCTGGGGTCAAAACACTGGGTTCGTCCGTTATGGTTATCTTGTCAAGTGTTTTGGGCGCACTTCTGATCAGTCTAGCGAGAGTCTCGTAATTAAATCCTCTGCCAAACATCAATCGTCCGTTTTCGATATTAATCGTAACAGCCTCATTCGGTAGGCTGGCAGGATCAGCATCATTGTCTATTTCGACAAGCGTTCCAGTTTTGTTGTAACATCTAAGATACGGCATGGAATCAAATTTTCCAGGGTTTATCAACAAAGAGCACGAAGTTACTGCCGGGTTTGGTTGTCAAGGGTTGTAGCAGCAGGGGAGAACTGTTGCGCTTATTCATTCGTACTATGAGTGCGATGCGACAAGAATATTTTGCATTTTGATGAAATCGGAAATGGAGTCCAGTGAGTCGAATGGATGAGTCTTACAGATGAATGAATGATATTATATGATATCCAATATGGCGACCTACTACAGTAACATGATATGTTATGATGTAGTCATTGTGTGTGTCATCAATTGAGAGACTATTTTTATACGTAACTATTTCGTTTCAAAGATAGGGTTCGGCGTTTTTTTGGATCGAGATTGAGACCAAGGAAAGCAAGTTGACAGAAACCGGAACACATCATGACATGAGTATTCTCTCTGTCAAAAGCCAATACACTGCATCCGCTCGTGTGCTAGTCATAGTTGGACGCTGCCATTGATCGAAAGCCCCGTAGTACGAGATCTTTCCGGCCCGTTGCAAAATCAACGGCCATAGGTTTGCGGGCAACTCAGCCCCCGCATCATTCTGCAAGTGTCGCCGTCCTGCTCGGTTTAGACTGAGCGGAACGCTGAATGATCTCTTATAGTACTCTTTCCAATCTTCGTCGCAATCGCGAACTTCACACTTAGTCATTCTCTCAAGACTAGTGTTTCGAGTGATGCAGTTTTCCAGCAACTCAACACATGACTTTGAAGTAGGAAAATTATTCCCAAGCAGATGCAGGTTTCGGAGAGATCGCGTTGCTGGTAGTTTCATCAAAAAGCTTTTTACATCTGCCTCGTTAACTTGGCTGTTTTCTAGAACCAAACTTTGGAGTTGGTTTTGCACGAGCAAATCATTAAACATTGAGATGGTTTGCAAATCGTTTCGACGCAATTCCACAGAACGGAGTGAGGAAAACCGACGGACTATCGCCGAGGCTTGTGAGCAATCGAGTCTCCCGCTTACGATCGAAATATCTTTCAAAGATGTATTATTGGTAGTGGCGTTTGAATCATGTGGCATTTGGAGGCTATTGGGCTCACGTACTAGATCGATATACATTAGGCGGAGCATTTCAATCTTACACTCCTGATGGCACAATGCCTCCATAAAGGCTTCGTGATCAAGGGATTGTCTGGGACCAAACACGCTAGCGTACCAAATGCTTAGGTTTTTCACGCGGCCAGTGCGGGCTGCAGCACGAAAGACGTGCTGCATGATTTGCTGGCTTGGGTGGCCCCAGCGTAGACCGAGAATCAGTGCATTCAGGGAGCGATTGGTTGTGATTGCTCCAATCAAACCAGCTGCCAAATTGTCTTCGGTCATGTCGTTGTTGGCAATCAAGTCCAGCTTTTCCAGAGACGGAGAGAAGGAAATAGCTTGAAGTACCATCAAAAAGAGGTGGTTTGGAATATCGTCCAAGAGCAGATTTAAATGTAGCTCCCGAGGTCCATCGGCCTGCGTAAGACCAGCAACCAAACAGCCAATTTCAGCCGGATGACAAAGACACTGTTGAAGCATCAAACAATTTGTTTTGTTGAATGTTGCCGCCAGGAAAACCAAATTCGCCGGTGGCAAAATGGCTCTCTCCCTTATGGTTATCTTGTCAAGCTTTCGGGGTTGACTCAAGAGCAGTCGAGAGAGAGCCTCGTAATGGATTTGTATGCCGTGCATATTCTCCTCTCCGCCGTTTTCGATTACGATCGAAACAACCTCATTTGGGAGGCTGACATGATCTGCATCAGTGGCTATTTCAACAAGCGTTCCGATCTTGTTGTAACATCTGAGATACGGCATGGGATCCAAGTTTTATTTTAAGGTTTGCCAGCAACGAGGAGCACAGCGGGTTGTCAATAACGCGAGGGTTGCAACAGCAGCAGCAGCAATGGATCTTTCGGTCCTTTCAAATTCTGAAATGAACGTCCAGATGACAAAAGGGTGAAGAAGCAATCTGTTGGGCGAGAAACACTGTCATTGTACCGTATCTTGGGATCGATAGACTAGTGTAGTAACGACTCGCTCCAGCGCGTAGCTATTGTACTGTGCATATTTCTATTATGGAATTAGCGGCACAACCATGAGGAGTCCAGGAAGTCGAAACAGTCATCATTTTGAGACTCAAAGAAGAAGATGACAGATGACTATCAAAGAGAACCGACTGGCGCCTTCGGCTTGTGTGTTCGTCCAAAGTCTTTCTACGGGTGCAAAGCTGGTGGGTAGCTGGTCTTACGGGTCCTGTACAGTAGCAAACCCGGCCGTACGGTCTTCGTCCGTACACGTATGATATGGAGAATATTGTGATTTGTGATCCATCGTATCGAACTTTTGCTGCTGTCTGCGTTTGAGAATCATCATCGAAGACGCTACCGTATATATGATGTAGTCTCATCCCTACTCTTGTCAAAATTTGCTTTCACTCGCATATGTCCGAGAAGAATGGTACATGGCACTCCCGAGCTAGTCGAAGCGTCGACAAGGGATGGTGTTCACTCTGTGTACAATCTACGTGAAATCACAGCACCAACTTTGCGAGGCATTCCATTGCTCCTGTTCTCTAGACTCATCAGAAGCTCGCTTGGAAGCCTCATTTTGAGCAAGCTCAAGAAGAATAACGACATTGATTGCATTGTACGACTTGCAGAAGGCGATCTGAAGGAATGGATGCCCCTATATTACCCATTGCCTGAAGTACATGATGAAGCTCGATACAACAAACAGCTTGAACTTTCCAAGCGATTTCAGTTGGATGAATTTGCTGCCTCTCACACGAATGCAAGGAGTAACGGAGGAGATTTCAGGTACAACACAGCACAAGACTACGTTGATAAATACAAGAGTGGAGAGCTGACACCATATCAAGTAGCCTTGGCAGTAATCAAGGCAACCAAGGATTCCAATTCCAACAAAGTCAAATCCCTGAATGCCATTGTGCAAATGAAAGAGGATGATATACTGCAACAAGCAAAGGAAAGCTCTGAACGATACAAGAATAACAGAACATTGGGGCCTCTAGACGGCGTCCCGGTGGCGGTCAAAGATGAAGTGGACATAAAGGGATACCAAACGACTTTTGGAACAAAGTTCATTGGAAATCTGCGCGGAGATGCCAAGGAAGATGGTACTCTTGTCATCAAGCTACGCCAAGCAGGCGCAATGCTGGTAGGCAAAGCGAATATGCACGAATGCGGCATTGGAACCACAGGCTACAACTGGCACTTCGGGCCCTCGCGAAATCCACACAACCTGAATCATTTCACAGGCGGATCGTCTAGTGGATCGGCAGCTGCTGTTGCTGCAGGATTAGTACCATTGGCATTGGGCTTTGATGGTGGTGGCTCAATCCGGATACCTGCGGGTCTATGTGGAGTTGTTGGATTGAAGCCTACTTTCAAACGATGTGATATGAACTCTCCGATTGGACATTCCTGTGGCCATCCTGGGCCAATGGCATGCTCTGTGAAGGACGCTGCCATTGGCTATGCAGTCTTGGCCGGTCCAAACGAAAAGGCTAATGAACGTAGCAAACATGTTGGGATTCCAATTCCACCAGTCCATTTACAATCCTATTCAGACAGTGTAAAAGGACTCAAGATTGGAGTTTTTGAGGAATTTTTCAATGATGCTCATCCAGAAATCGTGGATGCGTGTCTCAAGGCCGTCAAACACTTGGAATCTCTTGGTGCAAAAGTGGTAATGATTACCATCCCCCATATGGAACAAGTCAAGGTCGCACATGCAGTGACAGTTTCGTCCGAACTGACTGCTGGCTATAGAAAGTACTTCAAGAAGTTCTTCAACAGCTTCACTCCAGAAACTAGAGTAAGCTTCACGCTTGGAGAATCATTTGATAGTTCCACATTCTTGGCCGCACAAAAGGTCAGACGATATGCCACGAGCACTCTGGAAGAAGTCTTCACAAAAGTGGATGTAATTGTTTCACCCACAACAAGCTGCACCGCCCCAGAAATGCCCGAGGGCGTAGAAAAGTATGGAGAGTCAAACTTGTCACAGACTGTCAACTTGATGCGATTCATTTATCATGGCAACTTGTGCGGGATTCCCGGTGTGGCGGTACCAGTTGGGTATACTTCGAGCAACAAGGAGTTGCCCATTTCGCTGCTGATTCAGGCTCGGCATTGGGAAGAGGACACAATTATGAAGGTAGCCCGATGTGTCGAATCAAATGTTTCCCAGAAAAAGCCAGCGATGTACTATGACGTTTTGGAGTTGGCCAAGGGAGAACCACGGGAATGAACTACGAGACTTTTTCATTCTTGGCTATACACCAACATTCGGCTGTGCTGCAATGTCTTGTTTCGGGATAATTTCCCATTGAAAGAGTTACAGCCATTTTGCTGATTCCCCTGGACGCAGTATTATACATATTTCATAGAACATAGAACATTCAGTACCATTGATCCGTCCGCTCCTACCTACAGTATTGGCTTTCATTCAAACTTGAAACTGCACAAGATCAAATAGTGTCCGACACGTATTTTTTGATAAGCGGCAGTCGGACACATTTCCACCACAAGATTTTAACTTTCAATCAGGAATAATTATTGTGCAACAACATATTGTCTAGTCATTACTGCCTCGACCCCTTATTCCTTCTCTCTATCTCTTCCAAGAATGACACAGGACAGTGCCAAAGCGACAGAACAGCCCAAACAGGATGGTGTATACGCCGTCTACAATCTTCGCGAGGTTGCGGCTCCTATCCTCAAAGGCATTCCATTGCTCCTCTTCTCAAGACTAATCCGAAGCTCGCTTGGAAGCTTCATCTTGAGCATATTAAAGAAGGATAACGATATTCCTTGTGTCATCCGACTAGCAGAAGACATATTGAAGGAATGGATGCCACAGTATTATCCATTACCTGAACAACATGATGAAGTTCGATACAACAAGCATGTTGAAGTTTCCAAAGGATTTCAATTGGGTGAATTTGCTTCTTCCGACGAAAATAGGAAAAAGGAAGGGGACTTCAAGTATCACACATCACAAGACTATGTTGAAAAATACAAGAGTGGGGAGTTGTCGCCATATCAAGTAGCCTTGGCAGTAATCAAGGCAACAAAAGATTCCAACGAAATCAAACCAAAATCACTGAATGCAATTGTCCAAATGAAAGAGGATGACCTATTACAGCAGGCGAAGGAAAGTTCTGAACGGTACAAGAAGAAGAAAACAATGGGACCTCTGGACGGCGTTCCGGTTGTGATCAAGGACGAATGTGATGTGAAAGGCTACCCAACTACATATGGTACAACCTTTTTGGCAGCTTTGGACGGCGAGGCCAAGGAAGACAGCCCACTTGTCGCCAAGCTACGTCAGGGAGGAGCACTACTTGCCGGCAAAACAAATATGCATGAATGCGGTATCGGGACTACAGGCTACAACTGGCATTTTGGACCAGCACGAAACCCACACGATCTAGGTCATTTCACTGGTGGATCGTCCAGTGGATCGGCGGCTGCCGTCGCTGCAGGACTGGTACCATTGGCGTTGGGCTTTGATGGTGGTGGATCTATTCGGATACCTGCAGCGCTATGTGGAGTTGTGGGGTTGAAACCTACTTTCAAACGATGTGATATGGACATGCTAGCGTGTCCTTCTGTTGGCCACGCGGGCCCTATTGCGTGTTCTGTGAAGGACGCTGCGGTTGGCTACGCAATCATGGCTGGGCCAAACAAAAATGCCAGTGAACGTAATAAACACATAGGGATTCCGATCCCACCAGTTCATCTTGGATCCTTTTCGGATAGTTTGAAGGGACTCAAGGTCGGTATCTTTGAAGAATACTTCAACGATGCCGATCCCGAAATTGTCGAAATCTGCTCAAAGTCAGTAAAGGCTTTAGAATCTGAAGGGGCTGAAGTCATCAAGATCTCGCTTCCACACATGGAAGAAGTAAAGATCGCACATGCTGTGACGGTTTCAACCGAGTTGGCTGCTGGCTATTCCAAGTACTTCCACAAACATATGAACAAATTCACTCCCGAGTCTCGAGTTAGCTTTTCTCTGGGACAGTCCTTCAGCAGCTGTGACTTCTTGGCGGCTCAAAAGGTTCGGCGGTATGCCATGCATACCCTGGAAGAAGCATTCTCTCAAGTGGACGTTATCCTTTCACCGGCGACCGGATGCACTGCGCCCAAATTGCCCAAGAGTGTAGAAAAGTATGGACAATCCAACTTGTCGCAGACCGCTAATCTGATGAGATATATTTACCATGGGAATTTGTGTGGTATTCCCGGTGTGGCGGTACCGGTCGGCTACAGTGAGAAGAACAAAGCTTCGGGCAGCAAGGAGCTGCCCATTTCGCTGTTGATTCAGGCTCGGCATTGGGAAGAAGACACGATCTTGAAGGTAGCCAGATGTTGCGAATCCAATGTTTCTCATAAGAAGCCAAAGGTGTACTATGATATTTTGGAAATGGCCAAGGCAGAACCAATGGACTGAACCATTTGTCTTAGCTACAGCACCTTCCAACTCTACTCATTTGTCAGGTGTTCCATGGGGGTCTCTTTCGATTCAAGCCGCAAGAGAGTAGGCAGATGTAGCGCTTACTTCTCAAAATGGAGCCTTTGTGCAGAAGCTCGCGTGCCTTTTGCTTTGATGATTACATGTTCGGGTCACTTTTTGTTGATTGATTGATTCATTCATTCTTTCCCACTGCACGAGGTGTGCATCTTTCAACTTTCTTGAATCGTTCAATACCATTGATCCGTGGACTCATATTGGGTCTTGAGATTACAATTTGGGCCCTGATTCTCCTATTGTACATAATACCAGTAATTTCCGACAAGAGTTTTTGTCGAACGCACAGTCGGACAATAAAAGTCCACGTCTGCAACATTCTGCACAGACCCATAACATACGGTAGCTAAATCCTATACTGCGATGTCGTGCAGTATAGTGCAGAATACACAACTCATCGGCAAAGAACATATGCCTGGTAACTGTATTGTTCATATCATTGCTTTTTCGTCCCAAGAATCCTAGTCTCTCTTCTAAGAATGGCCCAGGGTAGCACCGAAGCGATGGAACAACCCAAAAATGATGGTTCATACGCCGTGTACCAGTACAACCTTCGCGAAGTTGCGGCTCCTATCCTCAGAGGTATTCCATTGCTCCTGTTCTCTAGACTCATCAGAAGCTCGCTTGGAAGTTTCATCTTGCGAATGTTAAAGAAGGATAACGATATTCCTTGTGTCATCCGACTAACGGAAGGTGATTTGAAGGAATGGATGCCCCTGTATTATCCATTGCCTGAAGTACATGATGAAGCTCGATACAACAAACAGCTTGAACTTTCCAAGCGATTTCAGTTGGATGAATTTGCTGCCTCTCACACGAATGCAATGAGTAAGGAAGGTGATTTCAGGTACAACACAGCACAAGACTATGTTGAAAAATACAAAAGTGGAGAGCTGACACCATATCAAGTAGCCTTGGCAGTAATTAAAGGAACCAAAGATTCCAACTCCGCCAATCCGATGGCTCTCAATGCCATCGTACAAATGAAAGAGGGCGAGATATTGCAGCAGGCGAAGGAGAGCTCTGGACGATACAAGAATAACAAAACACTGGGACCTCTAGACGGCGTGCCTGTGACGATAAAGGAAGAATGTGATGTGAAAGGCTACCCAACTACATATGGTACAACCTTTTTGGCGGCACTAAACGGAGAGGCCAAAGACGACAGCCCACTTGTCGCCAGGCTTCGTAAGGCTGGAGCATTAATTGCAGGAAAAGCCAATATGCACGAGTGTGGCATCGGAACCACAGGATACAATTGGCTTTTCGGACCTTCACGAAATCCGCACGACCTGAATCATTTCACTGGCGGATCGTCCAGTGGATCGGCGGCTGCCGTTGCTGCAGGATTAGTACCATTGGCGTTGGGTTTTGAGTGCGGTGGCTCGATTCGGATACCTTCGGCTCTCTGTGGAGTTGTGGGATTGAAGCCTACTTTCAAACGATGTGATATGGACATGCCAGTGTCTCCATCTCTCGACCATGGGGGTCCTATTGCGTGCTCTGTGAAGGACGCTGCTGTTGGCTATGCCATCATGGCAGGACCAAACGAAAACGCCAATGAGTGCAGTAATCACATCGGGATTTCGATCCCACCCGTTCACCTTGGATCCTTTTCGGATAGCTTGAACGGGCTCAAGATCGGAATCTTTGAGGAGTATTTCAATGATGCCAATCCCGAAATCGTCGAAGTCTGCTCCAATGCCGTCAAGCACTTGGAGACCGAAGGAGCAGAAGTCATTAAGATCTCACTCCCACACATGGAAGAAGTCAAGAACGCACATTCAGTGACAGTATTGACCGAGTTGGCCGCATTCTGTTCCAAGTACTGTCATGAGCACATGAACAAATTCACTCCCGAGTCTCGAATTGGCATTACTCTGGGACAGTCCTTCAGCAGCTGTGAATTCCTGGCTGCTCAAAAGGTTCGGCGGTATGCCATGCATACCCTGGAAGAAGCATTCTCTCAAGTGGACGTTATCCTTTCACCGGCGACCGGATGCACCGCGCCCGAAGTGCCCAAGAGTGTAGAAAAGTATGGACAATCCAACTTGTCGCAGACCGCTAATCTGATGAGATATGTCTACCACGGGAACTTGTGTGGTATTCCCGGTGTGGCGGTACCGGTCGGCTACAGTGAGAAGAACAAAGCTTCGGGCATCAAGGAGCTGCCCATTTCGCTGTTGATTCAGGCTCGGCATTGGGAAGAGGACACAATCTTGAAGGTAGCCCGCTGTTGCGAATCCAATGTTTCTCACAAGAAGCCAAAGGTGTACTATGATATTTTGGAAATGGCCAAGGCAGAACCACGGGAGTAAAAGACTAGTAATTGTATATTTCATATTCTAACCATCGTTGGCTACGATATGTGCCGCTTCCAAATCCTTCAAACCTGGCTGATAAACATGTTCTTCCCAAAAGTCTCGCTTCTCGTCATAGGTGTACTTTGCAGCAGCCGGACTGACTGCCAAAGCGACAATGCATTCAATTTGGTGCTTGTCTCGTCCTCCTGGTCTTTTCGTTTTTGGTTTCATATTTTTGGTCCATTTCTTGAATGCATCTTGGGATGCTTTGTGTTGACTCGGAACCAATTCACCAGAATCCAGCCATTCCTTGAAATGTTTCTTGAAAAAGGAACAAGCCGTTCCTCCATTGGAAAATACAATGCGTTTGATATTGGGATGCAGTTTACAGAATCCTCGAATATCGTTTGGAACCTCTTGGGTGATATCCGAGTCCAGGGACCCGGGACGTTGACATTCCTTGACAATATCCCAGAGCGCAAATCCACTGAAACACAACTTCTCCAGCTGCTGCTCGTAGGGAACAATTTGGGACTCGTTATATCGCAAGTGGCTGGCAAAACCGTAGGGCTCTCCATTTGTTTTCAATCCTTCAGCCCGTCGAAATCCCAAGCAGTCTCCCGCAATCCACCAAAACGCGCTGGCATTTACCAATACGAGAGAGTCAAAGAGAAAGAAGAGAAAAAATATACAAAGAAGGTAAGGGTAGAGGTGGGTGAGATTGAACACGGGAGACAAATAGTTTTCTTGGTTCCAGCACTAGCAGGATGAAACGTACTTCATTGGATGTCCATAATATCGATTTTCTTTTAGCGATTGAACCGATGGATGAGTGCCAAGAAGTAATGTGTGGACGGGTGGAATGACCTGATTGCTTTTGGTAAAGTTTGCGGCTGTCACTGCATCAAAGGAGGAGGTTGACGGTGTAGGACCAGATTTTGCCCTTTTCTTTTTGGGAGATGATTTCTTCTTTGGGGTACTTGTGGAACTTTCATCAGAGCTTCCACTTGATTTTCGTTTCTTCTCTGGTGTTGATGTTGGTGTCACTCGGTTCCATCGCGGGCTATGTCCAGCAGGAGTACTTGTAATATTAGCATCTTGGTCATTCACAGGATTATGAGCAAATTGAGCAAAGAAACTTCTCGTCACGACCATGGTCGTTCTGGCGTGACAATTCCTAGCTTTTGAATGGGAAGGACTTATCAGACCAAAGGCTTGTCTTATTGTAGCTATTGAAGTTGCAATGGAAAAAATAGGAAGAGCCCTTGAAAATGGTTTCATGAAACAAACACCAGGTTGTTGAGGAGCGACAATAGAAACTTGCTTCCATCGCTCATGACCTGAAGGCAGATCTCTCTCGTGCGATGGACGGACGGACCATAATCAGATACCATATGAGATGGACTTGAAAAAGACAAAAAGGAATACATGGACTTGAAAAAGAGAAAAGGAATACAACACCTGGGATTCCAACGTGGTCCCCCACTGTAGTACTAACCAGGCCCGAACACATTACCGGTATATGTATGAGATGGAATTGAAAAAGATAAAAGACAAAAGGATACAACACCTGGGATTCCAACGTGGTCCCCCACCGTAGTACTAACCAGGCCCGAACATGCTTAACTTCGCTGAGCGGACGGGAAGCGGTGCTGTCATGTTGGTATGGTCGTATCCATTAACACTAAAATTGTGATAGTCTAGAAACCACTAATTATCTTTTAATGTTCGAAAAACACACTATTGGGGTGTCGACTTGGTTTAGATTCGTCATACATGTACCCATTGGTTTCACCTCGCACAACCTGTAAGCAACACCTCGTATTCTTCAACAGTTGGTGAACGTGAGAATGAGCTCAGCATTTCGAATTTTGAACCAATGCTTCCTGCTTTCAAGCTTGTGCTTACTCCTCATCACGACACAACTCGCCTATGGTTGGTCCTTTTTGGATCCCAATATGAAACCCCTTGGTGGTGGCGATCAGTCTCGACGTACGTTCTTGGATACTGTTACCTCAACTACTACAAATGCTGTTGCTGCCTCGAGTCTTGGTGTCTCAACGGCCATGCTGACCAATGGTGAAAACAATGTTGGACTTGCACAAGCTGCTGCGGAAGAGATGCCATCCATCATCAATGATTCGGCACAAGCTACTTATACCACCAAACCTTTGGCGGGCCGCTTTTATTTTCCAGCGCTGACACCACCCTTTCGAAATCGAGCCACCTTCAAGTATGACTTGGGACGGAATGCCTGGGCTCTGGAGCAACTCTTGACCTTTGCCAATGTCACTGCCACCATACGGTGCACCGTGATTCAATTGGAAACGACGGGAGGGCTCTGGGTCCACTCTCCCCAATGGCCGACTGGTGAATTCTGTGCCCTTTTGGATGAGATTGGAGCCCCTATGGAACATGTGGTCTTGCCTTGCAATGCTTTTGAGCACAAGGCGCCAATGAAAGCCTTTGCCGAAAACTATCCGAATGCTAAAGTTTGGATTTCTCCAGGTCAGTTCGGTCCACTTGGAACTTGTGGCAAAAGTTTATCTAAAGACAGCTGTCAAATGGGATACCGAGTCGATGGAATATTAGGCTTGGACAATCCTCTTCCGCCATGGTCCAATGAATTTGACATGGCCACATTATACCTGGAAATCCCAAAGAATGCTGGGCCAGTGTCGGAAGTTTCCTTTTTTCATCGCCCTACCAAGACACTTGTGGCAACGGATTCCGTCATCTATGTCCCCAAAAGGAAATTTCCTCCCGACATCTTCTCCACATACTTTGATCGAGAGACCATTGAACAAGACCCAACCTTTTGGCCTCGGACGGTCTTGCAAGCTATTTTTCTGCCATTGCGACAAGACGACCATGGCAATTATCCATCCTACGAGGCCATTTCCGATCGGCTGATCCGTGCGGTAAGTTGACTACTGGTACCTGGTACTGGTGGTAGACAAAACTTCCAGAAAAGCCGACTTGCTCACAATACATTATCATCATTGCGCTTTCCTTGGTGCTTTCCTTACAAATACTTTTTCATGAATCAATTGTCATTCTTCCAATCCACAGCCCATTCTCCGAGCCTTGGTCGATGCTAGGGCACCAAACCAAGTCCGCGAATGGATTGCCCAACAGACAAAACCCTCTTGGGACTTTGATCGAATCCTAACTAGTCATTTTGAATCTCCCATTTCCGCTGGTCCCACCGAGTACAAGGCAGCCTTTGGATACCTAGACGACCAGGAATACAACAAGGTGGAACGAGTCGGACAAACTACTACTACTACTACTAACAACAACAGCGACAAAGGCAAAGTAAATGCCAATCTACCAGCCATCCAGTGCCAAGATTGGGAACTCTTGGACAGCATCAACCAAGTTGTCGCAAAATCTAATGCCGGTGCACCAGCGACTTTTGACTTTCAAAGGGGCTGCATATCATCGGAATGAAGATATCAAGTATATACCACATAGGGCGAAGGATTCATTCGAAAGGGGAACGAAGACAAGCTTGGGCAAATGATACCCAGTCCCGATCAGAATTCCCTACCGGAAATGACTCTAGATCGAACCCCAATCAATGCTACTAACTAAATAGAAACGCTAGTGCCATGTACACAATGCTTGTCTCAAGTTGGTAAAGTTACCATCTATTATTATCATTATTATATGTGTTGGCATATAATTATACTTATACAATATTCATTCATGCCATATGATCAACAAATGATCTTGGGGACCACCAAGTGCTTGGGTGCCATTTCGCCTTCTTCATCAATCAAGTGAATCGTAGCATCTCGTTGTTCCGAATATAGCTCGGCCAAGGATACGGTAAGAGACCCTGGAGGAATAATCCGTCTTGACGACGACGACGACTTTTTGGGACTGAGTGCCATGCTGGACCGACGTCGGCGTTTGCGGCTGGGTGAAAAGACACCCGCATCACCGCACAAGCGGGAGCAGACCAACTCGAGATTAGCCGAGATGGATCCACTGCGGACCCGCATGGTTTGTTGGCGAACCCATGGGTTCAAAACTGCATTGGACGCAGTGATTCGTTGATGCGGGTCGGGATGAAGCATGCTTCTCAGTAAAGACTTGGCATCGTTGGAAATATCATTCCAGTAGGCATCTGGAAAGACCACATTGTTTTCGCAGAAAACAGGTGGAAAGCCGCAGAGGATAGTGTACAGGGTGACACCAAACGAAAAGACATCTGAGGCAGGTCCACAAGCACCCTTGCAGGCTTCCGGTGGAGAGTTGGTGGTAAAATTGGCACCCGCAATGGACGGAGAAAAGTCTCCGTCCACAGGGGTTCCGTAATTATCATCACAGGTTTTGCGGGCCACTCCAAAGTCACACAACTTGACTTGAATGTCCGACTCGTCACAGTTGAAGAGCAAGATATTTTCAGGCTTAATGTCCCGGTGTACAATCTTGTGGGCGTGCAAGTCCACCAAGGCATTCAGAATTTGGTTGGCGATTCCTGCGGCTTGTGGTTCCGTGTATCTTCCGCGACTGCGGTATGAAGATCGTTTGGACCCCTTTTCTTTAATAGCATTAAAGAGTTCACCTCCTTCACAGAGTTCCATCACGAGATGGATTTCCTCGTTCGTTTCAAAGACATCAAAGAGTGTCAAGATATGAGGATTGTTTCGAAAGAGTTTCATAACTTCCCATTCGTCCATCTGCTTGCCATGACTCCGGATAGCGTTATACTTGGATATACTCTTGACTGCCACCTTGTTGCCATCATCCATCCGAATTGCCGATCGTACCGTGGAAAAGGCACCATGCCCAATCACCTGACACCCCGGTCCGCGCAGATTGTATTCATTTTCGAGTAATCGTGACGCATCGCAATCTGTAAGGCGTACAGTTTGTTCCGGTCTCCGATACGCCGAAAGTGTCAATTTGGGCTTTGAAGCCCCCGCAATTGGAAGCCTGCTGGTGGGATTGGAAGGAAGAATTCTGGCACTGAGGCTTTTGCGAATGGGGGAGGCATCTCTGGTATCCACTTCTGGCTCTGCTTCTGTTATTTGTTGATGATGTCTCTTCATGGTTATTGTTTTTGTTGCTGTTGTACTGTTGGTATTATCCAGCAGTGTAGTGTGCGATTGGATGGAAAGTGATGGTGCGATTGGATTTGCAAAAGTTCTGGCTTCGCAATCTTTTTTTTCTGCCTGACACCATCCATCACCATCTGACATTCCACATGACGTCAGATTTCGAATTCGGATTGAGGGGATTTCGTTGCTTTTGGACAAGGCTCGCTTGCCTTTTCGGGATGGAGGAGGCAGGCAGAGTTTGCCAATGAATTTGGAATTCATTGTGGTCGGTGTTGCTGCCGCTGTTGACTTTGTGTAGCGTGTGACTTTTTTTTTCTTTTCTGTATTGGAACGTGGATCATCGAATCATGGGTTTGGTTCAAAAAAAAAGAGAAAGAATGACAGGTGAGATCAAGATATTGCACGTGGATATTCTACGAGACACGCCCGCAACAAATCAGAATTGAGAATCTCAGAAGTATCTCGCGCCAGCACGGAGGAAGAACACGTAGCAATTAATTCTTTTTTGGATTTGGCGAACTTCTCGTAGCCAAAAGACAATTCTCGCGGCACCAATCAAAGTCCTTCCGAAGGTGTCTGGCCGTCTGTACAGCTTACTTCCGTCCATTGCAACGCTCGTTTTCGTTTTGGCTCGGACGTGACCGAGGCATGTTTGGGATGCTCTAGCAGGATATCTAGTCCATTGCTGGACGAAACGAGCCAACATGCTACTCTCGATACGATGCAGTGGATATCGGAAAAGCCTGGTACCAATTTTCGCTTGGAAAGGGCATCGAAACGGCCTCAAGACCATTGCTTTTCTCACACGGAAGTCGTGCCAAAAAGAAGGACGAAAACGATGGTATTCCTTACCTTTCACAGACTTTAATCTCGTCGTGTGCAATAGCAATGTATCCTTCTCAATAGGTGTAATTTGAGATTGGGGTGCGCAATGACTCGAGATATCCACTTGTTGTTCGATCGGAACAACAGGAAACACAGGATACTCGAGATCCAAATTTTTTTTGATTTTGGCTGATGGATATTATTCTCCGTATCTAACAAAACATTTTTTGGAAAAAGACACGAAAGATTTTTTGGAGCGGGCCAAGTTGATCGTGATTTTTTGTACTGCCTTACTAGAGCGAGCGTGGTTTGTCATTTGTCAAGGCGAAGATGATTGGATGACGTGGTTCAACCAGCGATGATGTAGCCGCTTCGCTTATGCCCTAAGACAGCGTCCGGACACAAGACTCTCTGGGAACTCCCGAAAGCTCGTCGTCATTTGAATCCGTATCTTTTGGGTACGCACTTTCATCCAAAGTTCAAGATATCTGCATCGTCTCCACTGTTGATACAAACAGATTGGGCAAAAAATCCAACGGCTCACGACGGCCTTGCCTTGACACTCTGCAACGGATCTGTCTAACTCCATCCAAGCCAACCAATCCTTCAACCAGGAGGTGGCGTGGTGGTATCTCTCCTCCTCGTGTCGATACACCGAGTGGTTCCTCGTGGGGTGGTGGTGTTTCATGAAGACCAACAACCTACTATCGAGGAGAATGAATGGATTCCGCGTGTCTGACGTTCACCTTGTCGTTCGTTGAAGCCGGTGGGGAGTGTCAGCAAGCGTCACCGGGCAAGTTCTATCCCATCTTCTACTATCATCTTGTTGTTGGGAAGAAACACTACTGCTTTCAGGTTGACTTTCTACCTACTAGTAGTGGCAAGAACAAATGCACCAGCACCAGCATGAATGCAATGCAATGCAATTCAACGGTAGCCGTTCAACGCAACGACTAAGGAATGCAGTATTGATCGAAGAGACGAGGTTACAAAAGGCGAGCTATCAAGGGGTGGGATTTTGCATCCAAACTTTTCTGTGACGACTGACTGCATTCATGCTTCCTGCTGGCGTCGTTATTTTGACACAGTCGCAAGGCAACACAGGACTACACGGGCAGGATGACTTATTTGTCACGAGCCCCTCGAAGCTTCAGAGATGCGTGCCGTATATATTGAAACACCTATCATGACATTGCTATCGAAATTTGATCATTTGACTTTTCCAGCTAGCAGAATTGATGCCGACCCCCGTATTCATATGATGACGACGACGACGACAACTGAATTCTCGACAACAATAAACCAGATACACCAGACAGCTGGTGGAGGCCTTGTCCATTGCAAGCCTCTTGCTTGGTCAAGAGCGGTTGAAACTTTCTGGTAAATGGCATCAAATGGCATCAAAACCAAAACGTTGGTCAATGCGAAAATCATGATAGATCAACACTGTGATTTTGAATCAGATTCATCCCCACGATGATTAAGACCATACAAGGTGCTCAATGCTACAGTAAATATGCATGTACCCCTGGGAACTGGAGTGTGGTGCATTGCTAGCAGTGTCGTCATACTGTAGCTCGCCGCCGTTCAGCAACATCTTCGACAATCTCACTATCGTCATGGTGATACGCTCAACATACATCAT